TAGAGGGAGAGGGTAGGCATCTGGTATGGTCGCTTCGTCAGTTTTCGATAGTCGATGACCATTCGCCACTGTCCTTCGGCTTTCTTCGGTATCATAAACATTGGTGAGCCGTATGGCGAGTTACTTGCCCGAATTCGGCCAGCGGCGATTTCGCGATCTAGTATGTCTCTCAGCGCGCGTCTCTGATCTTCTCCTTGAGCATAGAGGGAGGCGACCTTAAGGTTCGCCCCCTCCTTAAGCTCAAACTTCAAATCGTAGGACCTTGAAGGGGGAAGGGTCTCTCCTCCCTTCTTCGGATTAAAAACGTCAATGTACTGGTGGTATTGTTCAGGAACCACCTGATACAATTCCTCCTGTTCCTCCGGACTCAGTTCATCCTGATCATCTTTGTCTCGGAGATCTATCGCGTCCGTCGGAGTTGGCAGACCTATGGCCGCTAACTTCGCCGCACTTGGTGGGGTTGGGATGGGAAATTTCACCGAGTTGTCTCTTCCATCAAGGACAACCCCTTCCTTCCTCATCCAATCCCACCCTATCACAACATCTGCGTCGCAGAGCGTTGTTACATCGAGACAAACAGATCGCACTTCGGCGTCCTTCGTCAAACTAAATCCGACTTCGACAAACTCGGTGATAGGTCCCGCGACACTCACCGAGCCGTCGAACATGTGAACGGGTACGCTCACCTGATATTGTCTCCTTTCTGCGCCTATCTTCGTCGCCGCTCTAGGACTTATATATGAACAAGTAGCCCCGGTGTCCCAGAGCGTAGTTAGCTTCATTCCATTAATGAAAATGTCCGATTTAGGTTGATCTCTGGAAACGGAAGGGATGAGGAGATGATTATCGACATTGCATGAACAAGGGGTACTGAGTGGTGTATTTTTGTATTCACAATCCTCTGGCTCCATCAGCTGTGTTTCTTTTATGGGTTTGGGAATGGTGGCCGAGAGAATATGGCGGACCCGCCGAGCCTCGCCTACTGCGACAGGTCCTCTTCTTTTCCCTGGTCCTCTTCCAAATCTACTTCTCCTCCAACCGCATTCAAGTTCCTCCTCTGTCCGAGAGGTACTGCGTTCCCTCCCGATCCTCCACCACATTCTCCGAACTTCTCCCCCCATGGAGGCAACAGTCCAACCTTAACCTTAGCCTCCCTTACAGGGCATTCCTTCAGCCAATGTCCTGCTTCACCACACTCGGTACACTTCCCCTCCTTCCTCCTTGTCTCCCTCAGATCGGAGCTCGGCCTAGGCCATCTTCGGCGAACTTCGTCGATGTTTGGCGGTGTACTCTTTACCACCGTCGACATCATAGCCGCCTGGACACCACCCTGCGCCGAAGGTTGCCCCTTTTCCCATTTCTTCTCTTCTTTCTTCTCCGTCCTCTGACTTTCCACCACTGTCGTTGTCCTTATCCCTCCTTCCCTTTTCCTCTCTGCCTCCTTCTCCACTTGTCTCCTCCACAGGCGGTTGTCCAAGGGAATCACAAACTCCAATAGCTCTTTCACAGTCCCAAACGATCTACCGTGTCTTGCAATTTCATCTAGAAGGTGCGATTTTAGTCCTTTCTTGGCTCGGTCAACTAGGTTTCCATCATCAGACCACTTAAGAATCGCAACATGTCGCTGGAAGGCGGAGAAGTAGTCCGAAGCAGACCCGGTTTGCTTGAGGTCGTTAAGTTGTCGGGCCGCAGTTCCTTCTTCGTCTGGATCACCAAAGTTAGTCTTGAGGTACTTAATGAACTGATCGTGTGTCGTGAGGTACTCAGGAAGAGGTCTTTTGGATAGATCGGGCTGCACTGCAAGAAGAGGTGTTTCGCGTAGATGAGAGATCATGAAAAAGACTTTCTTAGTGTCGTCGGGGAAAAGATGAGAGTTCAATTCGAAATGTACGTCGCACTCAGACAGAAAGGCGGTTAACTTGTTCCGATCTCCTCTCCAGAGGTCTGGGTTAGGTAGCTTTATCCCCTTCCGTTGTTCGCCCACTACGCTTGGGGTCGCCGAAGTTTGCCGTCCCATGGCGTACCTCACTCCTTCTGATATCCCTTCTGCAATCCCGCCCACTGTATCCCTTTCTCTTCTCTGTTCCCATTCCTCCCTACGCCTTCTCTCCTCCATCATGTCTTTGTTCATATTCGCCACCATCTGCATCAAGGCCAACACCACCCCTTGTGTTCCTTCTTCTCCCAAGTTCGCCGTACTTCCAGTGTTTTCTCTTGGGCGTGGGGTTTGGTCTGATCCAAGTGGGGATCCCGCAGGTGGGAGAGCATTAGACGGAGGAGAAGGAGGGTTAGAAGGCACCGGTGGAACGAACTCATCTCCTTGAATTGACCCCCCCACACTATCCTCCACTCCAAGGTCCTGCCCCATCGCTCTGCTAAGCTCCTCCAATGCTCTCCTCTCGTTCTCCTCCATCCTGTCTCCATCCCTACTCATCCCTCGTGTAATTCTTCTTTCTGGTTCCATATTATCTTTGTACTTCTCCGAGGTTCGCACGGGTCGTCGGTAAGAGCGATCCTTGATACTGTCACGGCCGTCGAGCAACTTCTTCCTAATAGACCGACGGTCGACGAACCTCGGCTAACTTCACGCTTCTGAGTCGATGTCTCACCCAACCAGGAGGGCGCAGACGTCGAAAGGAGTGTAACTACGGCGTACTTCGGCGTAGTTACTCTAACTAAGGCTTTGTTCTATTGATGGCGATGTATCCCGATGTATAGCTATCTCTATTTGTCTTTTACTACTGACAACAATCAAGGATCGCTGAAGAACTTCAGCGATCTTCTCAGCTAATATTATCTACTCCTCCTAGACGTTCATCCGACCCTCTCGCGCTTTGACGTACTTCAACGCACTTCGTCCAACTTCCCAGAGCCCTCGGCCATCCTCTTCCTCCTTCGACTAACTCCGCCTAACATCGCCGCACTTCTGCTCCCATTGTCCCTACTTAGCCTAACTCCGCCTAACATCGCCGCACTTCTGCTCCCATTGTCCCTACTTAGCCTAACTCCGCCTAACATCGCCGCACTTCTGCTCCCATTGTCCCTACTTAGCCTAACCCCGTCTAACTTCGCCGTACTTCTGCTCCCATTGTCCCTACTTAGCCTAACTCCGTCTAACTTCGCCGTACTTGGTGTCAGAAGTCCTGAGTTACGTGTAGAGTAAAGAGGTTAAGGCGTGATGGGGTTTTGATGGCCAAAGGAGGGTCATTGTTGGTGGAGTAATCGAGGTGTCACGACGTAGTTCGTGACAGTTTGGCGCTGAGCACCATTTCAAGCTCTTCACCCCCGAAACGCTCAGCACTGCTTGTTTGATGCTACTACATGACTACGAAAGCGAAGTGTAATAGTTTCAAGAGAGGGAAGTATACTACTTGTACTCTCTCCCTGTGTCACGGGATCCCTTTCCACTGTGATGACATAAGCAAAAGAAGGAATACCTTCAGCAGTATAACGACGTCCCCAATCATCACAGCTTTGTCCCGGATGGAACGCAACAACAAGGGTTTTTACAACACTGGAGGGATCACCAGTGAGCCCTGGGTTAGATATGAAAACAAAGTCCTCGCAAGAATCATAATGGAGTTGAGGAAGGTGATAGGTTCCATTGGAGGTAAGGACTGGAATGACAACTTTTCTGTGTGAAAAGACTAAATTGACATCACACCCTACAATAACATCGAAGGACTAGAATGGTATCACCACTTTTAGGAAATTTTGGTCACTGCACAATGAAAATGACAATTTCTAGTATCCCTGTGGGGTTGAAAATACCTTGAAAGGCTCAAGTCTCAAAATTCGAGGATAGGGATGAAGAATCATGTAATTTGACTCCTGTCATTCTAGTCCTTTGATGTTATTCTAGTCCCTGGTGTTATTCTAGTCTTTTCACCCGGAAAAAGTGTCGTTCTAGTCCTTACCTCGGTTCCATTGGTCACAAATTCCATTGCCTCCAGTAAAGCCGTCATTTTGCTTGGGTGGGTACTACTATATCAGATGGAAGTGATAAAGTGATGTGATTGAAAGAAGAGGGAAGATATCTCCCAGGGGAGACTTCATACCCATTTCAGTCTCATATTGTCTTCTTTCTACCCATCCCAGGCTGAATCCGAATGTGGAAATTTCACATTTGTGCTGATGGATCACCTTTGAATTCCTAACGGAGCAATTGGGCGAGAGCGTCCGTCGGCATTTGACCCTCTCGGCCGTGAAGGTTGGAAGATCCCTCCTTTCTTCTGGACCTTCTCCTAGTGATCTTGTCAGATCTTGTTTACTCTCATTGATGAAAGGGTGATTCACTTGTCAAGCTTACTACGTGAATGTCCCCCCTTCGCGGCTTCCTAGATGAGTCCGTCTCCCCTTCCGTGCGAAGATTTCGACCGAAAAGTGCCACGTTCGGAAAGTGCCACATTCGTATTTGAATGACGTTTTCCCACACCAAACGCATTCAAACACTCTCATACAACTCTATCTCTACAATGGTACGTCAAACCATGCATCTATCTCAAAGCTGATCTACACAGCATGGTATCAAACGTTCACGTCTATCTTCCCAGGCAGAAGTGATAAGACGGGAGAAAGAAGCGGGAAAAATCGCGGTGTATGGTTCTCTGCAAGCTGAGATCTTGACTTTGGTGCGTTCTTCCTTTACTACCTGTTCGTGACTTGTCGAGCTATGTTGGATATAATTGATAGTGTAGAAAAAGAACAAAATATATACCCCGGATGCGTTGAAAAAGACGACCGAGTTATTGGACCTCAATCCCGAATTCTATACGATATGGAATTACCGAAGACATATCCTTCTTCATCTGTTCAACTCTGCGTAAGTCTCCTACCCGTCTCCCATCTATGTCTCTTCATTCAAAGTGATTACTTTCACAATCATTTAACATTCCCGCAATCTGAGCTTCCCAGGCTTGAACGCTAAGCAAAAACTTACAATCAATAACTATCAGAATCAGAATCCAGCTGATGTGCAGCAATCCAGAAGAAATCGTTTCCCTTCTCACTACCGACCTCCGTCTAACCATGTCTTACCTCCAAGTCCATCCAAAGGTGTATTGGATATGGAATCATCGTAAATGGTGTCTGGAAAACGTTCCGGTCGGTCCGGAAGATACTGAAAGATGGAGAAACGAATTCTGGGCCATGGAATTGGCTGTGATTGAGAAAATGTTAGATGCGGATGCTCGGAATTGTCAGTAGAACAACCCTACTACTCTATCATCATACCTCCCCCAATAAGTAACTCACTCTGCTTCATGGCGGAATATGACAGCGGTGAACGGTGAAGCATACGATCGGTGGAGAATGTCATGACAGACTTACATACAGTTCACGCATGGGATTACCGTCGTTACGTTCTCTCTTCCTTACCTGAATCTTTCAAACCTCCCCGTACAGCATTAGACGAATTACGCTATACCAAGAAAAAAATCGAAAGTAATTTTTCAAACTTTTCCGCATGGCATCTTCGTACCAAGATCCTCGGTGGGATGTGGGAGGGGATGGAGGGTCATGTGGTGGAGAAACAGAAAGATGCTGGTGAGTATATCATCTCATATATCTTTCCCTCTTCAGAAAGCCGTCTTATATCCATGGCTCATTAATCCGGGGAGATTGCATGACAACAATCAATGTGGTTTTTGCATTCAGCATATTGAGCGTGAACTCTATTCTTGAAACCAAGAGCAGGAGGAAGACCCGCAGTGGCGTTGGATGATGACCTGGCTGACATTGACGAATTTGAACTTGTTCGTCAAGCATTATGGACCGATCCAGGTGATCAAAGTGGATGGTTATATCATCGTTGGTTGATAGGTGATCGTACGTCTTCCCTCTTCCCCGTGATATCTTTACTCATCTATAGATCCTGAGGAAAGTAGACTGAGGGAAGAAATCAATTCGATTAGAGAATTGAATGAAACGGAACCTGATTCTCGATGTCAGCTACTCCATTCTCATTTCTCATCACAGAGATTTGGACAATACTCTGTATGCTATGAGCTGACATGATATAGGGTGTATGAACGCTTTGGCGCAATACGATATCCTTCTCTCTTCTTCCACTCGAGGAGAAGAACGAAATGAATTACGACAAGAGGCTAGAGGGTTATTGAGAAGATTAGGAAAGGTGGACGTCTTTAGAAAACAACGTTATAGAGATATAGGTTTGTCCATCTTTTTGACAATGTATCATGTCGTTGAGCTGACAGATAGCAAAGAATATATAACTTGGTGTCATGCATTTTACATATAACAGCTAGACCGGGAATTGATAAGGAGCGACAGATTAAGGATCCGAAATGGCATGTTGTAAGATACCTCTTCCGAAAGCAGCAGCTACGACTGCAAACCCATCATCCGCTTCGTGTACTTCGGAAAGGAATAAATCGTGTCTGTCCGCTAGACGAGTTTGGTTTCTACGGATCTCACGGATGATGGAATGTTGTCTAGCGCAGAGGATACATTCGGGCTCTGAGTCACTGAGGCAGCTGGGGATTTAGCGAGGGTTTGGTATTCCGTCCACTACTCGCCGACTGACATATACTCGGTCTCTCATATTTTTTCAAATACAGGATGTTGGAGGGGTAGGGTGCGGAGACAGGGTTTGATCTGAGGTGTGATATGTGTCGCGTGCCATGTGTCTTGTGTCTTGTAAGATGTGTCGCGATAACCGGACAGGCTCGTGAAAAAGAGAGGGGGAGAGAGAGAAATACAGAGAAAAATAGAGAGAGAAAAATAAAGAGAGAGAGCGAGATAGAGAGAGAGAGGGAGAGAGAGAGAGAGGGAGAGAGGGAGAGAGGGAGAGAGAGAGAGAGAGGGAGAGAGAGAGAGAGAGAGAGAGAGAGAGAGAGAGAGAATGAGAAAGAAAGAAAGAGAGAGAGAGAGAGAGAGAATTTTTGTGAAAGAGAAAATGACCCACCGTTGATGATAAGAATGTTTACACATGAAATGCACCGATGGTAAATCCAACTGTGCTCCACAAGCTGAACATCTGGTCACTTGAGAGACTTGAGGTATATGAGGGTTAACAAGTTCGATCAATTCTTTTTCTTTTGTTTCAGTTTCTGATCTATATGATTGTACTAAATGTTTATCCTATGTCGTCAGCATGATGGTCGATATCTTTCTTTTTGTATCCTTTTCCACTTCGAATCCGACTTGTTTGTGTTCATGTTCCATTTCCTCCTGATTATTCAAATGATAGAAAGAATGGAGGACCCCTGATTACTCAAATGATACAAAGAGTGGAGGACCCCTGATTACTCAAATGATACAAAGAAAGGAGAAGGTGGATTCTACAGAAAGAAAAGGTCAAAAAACAAAACTCACCGAATCAATCTCTTGTCTCATTTCTGAAACTTTATCAACCAACCAATTCTTAACATTCCCAACACTAACAACATTATTCCTACTTAATATTCTAACGATTTGTAAAGGAGGTATAATCTTTTCTTCATCAATGACATCTAACAGAGCTTTAATCTTATCTTGATGTCTATTTATTATACTAGTGTTCGAAGTGAAATATCTCAACACTAATTGATATAGTTTCTTATCGGTAGGACCATATTTTTCTAAATATTTCCATACTTCATCCGAAGGTATCTTTTCTGAATTATCTTCTTCTTTTTCATCTTTCATCTTCAAAGTGGAAAAATTCTCTTTACCTTTTACGATCTTAGTTCCGATTGGAAGATCGTCTTTGACTGTGGAAGTGAGATTTGATTCGATTGGAGAATCAGGTAAAGGTTGTGAAATCCAATACCTTAAAATCTCTTCGTACATTCCCATATTTTCCCATAAAAAAATCAAACCATCTGTGAAATTAACAGTTGAACAAAGCATCAATCCATGTATGGGATCATATTCCAAATCTGTCCTTTTGATCAATTCTAACGCTTTTCGTCTTGATTTTTCAGCAAGGCTTCGATCGGAAGAAAGGAGGGAAGAGAGATATAACTCGAGAAGAGTGTTCCATATCGCTTTTTGATCTTCTTTCTCTTCCACACTTACTTGTCCTATTTCCAAGCTACCCTTGCTCTCAGACTTGGTATCGGCTTTCGTGCTTATGAGATTTTTGTCTGGAGGTTGATCAAGAGATTGTGACCATCTAGCTTTCGCGACAGCTTCGAGGAATTTGATAAACAGTATAGGTTGGTCGATAAAATGTGAAAAGAAATTTCTGGGGGAAGGTATTTCGTATGTCTGTGAACTCTGTTTCTTCTCCATCTCAAGTTTCACGGATAGGTTCATATTTGCATTTGTGCTTGCATTTGCGTTTGGATTTGGATTTGGAATTGAATCCAAAGTTGATTTTCTTTCCCCGCCGTTGGTCGACTTGTTGGTGGTAATACTCGGCCCGGTGGTTGTGGGCCTAGGTACAGGTGAAGGGGAAGGAGAAACGGCAGAGATGGAATTGGTGAAAAGATTTGTGACGTGATTATAACCTAAATAAGACAAAACAGCAGGACCTGTAGTGTTGGGTTGATCTTGATTTGTTGACAGGTTTAAATCGGGTGAACGAACTCTTCCAAGGGTACCGGAACAAAGTTCAATAAGAAGTTCAGTGGTTGATTCCGGTTCGTGTTGGAGTAATGTTTGACCATATCGTACAAGGTTTTCTTGACACTGACAACGTCAGTCACATCGACATACACGGGCATGACATAAAATAGATAGGACCATGCAAGGTGGTTGAGAGGGATGAAAGGATATGAAAAGTGAGGACAGGTGTCACTTACAGATTCAGGTTTTAAAGATCTTAAATACCTCAAAGCATCCTTGTATTCCTCCGCATCTTCGATTTGTATCCGAAGAAAATCTTCATGACGACCATATCTACTTGCAAGATAAGAAGCATGCTCATAAAAACCCGCTTGACGACAAACACGAATAGCAGTGTCTAAATCGAATGGTAATTGTTCTGTTTCTGATCCGTCGGAACGACGAGCTTCAGTTTTGATGAATGCGTCTAGACGTTCTCGATCGGATGTTTTGGTATAACAGTTGAGTAGAAGAGTTGTATGATCTGGATTTGCGAGTCCTCGGGAATGTAATTCTTGGAGATAAGTGGTGAGGTTTGAGATTCTTTGAGCGTCGAGGTACTGCATAGTCAGTCACGCGAGATTTATTGTCTGATATTTGTCCTAAAACATTGGATATGTGATGAGAGGCTTATACCCCTGGGCAGAGGACCGGAGTGGAGCGGAAGGGTGGAGATAGACCCACTTTTCGAATCACATAACTAGGTTGTAAAAACCCTAAGGTTTGGACAAACTGTCCCATCGCACCATCAAAATCTCCCTTCGTATACAAATGATCACCATATCGTCGATGTACATCGGCAATTCCGGCTTCTGTGATGCCTTCGTTTTTCGCTAGCGTCAGAGCGAGCGGGAAGAGACTGCGTTTGTACATCGTTTCGAGCTTTGAAGCGGTGGTCTGTTCTTCGAGTTTGGAAAGCTGAGGTCAGAGTACTATCCCTTGGGGACACGTGGAAAGCATTCTTATTCAATTCATCGTCTCACACAGGAACCGACGTCACACAGAGAAAGAAAGAGACAAACAAGAAGCAAAAGAAAAAGGTTGATATGAGGGACGAAGGTATGGCCCAGTGTTGGTTTGAATTTTGGTTCCAAAAACACACACACTCGATTTGTGCTGTCAAGAGGAGCAGGAGTACGGTTGTACGCTTGGTGTCAAGGTGATGATGCACAACAAAGTAGTGAGAGGTTCACCCACCTTGCCATCATTCCCAAAAACATAAACCTGTCCCCATTGACAAACCACATCCCTAACTCCATCCGCAAAAGTCCCAGAATAAGAAATCAACTGATTGTCCAAATCAAAGACCGTAATCTTAGCTATATCCCCCGATCCTGCATTATCGCCATTCGCGGTAGTCTTGGCGAAATGATGTCTGACCGTAGCGGAATTGGAATTTGCTGAAGGGATGATAGGAGGGGAAGTGATGATGAGACTATGACGGAGTATTGTTACTGATGATTTGGGACCTGTGCTCAGTCATCGTCCTTTTCCTCGACACAAATCTCAAATCTAAGTCAGAGGAGAGCATGAACAGTGATGAGTAGAGAAGAGGTGATTGAAAAGTTGAGAATTGTAACTCACCTTCGTAAGCGAAACTCGCTCCTTTCCCTTCTGTATCATAGAGATAAATCCCTTCATCGCTAGCTATGACCATTTTCTTTTTTTCTTGATCCATAACAGCACAACCTAATCCACTACCTACATCATCTAAAACCCTGGGTTCTCCTCCTTTTCCCGACACTTGTGCACAGAGAAGACGATTGACAGTAACTATAAATAAACTTAACAAGTTGCTTCCTTTATCATTATCTATTATATTGGTGGATAACGATGGTTCTCTGAAACCTAGACCCGTAATGGGTTCAGGGGATTCATGTATGACTCTAGCTTTCGGTAATGAAGTTAGAGATGTTGGAGAGGTGGTCAGGGATTGGAGTAGATGTCGATAGAGTAAAACGGTACCGTCTCCTAGACCTATAGCTAAATGTGAGAGGTTTGAAGTTAGGGCTATACTTGAGATCTGGGTGTTAGCCTCGTTCCCGTAATATACCCAAGCAATACAACATGACTTGTTAGTCAAATATGGCGATGTGGTCGAGGTGTGTTTTATATCAAGCTGATGGAAGAACCAGTTGAGAAGAGTATACTCACAGGATGCGATCTTTGACCATTTTGTATCTTCACATTCCTCATCAAAACAGGTCCACCCCCGACTCTCTTCTTTTCCTCCCTTGTCAAATCCCATATCTTCAAAACGGGCAATCGACTGCCATCTTCTTCCCCCACAGCAACCAGCAATCCACCAGCTTCCAATATACTCTGGGCTCTTCCATTCCCTTCCCATGCGATGAAAGAACGTTCGAGGTTGAAATGTCTATCGAGGATGGTGATGGAGTTACCGGATGAGATGATGATACTTGGTGTCAGAGGTGAGAGGGGGGATGTGGATGTGATTGCTATAGGAGGTTGGAGGGACTGTAAAGTGAATCTTAGTGCGTGTGGATATGGATAGGTAGAGACTCACTTGTAGTATCTTTGGAGGTTGAGTAACATCTTCTTGGTCGGTTACTTGAGATACGTCAAAGAATGTGAATTGACGCCATTGTTGAGGGATGACCGACTGCGGGTGTGAGCGAGTGAGTCAGAGTAAGGGGAACATGTATACTCACAGGAGAATGAGAAGGACCTGCTGACATGTTGGGCTGTTATCTTATAAGCAGTACTTAGTGTAGACACACCACTGTCATTTATATGTGAAAAGTAAGAAAAGTATAGAGATGAAAGAGAAGAGTTGTCACCTTCGTCATCTTCCTCACTACTTTACCTTCATATCCATCTCATGTCTATACATTTTATACATATATCACATGGTATCTAGCGAGACCATGCTATACCGATATGTCGACTACCAACCTTCAGCTCCCATTAGATGCACGTAGAGCTCTAGGTCGACGTCCAGGTGCTGCTCCCTTACCTCGGGTCAGTCTTCCCTTCCACTCCTCCCCACCTACAATACCCATAGCTTGCTCCTCTTCATCTATCCCTATGGAAGCTCATATGATAGGTACAAATTGACACCACCTTTCAAGAAATCCCATCTTCACCTATCCACCTTCAACCACCTTCTCCAACTAACAACCATGTTTCTCCTTCCTCACCACAATCACCTAACACCCCAAAACGTTTCCGAAGACCTACCATCTCCCGACCTAAACAACCACCAAGATCCACAAGAGGGTTATACGAAACGCAAAAACTTCTCTCTCATCTATTGGACAAGATCGACTCTCGTCTGCCCGCTCCTGACTTATTGGACCGAGCTGCATTGGCTATCAGAGCCATCTCTAAACGTGATATGGGTAAAGGGAAAGGAAGAGCATCAAAAATGACACAAGCTGTGGTCGCTGTCACTCAACCAACATCATCATCCTCATCATCCAATCAACTCGGTCCTAGTCAAGTGGGTATCAGTAACGAAGATTACGATGAAGTTCATTTGAAAGAAGGAGAATGGGATACTGAAGGAGTTTTCGAATTATTGGAACAAACAAGATCTTTATTGGTTTTATCAGATAAACAAGGGTTGGATTTATTTACAGATTCAAGAATATCTGAGAATGGTCTATATATCGGAAAGAAGAAATCAGGTCGATTATCAACATCACCTGTATCACCTATAAATTCACGTTCGAAAGAACAAGATTGGAGAATTGAACAAACCTCGTTCTCTGGTCAAAATCTCTTATCGAGGATGTTGCATACTCTATCAACGTTGACGACGATAGAAGGGATACATAAGGTACATCGATATAGACCTTTGTGTCCTCCTAACGCTTTACAATCAGCTTGTTTGGATGTTGCGACGTTTCTTTGGCATAAATGTGGGATGGAAGTAAGAATCAGAGTGATGGGGATGGTGATTGACTCGATGTATACTTTCGGGGAAGAAATGATTGAGAGATTATGTGAATGGATTGAAGGTCGATTGGGTGAGCTACTCAGTATACTAGAAAGAGATAGGGGTGGGAGAGAGAAAAAAGAATCGACAATATTTACAGATCCTTTTGCTTTTACTTCCAACGACCAGAACTTACCTGGATTCGCCATTTCGACCGAAGATACAAATCCTCCAGATCCACATAGTACAACAGCTTCACACGTACCATCGTACTCTTTCGACGCTAGCAATCCTTCCAAGAATGTTGTTGAAGATTCGAAAACGACAGGATGGTTACGATACTCACCTACAACCCCTCACCCCATATCCCACTCTACTCAATCGTCTACAGGTATATCATCAACTTACGGTACATCCCTCAACCTATCTCAAACTTCCCACCACATCGCAAGCTTGATAACGCAACTCATACTCTCTCTGATTTCCAATATCGACCTCCGAGCATCTCGACCCACTACCATATTCCGAGTCCATCGACTGTTCTCCCTCATCCTCATTTCCAAACCGGATGCTTATATCGATTTACTGGAAGTAGCAGCCGTATCTCCTTCTGTACCCAGTCGAAGAGCTTTGGAACTATTGTCTTCTTTCTATCCTCACTGTATAGGACATGACAACGTAGCTCGTCGATTACCTTCTATGACCTATTCGAACCTATACGAACGTTGGTCGAATAGTCACGATAGGGTATTAGGTGAAGATGAAGATTCTCATCATTTCGTTCCTTGGAAAATAGAAAACGAATCTTCTTCTTCATCATCTTCTCATTCCCCATCATCAACTTCCCAATCATACCCATCGTTTCAAAAATGTTCAACCTGTCAACTCGACGTACTTGGATTTTGTCTTAGATGTACACTTTGTCACGATATTCAACACTTGGAATGTTATAACCCTACAGACGATATGTTCATTTACGAAGTAGTAGTTTTATCTCAACAAACCTCACTCCCTTCTGTGGTATCAGTGAAATTTAGTAAATCCCTTTCACCCACAGAAGATCTTCTTTTGATATCATCATCGACATCATCGAATCATTCACATACTAGAAGAAAAGTAGGTCAACACGATTTACGTTTAATAAACCTTTTCAACCTAGCAATATGTAACGAATGTCATGAACCTATTTGGGGATCTACATGTCAAGCTATGGCTTGTTTATCAGGTTGTCAAATGTTATTACATCCTTCTTGTGTGGATAGACTACAACAACAAACTCCTTCAAAAATGGTCCAATGTAGGTTCAGAAGAGAAGTAGTTATTGATGATATTTCCGGTCAAGGTGGAAATCCTTTCTCACTCTCGAGAAAAGATATGGAAGAATCATACGAACGACAGTTTCCAAACTTGATGAAGAAGAATGAAGATTTGGGCAAGTTATCCTATGACGAATTATGTGTTTTGTACGGTATGATATGGATACAAGACGAAATCCTTCAGAGTGGTCTTTCTGGGGGATCTATACGTATAACCGACCACCCCTCCCGTCCACCAGACGATGACAAACCCTCGAATACTTCGAACGTTTCAGCGTCGAAGATAGATTTTCTCAAGACAAAGTTGGAAAACATAGAAAGGGAAATTTCTACCCGTTATGGAACCTCTCAACCTGGCTCATCAGCCCTGGTTAATCACATATCTCTTCAATCCATCGATCAACTTCCCGCAAAGGAATACATCTTTTCACACCATTTCTTGACTTACATCCGAACTTTACTTCGTTGTCCTTCCACTTCCTCACCTTTACTCGACGGTTTACTCTCAGCACCAAATTCACCTAATCCGAATCAAGAAGAAGAAATACCAATATCATACGAGAGTTTAAAGATGTCATCTCTTGTCCAAACTTTGAAAGTCGATTTGGACATCAATCATCCTGTCCTCGTTGCATATCTATTGGATCATCTTCGCTCTCAAGGTCTTATTGCCTATCCGTTCAAATACCAATCCTACCATACCCAAGTACACGTGGATTCACAACTGTCTCGAACCCCCATCAATGTAGGTTCAAATCTCAGTCCTTCCAACGGGCAAAGTAATACCAACGTGGTACCTAAAATCGACCGCGATGAATGGGTGTCTTTCGGATTACCAATGTTGATGGATTCAACGCCGAGTATAGAATTGTTAGTAGTTCTGATAGAACGTCTGTTAGGGGAGTTAGATCTCACTTTGTTGGAAGTGGGTTTAGGGTTGTTAGTTAGACGAACTTGGCCTGATGGGTTGTCGTCGGATTATGCTTTGGAGAGATTGGGTAGGGCGGTGATGGGTTGGGTTATGACGGAGGTGAGTTCTTCAATTCTTCACTAAATGACCTTGGGATCGGTTTCGTTTCTTATGTCACTCGACATTCTCGTACCCTCACATTTCAGTAGGCCTTGTTTCATCATTTCATCTTACTGCCTACCCCTGGACCGTTCCCTCTCAGCTTCATGTCATTTTTTCATCAGTCTTGTATTGACTCCCTGTCACGCCCTTGTAACTTCTCGTAGATTACCTACTAATCCCGTTACAATTTCTTAGATCATCTATCAACCATTCACGAAACATGTCAGAGTAGAATCAGAGATGTACACGGGAGAACATTGACAACAGGACGAAACACTCCATCTGATAGTCCGGAATTACGCGAGTAAACACCTTCATTCACCTGGGATCCGAATCAACCCTCTTGAACATTCTCAAGCTACATCCGTATCGACCTACCAGATATCTCGTCAGAAATTACTGAATCGTTATGTTCGACCATGGGTACAAGCATTACATATCTTGTCACCGGAATTATACGCTCATGTAGTATACGAAGCTTCTAAATCTTCTTCCTTCTCACCCATCTTAGATCCTTTCGACTCTCCTTCTCCATTTCATCCCCTTCTCGAAACCCTGACCTCGTCCAACGAAGAGAAGAAACATTCAATTCCCTCTATCCCTTCCTCCCATTCCGGTCCCAAGACAAATTTTCAGGACGAACCCACGATCAGCCCATCATTGTCAAAGGTCCAAGAAGAAAATCAATCAATGGCCGTTAAAATAGCTACTACGGCATTGGAGAGAATATCGAAAATAGTAGATAGCAAATTAGTCTTCACAATGTTGCTCGATATACTCATAGCATGGTTAGAAGATCTTGGTAGTTTATCATCCTTAGATATAATCTACAAACCTTTATCGAAGTTATTTGGACATATTCAAATGAATCCAAACGTACCAGAGGTGGAACAGGGTATTTGGGGGGTAATATCTGATGTGATTAAACAGGATGGAGGAGAAGACAGGGTTTGTAGATGGTTGAGGGTTTTAGCAGTTTCGAATGTTGGAATACCTTGGGAAACATTGACCGATTTAATCGACCTTTCCTCAAAACTCTCAATTGGAACAGATCTCCTTAGGTCGACATCAACAGTTAAGGATACTTCGAAACGTTCGTTATCTCTATCGGCAAAGATGGATTTGGTGGTGACTATCAATCTCAATCCTAAACCTTTGGATTCTAAAGAACTCTTGTCGTTCCTATCTAAAACCTTTCTCGCTTTCTCGACTTCTCTTTCGGACCATTGTCAGCCCAAATCTGCCGACCTCAATACGAGAACTACACACACCAACTCAACCGAATACATCGACCCTTCAAATCCCAACACGACGGATTTCAACAGTCCTGCATATGATAGATCTATCGAACCTCTCAATATAATACAAGAAACCGACTTACTACATCTTCTCTTTCTTGGAATCCTAAAACCATATGTTTCTTCTGAAAATATCACTAATACTTCTCTTATCTCCTCGGAACTCTCAAGAAAACATCTTATCATGTTATCTAAACGACGTCAAATCATCACTTCTTCATCACTGAATCCCCAGATTATCCAAGTTTGCGCCAAGTTGTTAGATCTCAAAAGACATGATACAGAGATCATACTGGACTTTTTATGGTTGATATTGACCAAAAGTTCCATGATGGACTTAGAAGGGTATGTACATAAATATTGCGGGATGATATATCCCAGTTTGTGGGATTCGAAGGGGAAGGGAAAGGGAAAAGAATCGAGATCGGGATTGTTTTGGAGGTTGGTGAGTGTTAATGTGGGACCTATGGAGGTTTTGGTGAGAAAGAAGATGGAAGATGATCGGTTAGTCTTTCTTCATCTTCACCCCTTCTTTACCTCTTTCTTCCCGCTGGCTTTCGATTATTGACATCCCTCCATGCCCATCACCTGTCTCCCTTCTGCAATACCATCTCGGAGAAGAGTCTACCTCCTCCCCGTCGGTTTTTCATCACAAGGAATGGGTAGTTCCCCTCTCCACTTTTCTCCCACTTCTTGGATTTGAAGAGAACGTGGAAGTGGAGACACCTGGCTCACACACAGTCACACAACTCTGGAAACCCTACTCATCTTCATCCTCGAAATAGCCGATTCGACACTTTCACATCCCCCAAACTCTCATCGAGCAGCAGTATCATTACTCAACATCTTCTTTGACTCTCTGATGACTTCAGACAATGTACGTATCTCCAGTGTTGTAGACGATTCATGACTGACTTATAGCTTTCTCCAGATAGCGCGACATTATTGCAATCTTTATTTCCTACGCAACTCGAGGCGGTGTCAAGATGTTATGAAGAGTTGTTGGTTCAGAGTACGGATGATGAGAGGTTTGTGATTCTTACTAAATTGAGAAAATGGCATAATTACCTACCTACTTGGCCAGGTATGTTCACTGATTATTCTTTGTACCTCCCCACCTCCATAAGTCACCTATGACTTTGTACCATTTCACATTCGTCCTCCTCCCCCTCCCACTCTCTCATTTAACTTACCCCTGCCCCGCCTTCTATAGTCACCAGACATACATCCCAACTCTTCTCCTCATCGCATTTTCTACTTCGTTATGTATAGTCGTGAACGCCCTCATCCATCCGATGACAATTTCTGACACCCAGTTCTCTCATGGTCATGTATCGACTCGCTTCTCTCAGAAGTAGTGGCCAACACCCAACAACTCCCCTCTCTTTCACTAATCGATGCTCACCTCGTCCGAACCAGTCTTCTAGCATTAGGACTAGACATGTTAGCACACGAAATACCAATAGATTACCCAACCAGTCAAAAATTCCAACAACATGTAGCTTCCGCTTGTTCACTGCCTTGGCCAGAATTCGATAAAGGTATCACTCAATTACTTTTTCCTTCTCTTCGAGGATTACTCGATTCACCCGTCAAGATGCAAGTAGGGGGAGGGATGAGTAAAGTTAAAAAGATGGGTTTGGCAGGTGGGGTATTCGTTCCCATCGTTTTGGCCTTGGCTGGACAGTTGGGTCATGTGGGTTTTGTGGAACAGAGATGTTTGTTGGATATGCTTTTGGTAACGTTTTTCAAGGTGGGTTTTTCATGCCTGATATCCATTCTCATTGCCCCGAGTTTATGTTTGACGTGGAAAAACACACTGTGTGGGTCTTACGAACCAAATGGCTTACATCGTTCAACCCCTCCTCAAGCGTTCAACCAACTCATCAGTTGGTTAATCCGCCATACTTCACGTCTGACCCTGTCCCTCCGGTGCAGTCCGATGACAAGAGAGACTCAAAGAAGGATCGAAACTTTGTTTCTGTGGGATATTTTCGACAACGATGAGACTGACCACATCAGCACAACTTTCGTCCAGTCGAACTACTCGCTCGAAAAGCATTGACCACCCTAGGCGAATATCTCACTTTTGCAACTTGTTCAGAAAACCGTCTCTTGGCAATAAGAACTATCCAAGTAGCATTGACCAACTTTGACCGACCTTCCATAACCTCAACAGCGCCACAACTATTCTCACACCTTTCACGTGTATTGGTAAAGCAAACCAAAGACAACGAAGATTATACGATAATCGAACAAAGTCATAATTTGTTACATACGATTATCAAATCGTCTTGGAAGAGCGGAATGTTTTTGGTGTTATTCGAAGATGAATCTCATCGCGAAGACTCGGTTCTAGGTGTAGTTTTGAAGATGTTGGTGGATGATCAACCTGATGAAAATTCTGGGAATGGACCTGACATAATCCGTGGTATTATATGGGATATGTAAGTTTATTTCATGCCGATAACCCTAGCCGCTTTTATGGGAACGAACATCGTATCCCTATCCAACGCAGTGATCCAGTCTCTTGTTCAGACACCTGTATAGGAGTTATGTGGAGAGATGTAGCTTAGGTTACAGTATGGAGGTGTTTAGAAAAGATCGACAATATCTACAAAACGTATTGAAATCCCTCTACATTGTCGTCAAAGAGCAAAGTAAACAATGGTCAGAAGTAGCTGTTCAAGGTGAGTCTCCTACTCAACTGGACATAGTCTGACAAGATAAGATTTTGGGAATTTCTTAAGTAGATTGACAAAACATATCGCAGATTTACCTGTTGGCGAATTTGACCCGGATTTCTTGTTGATGACATGTGCTAGAGTGTTCAAACTTGCTCCTTCTACGTGTGCGGTGGTAAGTCTTCAATGAACCATCCTGATTTCACGTCGTAGTCTTGAATGTTCCATGACCATTCTGACTGTGATTCTCCATCCTGCTTCGTGTTATGATCATTCCCTGTCCACAATTCTGAACATTGGCCTTGATGTCATCGTTTCGTGGTGTTGACGGAATGTGGGGGTGGGAAGGATCTGAATCAAGATTTTAGTGTAAGCAAGAGAAAACTGACACATATAGATGTTGCTACATCAAACTTCCACAATGCTTCATCTTGTCCTCACTCGGTCCGACGTCAATAAAGATGCGATGGGAATATTGAGTCACGCGGCAGAAGAATTGTGCGAGAGGGAAAAGACGGAGGACACTGTGAAAGGTGTGGTGAATGAGTTATGTGGGAGTATGTTAAGTGGAATGGGTGTGATGTCCGGTACGATGGGGGTTTTACTTGATGTGAGTGACGCGATTCTTTCGTTCCGTTATATAGTTTTTGTAATCTATTCAAAACGTCTCCGTTATCGCCCCTGTCTTGTGTATCTCATCTTCTTCGGGTGGTTCCTGTTTGTCCACTCCTAGTTCTATGAAAAGGTTCTTGCCTTCCGTTCTGGCGGCTTGGTCGCTGTGAGATGAGCTGACTTCAGAAGACCCTACTCGAATCACAAACCTCAACTCTCCAAGACCCTTCGTTACCCCAATCAGCAACAAACTCTCTCAACCCACAACAATCCCTCTCCGGCTATCTTGACATCCTCTTGCTACGTCATCCCACCCTTCTCCGACCTCTAGACCCCGAAACTTTATTCTCCATCCTTATTCAATCCTCTTCCATCCTTCTCTTATCTGAATCGATTCTACCCGGTAGTCTCCCTCAGATTCTGACCAAGATAATAGACGAACCGGCTCTTATCCAATTAAAAATGTACAACATGCTCCTACTTTCTTCAATCTACCAATCTGAACCTAAGTTCTCTCCTACCAATCCATCCCTTTCGTATCCCCATAATCCCTCATTCATCCAACATCCCCAGGTACATGCATCTCCCCAAGCCCCACACTCCACCTCATCTCACCACACCCGTCATACTCATCACAAACCTCCCCATCTAACCAAAGAATCAAGCCAACAACCAGCTCACTGGAAGATAGCAAGGAAAAGTCTGATCGGTTTATTCCCCATCATAGCTCGTGTCGGTTGTCTATGTCTGAAAGCAAGTAGTGACCATCTTCTCGTTTCTGATTCAGGAGAAGGAGCCGAGTTATTATCAAACGTTTTCATCTTGCTCCGATTAGCGCTGTTGGTCGTGAAACTCGCCCAGTATGAGGATACCGAAAACACGGGGGAAAGGGTACTATGGGATCGGATATGGTCAGAATGGAGTAGATTATTAGGAATCAGTATGGAAAGTATTTGTGTCAATACTGTAAGTTAATTTCTTCTTCTTCTTCTCTCATCTCCTATCTCAAATAAGTACCTAATCAAATCCTAAATCTCTTCGTGGAATCAATATTTCAATGTCTGCGGAATGAGATTTTGATAAATTAGCCATTAAAAGTAATATCACATTCTATTTTCCTTGATTTCATCTTTTTCCTCTCTTCCATAAAATCCGAAATCCTAATCAATCATCGTGATACACTTTATAATACTCTTTTTCAATTATCGACAAAAGGAACCACACCAAAGTTATCCAAAGTACTCAAATTATTTCAACATCATAATTCCGACGTCGACGTTGACGCTGAATCGGACTCAAGGTCACTGCACTCTAAGACATTAGAAATAAGTCATAGAAAGTTGGATATGAGATCAATGATGGATACTATCAAATCGGATTGGATAGCTACTGAACGTCTTAAATTATTACGAAACTAGATTCTTGTATGTATTTGTATCGTCTGACTGGTCCGATTTATTGATATTTCTCATATCTACATGCCCGTACATGTGTCAAGTGAAATCATCCTATCATTCACTGTGTTCTGGTCAGAGGATGAAAGAAAAATCATCATATCATTCACTGCGTCTTTCTGCCAAGTGGGGTAAAACGGTCAGAGGGTGGAGAAAAGGTCAGAGGGTGGAAAGAAGGTCAGAGGATGGAAGGATATGACGGATGAACTGTCTTTGGTAAATCCGTAAGAATGATGGTAAGCCGTGAGGAAGAAAAAAGTACAATACGAAAAAAGTACAATACAAGTAATGAACGATGTAGCGGGATGAGTGCAATGATGGTCTGATCAAGATGCATGGAGATATCACACAATGAAGGATGAAAAGTACTCTTAAATCAAACTTTCATCTTCTTCCTCTTCCCATCTCTATCTTTATCTTTCTCATCACGTCTTTTCTTCTTCTCTTTAATCTCTTTCGACTCTTGTACCTTATCAGCGATAGGAACAGTTTTGATAGTGACAGTAGTTGATAACCTCGCTCTATCTTCTTCTGAAGCATTGACCAAAGCTTGTACACGGTTGTGAGCTTGAGAGAAATCCGCCGATGGATCAATTTGAAATCTGACGTTAATCAACTTGCTTGTTTGTCTCACTTCATCCACATGGACGTGGTGTCGTGAAAGTGAAAGTACGAAAAGATCATCCTGAAAGTATGAAAGAATATCCTGATAGTATGGAAAGAATATCCTGAAAATATGAAAAGAAAATCCTGATAATATGGAAAGAATATCCTGAAAGTATAAAAAGAATAATCAGGGAAAAAGGAGGAATAACTCTGGAAAGGCAATCGTAAAAGACAAAATCCACTCACTCAGTCATATCTACACTATCTAACAATTCCCTTTGTACAGCCCTAGCTCTTTTCACATCATCTTGTAAATCTTCCTCTGCGGTCTGTTCCAAAGCTTTGAAGGTAGGAGCGTTCTTCTTGATAGGTCTTTCTTCAGGAAGATCTTTTGACACTGATGATTTTTGTATTTGTTTCAAAGCGTGGGTTATACGACGTATTATCTTTGCGAAATTGGCTAAAACTTGAGGAGGTGAGAGATCTAGATCGGTCTGTATGATGAGTTTTCCCATTCATTCGTTTCACTCTATCGTTTCCCTGATGTAGTTTCGTTGATTGAGAGACCACTAATGTAGACGATACTATTGTGGCGAGAGTTGAGAGGGACGAGGTACTAGGTAGTACGTGAAAGTGCTCACCTGCAAATCTTCAATGGATTTCCTCTGTAATCCAAGAGCTAACAAAACAGCTTGTTGAGCGACGGATAAACTTCCATCTTCACCTAACCTCCCACCGAATGATAATGCAGATAACAAAGGTACCAAATCAAGTATGACATGATAATCTATCATACCTTCCGTATACGCTTCTAATCTTTTCATATCGAATGGTGAGAGTAAAGAAGAGAGTTCGTCTGATGTTATGGGAGTAGAAGGAGGATCTATTAGACCTTTCGGAGTGGTGGATTGTATGATGGAGAGAGATGTTTTAGCTGAGAATTTTTGGAAAGTAGAGTAAGATAGTAGATTTAAGAATCTTTGTCGGAAATCTGGAATGTGAGTGAAGAACTTTTCGCCTTATATCACTCCACCGGTGCTGAACCAGTGAGTCGCTGATTCTATGAATCCATGAGTTAGAAGGTAAGATTGATGATTGCAAAGAAACGGGGGAAGTGGATATTATGGAAGTGATCTTTGACAAGGGCTCGATCGTGGATGTGATCTTAGAACGTAGGGGACGACTCAAATATTACTCGCACGAAGCGCAGAACCAGAAGGGGTTTAAGTGAGATGAAGAAAAGGGTGACAGAAGGACTATAGAGTCAAGACTGCGGGATGATGATCCTGAGACATATAAGGACAGGTTGATGATTTCAAACCAGCAAAGGCAGGGGCAATGAGGTACCAAATCACGTCCAAAACCACTCACCTAGAGCAAAAGCACCCAACCAACTATCCTTCTGAGCCACATCAGATCTCAACGATCTCAACATGACAAAAGTATGTTCACCAGTTAACGCGTTCTCCTTCTGACTCGCATAAAGGGGTACGAATTTGCCTTTCTTCCAGAACCTAAGTAAGTCCGTTGTGAGACCGAATGATACACCTAGGTAATCTAGTTGTTCGGGTTTTCTCTCTGATAGACGTTGTAAGAGAGGAGGCATTTGATGAGGGGATCGAATGGATATGGAGTCGTTTATAAGTTGTGTTTTAAAATTATGATTAGATGTCTCTTCGGAGTGAAGGGAAGACGAAGGATTGGGAGGATGAAGAGGGTCATCGTAGTTGTATAAATCACCGGAAAAGAAAGACACTAAGGCGTTGATAGCTCGAGTTCCATAGCCCATCTATGTGTTAATCACTGGTTCATGAAGTAAGTTGGACACGACATCGGATCAAAAGAAAGAACATCCTCAGTTTCGCAAAGGAGGGGATGGGCGAAAGAGTCAACACAGCAGAATGGCGGTTGCCAATAAACAAACTTGAGCGATGATATTAGCGGATGAAAAATGTGGAATAAGGAGATTCTAAGGAAGTGCGAAGTTTGGCGCGCAGAGGAGAACGGGGCAATACAGAAGGAGAGGGAAAAGGGAAGAGGGAAGAGAGAAGAAGAAACCACTGACCCTTGAGTACTCAGGATGAGTAGCAATCCTGACTATCCTAGCTCCAGATAACATAGCGAAATCATTATCTTGATATTGTTGTGAAATAATCCAAGGAATCAAATCACCAGAACTTTTCATCCCACTAACACTTAATTCTTTCAAAATAGCTTCCCTTGAAATCTTCCCTTCTAAAGCGACTTGTAAAACCACCAAAGGATCAGGTAAAACATTATCATCTTCTTTTATAGGTGGTAATAGAACGAAAAGATGATGTGCAGGAGCATCAGATAACATTTGTAAATCGTTTGGTGAATTTTTATAATGACTTGAAACGTATAAAGACATTACACGTTGTAAAAAAGTTTCACTAGCTTGATGAAAAGAGAATAGAGTATCTCTGTTGACATGATATAATTCACATTCTGTAGGTTCTGGACAACCTCTAATGTTTCTTGAAATTATAGTGGCGTCTAAACAGAGTAGAGAGTTTAACCATTTTTCTATTTGATCTCCTGGGGAATAACGAATCGGTTCTTCTAATTTTATTTCACGTAGGGATCGGACTAGACCTGAACCTACTCTTGTACCAGTAGAATTTGAAAGTGTTTTGGTGTGGGGGTCGGAGTTGGACTGGGAAGTTTGATCTTTCGTTATGGATGGTCTAGTTTGTTCTCGGAGTTGTTGGATAAGTTTTATAGATAATGATCTACCAGTACCTTCGTATCCATTTATAGTGGAAGCCATAAAGACTAAGTAAGGTCCTATAAGTTTTCGAACGAGTGGAAGTGGAATGGCGGCTGCTTCGTCGATGATGACTAATTCGGCTTGACCTAATACGTGAGAATCTTCAGGTGAGATGTACTAAGTTGTTAGCGAGACAATCAATGAGATTGTCGCCCTGGGGGTTATGACCGAAAAGGTTTAGTACCACTCACTTGGATAGTCTGCCGATGACCTCTGAAGATGTTCACTCTCACAATAGCCTTCTTAAAATCCGGATTTGTACTTTGAACCACATCATAATCCATATGTTCTTCATAACCAAGAGCATCCAGCGCTTTGAAGACGAATTCGAACAATGTCTTGAGGTTTTCCGGGTCAGGAGAAGTCACGAAAACATTCGAATAATCATAGGCCAACGCTGCACCTATAGCTAAACCCAAAGCGGCGGATTTACCTCTACCTCTAGCAGCTGTCAGAGCTACGGTAGAAGAAAGTGTCTTCTCGGAGATAGCTTCTACGAATGTGAGTAAAGCTTTTGCCTAAACCATGAGCTTTGATGACTCCAAGAAAAGAGATGGGATTGACCTGATCGACCGTCTTTGCTAATTTTGCCAAGGCACCAATAATCTCAACACCTTCCAGATTACTCTTCATCTCTTTCAATTCTTCAATTTTTCGTTTACGTCCACGATCATCTTCAGAATCGGGAATGGGGGAAATATCTTTGCCTTTAGATAATGGAAGAACGTTTAGTTCGTCATCTAAGACTAAACAATCGGGACATGAACCTAGCGAGAGGATGAAACGTTCGTTGAAACGAGGTTGAACGAATTGATGGGCGTCGGTTCGGTATCGTGCGTGAACATCCTGGGTGTCAGTTTTGACTGTCTCCCATTTGATCCTGGTTTGGGGGGTAGTTACTTCACATATTCCGCCACCTAGTCAAGGGAGTGAGCTGAGGGGGACTCTCAAGTACGATTCATGATAAAGCAGACGAAAGACGAGAGAAGGCATGGTGTGCAGGAGTCCCGAAGTAGGAGGTTAGAAAGAGAAGACTAACCATTGCCATAGTATACAACTGCCTTAAGCTAGTCATTGTCTTCAATAGCAGAACCACAATTCCCCCACCCTCGACAGTCTCAATAGTCCTCGCTAATAAATTCGGAGTTATAGCTTCATAATCCTGTAAGACCAACATTCCAAAAGTCTGACCTAGAATCTTTGCAGAGTCTTTGTAATAGGTATATCGTATATCGGTGACAGCGATAAAAAGTTCGAATGGATCTTGTTCGTTGGCTTCTCTTATACCACGTTTTATGTCTCTTTTAATCTTTGCTTCTCTTTTCTTCCGATGTCTAATCCATCAGCTGGTAATCGTACTTGATATACGATTAAGACTTACGTGGTGAATCCGAGATCTTTCTTATAACACCATAGTACGTTTGGTCTAGCTGTGACTCTAGCTTGAGATAGGAGAAAGTGAAGATTGACGACCTGTACATCAGCGGACTGTCCTACTCACCATTCAATCCCATTACGTAGCTCATAGAGTGGTCTGAGGCGAGGACTCAGTATGCAGCAGTAGTTGGAGAGAATGCGCAAAGGTAAAAGAGACAAGAAAACCCACCTGATCCCTCCCCCTATCCCCGACCATGACGAAGAAGCTCCTGTGATTAGCTTTGACACCATTATTGATCAAAGCTGGTATTCTCGGGTCTAATTGTTTTCTCATCTTGGCCCCTGCTGCTCTATATGGCGGTCACAATCTCGATATAGAACTCCAGTTGGAAAATGTGTTCATGAGCAGGAAGGTGGAAGGGAAATTCTGGGAGATAAATATTAAATAAACCAAAAAATAATAAACAGGAGGGGTCTTTGTCCCAAGTCCCCACTATATATTCAACTTTGCCTCTTCACCCAAAATACAGACTTGGTCACAAACATCGTCCACACTGCTTACAACGGACACACACAGCATCTAAATCGTGAGGGACAAGTTCGAGATTCAATCTTTGACCCGGTGAGCGGTTGGCGAAAGGTTGTGTGGGTTTGTCAGCTCGGGTGGCGTCGGAAAGTTGAAGATGTATGTCATGTCTTGCCACTCTTTCTCTTCGTTTTGATAGAAGCTATAAATAAGCAGGTGTGATGATGAGAACATGCGCTGACTCAAAGGTCCAACAAGATCGTCGTGTGTCTCATTTAAATCTTGGAGACGTATATCGCTGACACAGGTTCTTCTGCTTTGATTATATTATCCATGTCTCGCCACAACAGCCGCAAGTTTACCGAACTATAATAGACGATGTTTTGGAGAACATCAGGGTGGACTTTGAAGAGTATGGAATGGAAGATGGAATTTTGCAAGAGTTGCAGATGGTATGTGCTCCATTCCACATTCATCCGCGATTCCATCCCCCACGCTTCCCTACCTTCCATTCTCGAATTATTATCATGAGCTATAACACCTCAAAAGAGAGCCCTGGGCTTACGCACAGAAATGGGAAGCCAAACTACTCGAAACACGCGTTGCAGACTTTGCTCGCGCTCCCCGTCCCAATCCTGAATCAGACGACGAACCTCCTCCTCCTCCCAACGCTGCTCTTCCCCAACCGGTGTCAAATACAAACACGCCCATCAATTCGACTACCGGACTTGCTTATGCACAACAATATCCCCAAGGACTAGCATTACCAAATGTTCCAGGTGTATCCAGACCGACAAACACGTACCCCCAAAATGGGTTTGGGGAAATACGTGTTAAGACTGAGGTTGAGGATGTGTTACGTCCCAGGGGAGGAGCTGTGAGCTTTTGTTTGGCTTTTCACTCCTGTCGAAAACTCACTGATGATAGCTCGATGAGCTGGAAGCGGTGATACAGTACCGGAGGGACAATGTGGGTAGGAATCCTTTCTCAATCAGAGACGTCCTGACATCAGGTCACTCCGATTCCCATCGTCCTTCGGCCTAGAGGCGGAGTCGTGAGTCATCACTGATCTCTTCTGAAAGACAACAAATTTATGTCAGTCCGAAGAAGGGGATATCAAACCGAAAGTCGAACCCAACGCAGCGGGATTATTACCAGGCGACGAGATTATAGATTCCGATCTTGATGATTCGGATAGAGAAGCGGGTGAAGAAGACGATGAAGAGGGTGATGTGGACATTGTCTTCTGCGTGTATGACAAGGTATGTTTATCTTTCTCCGTATCAATTGCACTCCGACTGACGAATAGGTACAACGTGTGAAGAACAAATGGAAGACGGTTTTCAAAGATGGTTTAGTACATATCAACGGGAGAGATTATCTCTTTACCAGGTGCACCGGGTGAGTTTCAGAACCCTATCCACCATGTCATCTCGCTTATGAGATAGAGAGTTCGAGTGGTAGTTCATTAATCTAACTTGGTCCCCCCTCTGATGGTGTTCCCCCGTCCTTAGTCCTTCGAATGAACCAGAGAATACATATTTTCCGTCGCGTAGCCGGAATGAATCGTTCTCGTCAAGATGTTGCATAACACGTAATACAAAAAATCAATTCAGTGATACATCCGACCTTCTCACCTGACTGTCCTTGTGCTGTGAAACCAATCAAATTCCGTCATGTCCCGTCCCGACCAAACCTCACTTCGTAGATCCCGAGAGAAGTAGAAATTGTACTGCTTAAATCCTATAATCCCATCATGCATAGTATCGCATTCTCCGACATTAGCTCTGGTACATGAGGGACAGAGCCGGAGACAGACCTCTCTAGAAGGACTTGATCAGACCCAGCAGGAGTATTCGAATGTGTACGAGGAGTACGATTACGATGATAGTAAAGAGTTGCATCGAAGACTACGGAATGAAATCGTATGACCAATCCGTATCATAGTTACGTGGCATTACTAATCAACAATAATTGGGGTGTCACGACGTAGTTCGTGACATGCATACTAAAAGAATGAAGCCAAGTCTCTAGCAAGGATGGCAGGAATGGACCAAAAATATGCCACACCGCCCAAAACCCCGGGCACACCCTCTCCTTCTTGGCCATGTAGCTCCATAGTTTCAGTCAAGTAATCTGAACTGTAAACCATGGATTGACTTGTCTTAGTTGAATGAACAAACTTTGTTAATGGTTCATACCTGTATCTTCTAAGGTAACGGAGATGCAGCATGGAAAAGATGGACATCATAACATTGCAGCCAAATTACTAAGGAACATGTGTTTCATCTGCCACCGCACCCCACTGTACATATGTAGAAATGGGAACAATCTCCCAGCCACATTTATGTATCCTGTGGCGTTCTGATTTCTTTGGTATTGACAACTAGACTACTTTCATACAAAAAAAAAAAGATGAAGGGAGTGATACGGCACCGAAGTGACAGAATAAAGACGGAAATGAAGTTCAGGTAAAAGAGCAAAGTAAGACAGAGATATATGATGGACACAGAGATTGCAGGAATGTTTGCTGATAATTAGATGGTAATACAGAGGGGGAAAAGAGCATGCATCAATTCTACATGTCTCTATACTTATCACATTCCACTCACACGCATAAAACCAGAGACGATCGAATAAAGTTCAGAGGATAAGTTGAACGGAGAAATATTTGACGGAAGGGGTAATTCTAACGGCGGTTCGGCCGTCCTGGCCCGATTCTATCGGCTAACAAGGAAGGTATCATGTAATGTGATAAGATGGCTTAGGGTTGTAGGAGAGGAAACTGGAAGGGAAGTTCAGTCCAACTAGGATGTGTGACTAAAGTACTGTCAAAGTTTGCAGAATCAATGGGGTCTATCTTTGGCAGTTCAGGAAAGTTTTCATACAAGTAATTTTCTGTCCTTTCAACTCCCAGGAAGTGATTCTTCCGGAAAAGCCTGAATCCTTCTTCTAAGCGCCTCTTTTCTTCCTCAATGATGGAGGCAAAGGGGGGTATCGTCTCTTTCTTCAATTCGTCTTTCACAAGAGCTTCAGTCAATCTTTCTGCGCTCTGACTGACAAGACTTAACAAGAACCGGGTACAGTTGCATTCTGTCCAGTTGGTATGTAACTTGAAATTGTCCATCATGAAGTCAATCTCTGAAGACTGCAAGCGATTCTTAATCCAGTACTCACCAATGTCAGATTCCCATGATTCGGTCGGTGCGTATTGCCATGTCCTCTCTTGTAACATGGGAACCCACATGCCTCCGGTAGGCCAACGTTTTGTGGTCCCTGCGGTGACAAAGATAAATTCCTCTATAGCCATGCTGCGGTTTACCAGATCGTGAAGGATACACCGAATATGTGGAGGGAAAGCTGCCTTTGTTACCCAAAGTCCTGCCATCTGGTTAGCCAATATCAAGGTGATCAGGCTCTGATGAGCTAATTCAACATATGCAGCTTTTACACCCTCTTCATCATAGTTCGTCCACCTGGTAGATGCACGAATATGGTCTGTTGTCATTTGATGATTTTGAAGGTCTAAGCACTTTTCCAGGTCTGAACTGATAGAGTGATAGGCACTCAGGCTTGGACAGCCGGGATTGTAACTTCTTTTGAGTGCTCTTAGGCTATAACCAGTCGAGCGGAGGGGAAGTTCCACTGACAGTGATGTCAGTTACAGGAACCTTGCAATATCAAAACTTACGATTATCGAGAGCACTTGTGAACTGTGCTCTACGGGGGTGAACGAGATAAAATGAGCCATTGTCCATTCCGTGGGCATTATGATTGTCATTGTTCATAGTATTTTGTCTATATGTAGATGTCTATCTATGTTATTTGTCTCATTCAAACCTTCAGAGGGTGTTACATGGATTTTGGAGGAAATGAATATCTCTTCTAACGTTCACATCACGTCACTGGCCTTCCGAGGGTTGGAGCGTTTTCCCACGACGTATTTTTGGAAACCTGTGGAGTGAGAAAGTGATGTCATGCTTACTCCTTCACTCCCTTCATAAGAATAACATTCTCAAAATCCTGTATTCAACGCATAGCTGTTTGGCCCTCTACGACGTGAAAAAACGAGGTGTGAGGTAAGGTTGTCAGCCTCTGGACGTCAGAGGATATTGACAGACAATCTCGATGATGATTCCTGTCCATTACTCAGCTGACTTGCCAGGTCCATTGGTTTTCTGCAAATACGTTTTGCGGATGAACGTGGATATTGCTGGAGTACCGATTCCATGCTGCCTGACACTCGTCCTCCACCTGCTTCTTCGGGCTCAGTCGCCCTCACTTTTGAATGCTGCGCACGGAACGGAGGACACATGTCCGTAGGCACCTCTCCGGTATCAATGGTGATGTATTCACTGTACCGTATTGCACTATGCATGTACATACAGTTTGTATGACCCTGGAGCCAGTTTCATCTTCAATCAAATCTCTATTCAAGAATTGGTAGGAATGAACTATTTCATTGCTCAACGGTGCTTGACAGTGCTATCAATGTCGTGTCTCCACTTGAAAGAGAGGCGCCGCCACATTCGACAATCCACCACTTTTTCTCAGTTTTTCTTCTACCAAACACTAGACAGAACTAATGAAAGGTTGAATCTGTCTGATTGAGTCTCCGACGCTCGAATGGTGAGGGAAACCGTACCCACAGGCGTATCCACCTTTCCCTCTTTGCTTTTCCTGCTATAGACGTAGATCAAATCTACCAGAAAGACAAGCAACATGAATAGCGCCAGACATGAAGCAGAGATCGAGTGGAAGATAGTGTTGACTGATATCTCTGATCGAGTGAAGATATCCTCAGAAGACTCGCCAGTCTCAGTGAGCCTTAAAGATGATCCCGACCACCCCATTGTGCCCCACTTGACTTTCAACGCACGGTTAGAAGTGTGGACTCGTGTAGGATTTGCACATGACTTGGTGCAAACAAAGGTAGTGGAGCTGTTAAGGACCCAGCCGGAGACGGACCGCTCCGGAGTGGTCTGGCTAGGCAGGAGGCTTTGGGACCGGGTCAGAGATGCGTGCACCTCCGGAGCAGCATGGTCTCCCAGTGGGTCCGTAACTGCTACTCCTGGACAGACCAAGAGGGAGACTATATATGCTTCAAGAAGCTCTTGCACCCACGGAAGTTGGAAGCAGCGCTTGCATCCATATCCGACCAAAGACATGATTACCTACTTGGTTACACGTATATGCATTGTGGTTTTCAGTCACTGTGACCTGAACCTATCATTGATCTATGTACAATCTCTGTTCTACTGACCAGCACCACCTGAATATGAGAAAGAAGTCATGAGGAGAGAGAAACTCACTGTCAAATTGTAGCTCAGCTCCATACTTCTCCTTGAATACCTCTCGAGCCTGTAGGATCCGTTTCACACGTTCTTTCTGTTCTGCCGCCTCTTGCATAAACCCAGACTGATTGAGACCTCTCCGTTTACTCATGATCATGGTAGCAAGTTCATGCCAAAGCCATATCTTGTATTTCCTAGCGAGTCGGAGAAGCGGTCGAGGTAAGGACCAAACCTGCCCATCAATTTCCCAAGACTCCTCCCTCCAAAGCTCGTCGGGTGTTGCGATGTAGTTGGGGAATTCATCAAGTGGTGAGCGACCATGCCAGAAGGAAGAGGGAACACCATCTTCGTCATAGTCACTCCAGGACTCAAGGGAATGATCGTTAGCTGGCCACGGGGTATTCGCCCGTCGATGTTCTCTTCTTTGTACCGAAGTGTCGCTTTCTGAACTTGTGTCATTGTCCAAGCTTGGAGCAGCTTGTGTATAGGAGGGAGCAGTCATGGAAGTGGTAGTTGACCGATCACCTGGGATCAGTGAAGATACTCCCTTGATCAAGAACTATTTACCACTGTTTGTAGTATCACTCATATCCAAGTCTGTTTCACGCCTCACCTGCTTCTTCTCTGTCCTCCTTCTCTTCTTTTTCTGTTGTCTAGTTCTATCAGAGCTCTCAGGCAATGTAATCAAAGTACGCTCTGTAGCGGTAAGACGGGAGTAATTGTTACACTCATGCTCTGCACCATGGCAGTACAGACCGCACTTGACATTCTTTTGTCTACACCGACATCGATTTGTGGTACATTCCCCTTTACAGCGGCAATGCACTTCTACCTTCTTGATATCTGAAGTATCAGCCACATGATGATCACGGAAACTACTCACCAAAAATTTTATATGCTGCTTCTCTCAATGTAACTTGTGGGAAAGTGTTCCATTTTGACCATCCCAGATGTAGAGAAACCGGTATCTGGAGGTCATCTGCCGGATTGAGTACTTTGCTTTGATATAATCGGGTGAGGACTCCCTCAGAGCAAAGAAGTCGATATGTGTTGCTCTTCTCTGGAAATACCTCACATACCACACAAGGAATACGACTAGCAGGAGCACCTGGCCGATCTTGAGGAGGAACAAACAGTGTGACTTTATCGCCGGTTTTGTAGGTCCAGTTCTTCTGATTGCGTCCATGTTGCTCCACCATTTTGGCTCGACAGAGAGCTTGTCGTTCTCGCATCTTTGTGATGATGTGGTCACTTGCTGTTGGATTCCGACGTGCATGTTCATCCTCCATAATGAGCTGTTGAACCGGGTTGGTAGACGAAGGCTCAGCAGGAGACTGTAGAGGAGTTGTTTCTGGTTGATCAGGCAAAGTTCAAGAACATGACAGAGTAATAAATGCACTTACCAAGCGTGGTCTGCGGATTAGATCCTTGCCCTTCCTGTGGTGTTTCCGTCTCATCCTCCTGATCTTCCCAACGAAAAGGGAGTGGTGTCCCTTCATTATCCTCTTCGTCATCCTCAATTGCTGTCCTGCCATCATCCAACCTAACCTCTTCCACAATGTCTCGCCCTTCTAGAGTGTCCCACATATCAATTTCACGGGGTTTACGCCCAAAAACAGCACGATAAGGTGTGTGTAGTGTAGCACTGTGTCTTGTGAAATTGATGGAGCGGATTACATGTGGGAGTCCATCGGCCCTGATGGCAGTCAGCAACCCTCGAGCATCTCCTCATCTTGGAACATACCACGGCCGGTCTGGGTTATCCAAACACCATTTTGATAATCGGCTCTTCATGGTTGAGTTTCCCTGCTCAACAAGGCCCTGGACACGAGGTGTGCGAGGTAGCCCATGTTTTATCTTGATATCAAAGCGCTTTGCCAAATTGATGATAAGCGTGTTGCAGAATTCTCTACCATTGTCGGACTGGAGTATTTGTGGTGCTCCAAAGTGATTGATCCAGGTCATAAGATGCTGTTCAACATCTGCTGCACTTTTTTTTGGCATGGCGTACTGAGATTAGCCGGCCATACCAAGAGCAGGATAATCACCTACCATCTGTGAATACTTTGTAAAATGGTCCTTAATATGGCATATCCAGCGCATTGTTTCTGTTCCGACTTTACACTCCATTGCGCGCATATCAACAAGATCGATTTGGATACGCTCAAAGGGAAAGCTGGACGTGATGGGTTGGATTTGACCAGGATCCTTGTTGCGAGCTCTGAGAGATTTAGCACATCCTGCTCCATGTACAGGAACTTACTTCAGCATGCAGATATTGCACGATTTAATTGCTTTCACCACTTCCTTCTTCCCTACACCACGGTAGTACCTAGCAATCTCTTCATGAGTCTTGTTCTGTCCTGAGTGGGCGGTTTGTAAACAATGTACTCGTTTGATGACTGTGAGAACTTGTGAGATAGGAACAAGCTTGTACCATTGATCACCTTCAGGAGAAGGTCGATAGAGGACTTCTTCCCCATTCTCCCCAAGACGATGTTGTTTCCGGACCTTTGTAAGCCAGGAGTTATGTGGTGCTTGGAAGTGAGGGGGTGAGGCCCCATCATGTTTCAAAACCCAGCGTCGAGCTTCGATATCCTCGTCTGTGAAGGTGTAGGCAAAGTTTTCGTTCTTCACCCAGTTTACAAAAGCGTGTTCAAACTGCGGTGTGAAGGCGTCTTGAGGAAGGGAGTTGGTTGAAGGATTTGACATGGTTTACACGTGAAAGCAGTAAGAAACAATCACAAAGGGATGATACAGGTGTTAGGATGGAATGTAAACAGAAAGAGCACAAGTTCATTGGACATGTTGGGCAGGAATTATCGGAGACTTGTTGAGTGTGGCGATCTCCAGCTGGGTCTGATGGAGATTCTCCGGCTGGGTCCGCATAGAAGCATACCACTCCGGAGGGGTCCATCTCTGACCGGGTCCGATCAGATCCGTGCGACTCCGGAGTGGTCCGTCTCCGGCTGGGTCCTTAACAGAGCCATCTAGACATTCAGTTTGGGTCTGGGGGTCAACTCATGAGGCATCATCAAGTCCGTGTTACCTGCTCTTGATATTCAGTAATGACTAACCCACAGCATCAGGACTTCTTGGTCTAAACTCTTGGCTACCAGAGCGAGAGCTCCTAGACCCAAAATCACTCAAGTCCCGAAAAATCAGATTTCTGGCCTTCAAACCAGATCTTCGGGGAGGAACAGGTACAGTTCCGGGTGGATTTGCAATAGGTACAATGAGGGCCATTCCACAGGGCTCCTTGAATGACAAGTCTGTCCTGTTAGTGACAGTGAGCAAACTGCATGCTACCTTGGGTGACCCCAAAACCTTGAACATTGAAATTACACCATGGGGACAGCCGAATGTTCGGAAGGCAGCTGTTCGTTCCTCAACAAAGCTGACTGCCCACAGTGAGATCAGTCCAGAAGTGCTTCAAAGCTTTGCATGGTTTGAGAAGATGAGTTCTGACTGGCGCGCCGCTCAGCGGTTGACTCAACCTACACTGTCATCTGCTTTGGTGGTGGGTTGGGATGGAGGAGCGGACAGTAACAAAGAAACTGATGAGGGTCACAAAGACAACTGGGAAACAAAGGAGACACATATGGTGGATGATGGGGGGGAGAATGCTGTACCACACGCAGGACTTCCAGTCTTTGTACGGTTTGACAGTGAGTTAAAGTACACACAAGAGCACGTGAGAGCATACTTTGGATTGCCCTCGGAGTAAGACATGCTGTCATGATCAGACGTTGAAGATAGTCTGTGTCAATGAACTATGGGCTATAGGGCCTTTGTTCCAGGGTAACAGCGATTCAAAGCAAGTTCCCTCGAACTCGACCAAAATGGAAGGAGAAGGACTGAAACAGGGAGGGAGTGCTGCAGTAGGCAGGGGCAGGGTTTCCCCTTTTGAGATCTTCCCCACTGGGTTTGCTCAAAGCGGTTTTACAACAGTCACAGTATGTACATACACGCTTGCAGCAGGAAGAGAAGTAATCACAGATACCTGTAGACAGTAGTATATAGTACAATCAGCAAAGTATGGTACTTTGCTGATTGTTCAATATCATTCTTTGGCTACATCCATTACACAGGTGTCACACAGCGCCGCGTGACATCATCTCTTCCCATCAAACAAGGTTCCTGGTTGACCAGTCTGGCCATTCTTGCACTCAGGCTACCAATTGCGTAGTCCATTTGTTGTGCTCATCTGGTGCTACCATCTGGTATGCCCACTTGTCATGACCATTGGTTATTACCATTTGTTATTACCATTTGTCCTTACCATTTGTTCTTACCATTTGGCCTGACCTTATCATTCCTAATTAATTATGAGTCACTAATATTTTGAGTCCATACTTATTCTGAGTCATGATTATTGATTCATGACAAAGAGGAAGAACATTATGAATGGATGAGTCGATAGATTTGTCAATGGCTGCCCATGCCTTTCAATCTTTCCTTTCCCATGGTTTCTTTTCTTCCAAAGCAACAGGAGTCTGTGTGTTGGACTGAATAACATCGTCCAGATCTTTCTAAATTAATTGAGTGAGAATTGATTGTTCCCATTCCTTGAACTTGTCAGCCCCTTTCAGGAGAACCCAACGACCAGTGAGATTCTTTCCCTCTTCAGAGTCTGAGCTTGACATTGAGAGAGAGTTCAATGGTTAACTTTTGGACAGGAAAAGATGTGTTAGAGAGTCTGATTCCAAATATGTTGAAGATGATTGGTAAACAGCTGTGTGTGTAATTCTGGTTACTCTTAGCTATGATAAAAGCAATGGAGAGCAACCAGGAGAGACAGCTAGAGGTATAGGGAGTGACAGAACTGTCACGCCTGGAGGTAGACTGCGATAGCGTAGGGACTGCCTTAGGTACTGAGGGGTATAGTCTCTGACTCGTCGAGCTAGATGACTGCCTTAGATACTGAGGGGACAGAGAGTACTGGGTTAGAACCAGTTGAGTGACGTCTCTTACTGGAAGGGGAGGATCAAGGATAGGAAGACGAGAAGTAAGAGGAGATTCATTGCTGGAGAAGTTACTGAAAAGTACGAGTTTATATAGACAAAAGCTAGTTACAAACGGGTTGACCAGTCTGGACATTCTTGCTCTCAGGCTACCAATTGCGTAGCCCATTTGTCATGCCCATCTGGTGCTACCATTTGGTATGCCCATTTGTCATGACCATTTGTCATTACCATTTGTCCTTACCGTTTGTTCTTACCATTTGGCCTGATCTTATCGTTCCTAATTAATTATGAGTCACTAATACTTTGAGTCCATACTTATTCTGAGTCATGATTACTGATTCATGACATCTTCAGTGATCCTTAATTGCTGTCAGTAGTGAAAGATTGATAGAGATAGCTACATTCAAATCAAGATACATCGCCATCAGTAAGAAAAACCCTAGTTAGAGTGACTACGTTGAAGTACACCATAGTTACACTCCTTTTGACATCTGCACCCTCCTGGTTGGGTGAGACATCAACTCTGAAATGTCAAGTTAGCCAAGGTTTGTCAACCGTTGGTCCGTTAGAGAGAGGTTACTGGACGGCCGTGACACTTTGTATGCGCTTGGCTTTCCGGTGTTCCCATCAATTTTCGGAGTATCAACACTTCCCAGACAGAGTTCCCTGTCCATCATTGGGGATGACTTCCCAGACACCGTATCTGTTCATCTTTGACATTTCCTCCTCCATCACTATTCTTCAATCCTCCCAATCTGCGGAATTCCGTGCTTCCTGGTATGTCTGAGGATTTGTGATAACCTATACTGATAGCGCATGTTCAAAGGCAGAGTCCATGAGGCCTCAAAAAGAGTCTGGACGAGGTTGAACAGGTGGACAAGGAAATTGTAATGGGGTTGTGAGAGTGGTTGCATTCGTGAAATGCTCATATGGCACAACCTTTGCTGCAGCTTCCAGGAGACTATTTCAGGCATATTGACCCCAGGAGTAGCACGGGAAGGTTGCAACATGCCACTTGTGGAGTTAGTCCAGGCTTTTCTCAAGCAAGATGCCCTAAGTGTCTTGGTGTGTGTGGAGCTTTCAATGAAAGGAGGGAGGGAAGCCTACTGTTTGACTACAAAATCTGAGTGCTGAGCTCAAAAGGGTTAAGAGAAGTATCTTGCCACCCTTCTCTCCCTATGCTATGAGTGAAAACAACCAGAATCCACCCACCAGTTCCAACAATGAACAAGAGGAAGAGGATGAGTATGATTGGGACTTAGATCTTCGAATTGCCAGCTTCCCATCAGTACCAAACTTTGAGTTGCACATCCGTGACCCCTGGGAAAGGATGGGTGTTACGGAGTAACACGACTCGAGGGACATCCATCGAACTCGACGGATTAGGAAGGAAAACGGCGAGAGTTGGAGGCAGTGCTGCAGTAGGTAGGGACGGGTTTTCCCTTTTCGAGATTTCCCCACTGGGTTTGCTCAAAAGCGGTTTTTCACCTGTCCGAGTATGTACATAGACGCTTGCAGTAGGACTGAGAGAGGACACGAATACCTGTAGACAAGTATATAGTACAATCAGCAAAGTACCACCTTTGCTGATTCTTCAATATCATTCTTTGGCTACATCGATTGCAGAGGAGACACGACCCATTAGCACCAGAGACACATAGATTTCCACGAGAGTTCCATCGACTTCGACCCAACCTGCGACTTAGTCATCGTGTTTCCAGTACCGTTACAAGTTGAAGAATCAGCCTTACGCGCCTTGGGTCGAATTAGAGAAGGATTTTATGCTTACCAGGGGAAAAGCGCGCAACATGATACCTGGAGAGGAGTCTTTGGAAGAAGGGCGGGCCCCAGAGACCGATACACCACCGAGTTCCTCCAGAAGTACCGTTTTACATGACTCTCTTCCTATCACATCTGCCCCAGATCCGCTGAACGACTTAGCCCAGCAGTTGTCACAATTGTTAGCCATTATGACTACACAACAGAGGGAACAGAATGCATTAAAGGAAGAATTAGCTACGATAAAAGCTGACCGACAGAACCAATCTACGCCAAAGAGGTCGACTACGATCGAATTCGAAGAAAGTAAACCCACATTAGAAGAAACCCCTGTCCGCAACGAACGATGGGGAAGGACCCGGTGTGCAGATCCACCCACTTTCAGTGGGGAACGAGGCGAACTCGACAATTTCTTGGCGGCCTGCCACATGAACTTTGAATTCAAAGGAGTCGAGTATTCTACGGATCGGAGAAAGATCCTGTTCATGTACGGGTATCTTCGAGGAACTCCTCAAATGCTTCTGACCCCGGCCATAACCAATCCAAGTATATGGAATTTGACCGAATGGCTAGATAGTTACGACAAATTCGTTCAGCACTTACGAACTCAATTTGGAGACAGTAACATGGCAGGTACGGCTATGCGAAAGTTACAGGAGTTACGACAGACCGATACCGCAGCAGAATACTTTGCGAACTTCGAACTGTGGTCTACTCATCTTGGGAAGGTACCAGACGCAATGAAGATCGCTTCAGCCATACAGGGTCTAAAGGAAGAACTACTGAAGGTCGTAGTGGTAAATAACACCGATCCTCGAACCAAATCGGATTGGATCTACTTCAAACAACATGTCATTGGGACCGAAGAGAATCAACGCATGGCTGAAACGATGATTGCAGCAAATCGATGGGCTGCTAGACGCAAAAATGAGACAACCTGGCTTCCTCCTCGATCGAATTCAATGCGATTGGATACGAATCCGCTCCACCCGGTAGAACGCCACTCACAACCGACCGGTAGAGGACCTTTGCCAGGTGGAAAACCAGGGATGATGAACTTTGGCCTACCCAGCGACCCTCCGGTCACATGGACTGAGGATGGGGGACGCCTCAGCGAGAACGAAATGAACTGGAGAAGAGAGAACCGACGCTGCCTCAAATGTAGAAGTCCAGAACATTATGCCAACAACTGTCCGAATGGAGGAAACACGAGAAACAGTACTAGGGGATCCCCAAATCCGCATAGCTCACCAATTCCTAGTGGATCGAACTCGATCCCAACTGGATCCAAAGGGCCATTAGTTCGAGGAATGGCGGTGACCTTTGAAGAAGAGGGAAACGACTACCTGGCCTAAGTGATGCGACCACTTGCGGCCAGGATCTACCCGGATCGCAGAGAATTCAAATACCAATAGATCTCAGTAATGACTCGGCCATAATATATATAAAAATACAAACAAAGAAAGATACCCTACAGATTGGAATGTTAATCGATACCGGGGCTACAGGAAGGTATGTGCAGCCGGCCTGTCCATTATACCATCTATTCCCAAAGAAACAATATCAGGTACCACGAAAAATTAGGTTCCTGGATGGAACTACCGCGACTTTAGTGACCGAATATGTAGAAGCAGAATTAGATCTAGGAAAAGGACCCAGGATTGCAACTCGACTGGATGTTATGGCATACGAAGGACCAGAAGTACTAGTAGGACTAGATTTCTTGAGACAGTTTAGGGCAAGGATCGATTGTGGAAAAGGACTGATCGAATTCGACGGAATTGGACGAGATACTGGTTGGAAATATCCAAGATTGGAGGAAGGATTAATAAGAGGAGCAACACTGGAGAAAGGGGAGGACGAAATGAGTGAGGAGGAATTACGACAAATCATACCGACACAATGGCACCAGTACCTCGAATTATTCAAGGTAGAAAGAGCAAGAAGACTACCACCAAGAAGAGAATGTGACCACGAGATCGAATTAGTAGCAGGGGCTGAACTGAAACCAGGACCAATCTACAAGCTGGACGAGCATGGGGATGCTTTCCTGAAGCAGTGGATCAATGATGGACTAACTAGTGGACATCTGCGAAGAAGTAAATCGCCCTATGGGTCCCCAGTATTCCTGGTCCCCAAGAAAGGAGTCATTCCCTATCGAGTAGTTACAGATTACCGGGCACTTAACAAGGTAACCATCAAGGATTCGTACCCAATGCCACTTATCTCGACCTTACTCGATCGACTCCAATTGGGAAAGGTGTTTACCAAACTCGACCTGAAAGGGGCCTATCAGTTAGTCCGAATAAAAGAAGGAGATGAACATAAAGCTGCTCTACGAACACGATACGGTAGCTTTGAGAGCACTGTTCTAAGGGATGGATTATGCAACGCACCAGCCACATTTCAAAACTTCCTGCAAGACATGTTCCACGACCTGTTAGATGAAGGAGTGGTAGTTTACATAGACGACATCACGGTATACTCAGACACGATTGAAAACCATCAGATTATTGTCCAAAAGGTATTAGACCGATTACTTGAAAACGACTTGGTTGTTAGCCCGAGGAAGTGTGAATGGAGTTGCAACGAAGTAAAGTTTTTGGGGTATGTAATCGGACACGAACGGATCGAAATGGATCAAGACAAGGTGAAAGCCATTCTAGAATGGGGAGAACCAATGACAGTCCGAGATACTCAGGTTTTCCTAGGATTTGCCAATTTCTATCGACGGTTCATCAAAGGATTCTCACATATTGTGGGTCCTCTTACCCGTCTAACCAGGAAGGATCAGGCTTGGAATTGGACAGAGGAATGTCAAAAAGCTTTTGAAAACTTGAAGAAAACTTTCACGACAGCACCGGTACTTCGACATTTCGACAGAACCCGACCAACCTGGATCGAAACCGATGGATCTGACTGTGCGATAGGTGCAATAGCGTCCCAAAGGTTCGCTCATCCATCGATAAAAGGGACCACGGAACTTCATCCGGTTGCGTATTGGTCTCGAGCAATGACACCCTGCGAATTAAACTACACAGTGGGAGAGAAGGAACTACTAGCCATTGTGGACTGCTTGGTAGCATGGAGACCATACTTGGCGAACAGTAGTGATGTCATAAAGGTCATTACGGATCACAAGAACCTGGAGTACTTCCAAAGTAAGCGACAACTGAATCGAAGACAAATGAGGTGGCTGGAAATATTAGGAGACTTCAACATAGAGATCACTTATCGACCAGGTAGCAAAAATGGGGGAGCAGATGCTTTAACAAGACGAGGGGATTATCACCCGGGAAAAGGAAGTAGTAAGGACCCAGATCTAAACAAAGGAAACTGGCTACAATTACTACCAACATACGAGAAACATGGATCGAATTCGATAGACTCAGAAACCAGACACATAGTAAGAGGAGCAATCCGAGAAGACTCATTATTTGGACTCATCAAAAACGGACTCAAAGACTCAGAAGACATAGCAAACATACGACGACTAGGACTGCAATTGACACAGACACATAGCACACAGGACACACAGACACATAGCACACAGGACACACAGACACATAGCACACAGGACACACAGAAGACACAGATTAGCAACGAGACACCAGTGGTATCATGGACTCAAAGCGGATTGCTCTTGTACAAGAATAGAGTAGTCATACCAGAGGGACAAGCAAGATTAGAAGTAATGAGAGCAAGACACGATTCAATATTAGTAGGACACCCAGGAAGAGACAAAACCATCACTATGATCAAAGAGGATTATTATTGGCCCCATTTAGACGATTATATCGCGAAATACGTAAAAGGATGTGAAATCTGTAACCGACATAAGACTCATCGACATCAACCATACGGACATCTAGTCTCATTGCCGGTGCCCACACTCCCGTGGACAGATATCTCGATGGACATGGTAGGGCCTTTGCCGAAGTCGACTGAATTCGACGCAATTCTAGTAATAGTGGATCGATTGAGCAAGATGGCTCGATTTATTCCATGCACAACCGGACTAACAGCAAACAAGGTGGCTGACATATACATCAAGGAGATCTTTTCAAAGCATGGGGTACCTCGAACAATCGTATCAGACAGGGGAACCCAGTTTACAGCAGAGGTTTGGAAGGAAATATGTCAATTCCTGGGAATAAAGAACCTATATTCAACTGCATATCATCCTCAAACAGACGGCCAGACTGAACGAGTGAACCAACAGATGGAAATCCTACTTGGAATGTATGTGAACTACAACATGGACAATTGGGATCAACTTCTACCAATTGCTGAATTTGCTTATAACTGCTCTCCGCATAGCAGTCATGGGTTGTGTCCGTTCGAAGCATGTTATGGCTATGTGCCACATTACGACATCCATTCGCACGATATTCGATCGAAGTCAAACAAGTTAGAGAAGAAATGGAGAGATATGGGAGAATTGCATACGGCTGTTCAAGAACAGGTCAGGATGGCCAACGAAATTAGTGGGGAATATTACAACAGGAGGCATAAGAGCATACCAGAAGAATTCAGAGAAGGAGAACAGGTGCTACTAAGTACGAAATACCTTACTACAGAAAGACCCAGTCGAAAATTAGAGGCAAAATATGTTGGCCCGTTTAAAATCATAAGGAAGGTCGGAAAAAATGCTTTCGAATTGGATCTACCTCCATCAATGAAGGTGCACAATGTCTTCAATGTGACGCTGTTGGAACCATATCCTAAAGACATGATACCAGATCGACAGATACAACCCCCACCACCTGTAGTAATAAACGGCCAGGAGGAATTCCATGTGGAAGCAATTGTGGACAGCAGAATTCGACGAGGAAAGGAGGAATTCAAGGTGAAATGGTTAGGATACACAGGGAATGCGGCCTATGACTGGGAACCACGAGAAAATGTAGAAGAATTGGCCGTTTTTGGTGAATTTCTGGAACGGAGAAAAAAGGACCCCAGAAGAAAGTGAGAATTCGATCAAAATCAACGGAATTTATTGGGAAATAAATACATACACAGGAAATATGGCTACGTATAGAGAGATATAAAACACACTAGAAGTTGGAGGCGGTAGAATTGGCTCGGGGACGACGGACCGAGGCGGGAATACGAATGACATTGCGGGGGAGAGGAGTATGGGGAGAAGAGGAGGGACCGGCGACTGGTTGAGAAGAAGTCAATCCGGTTGGATCAGCAGCAGAGGTGAGATGATCCAAGGTTTCAGAAGGAGAGGGAGGGGTGTAGTCGGAAGGAATGAGATGAAGAGATTTGTAGAGACCCAGATGTACTGGGGGAAGAGGAAGAAGGAGAGAGGAAAAGAGGTGGATGTAAGCGGAGAGTTGGGTGAGAGAAGAGGATTGATCCTGGGAGGAAAGGGATCGATAACGGGCCGAGACAGCACAGGGTTCGTGCTCCAGGACGAAAGTAACCTTGGAGGTGACAGTCTGAGCTCCAACGGTGACACCCTTGACATCAACATCGATCAAGTTCGAAGGAAGAAGATAGATACCTCGCGAAATTTGGCCTCGGGATTGTTGTTTTTGACCGAACACTTTGAAGTTCCCTTGGCAGAGCACTCTCCACAAACACCACCAACTGAATGGCATCAATATCGAACAGGAATCAATAGAAGACTCACGAGGGCCGATACAACCGACACGAAAATCTTCTCCACCATCGAGGCGACGCTGGCAATCGGAGCAGAGCTCACCCTCGAGACGGGCGGCAGCACCATTCTTGTTGCGGAGTCGCCAACCTTGGGCCAAACGATTGAGCTAACAGTTAGAAATCGGTAGAATTCGGAAAAGAAGAAGCTCACAGCATTCCTAAACCATTTCGCAGTAAGATTGAGGGAGCCAGTCTCGCGAAAACGATCCAGGGCTTCGTTCTTCAAAGCGATACGAACGGAGGAAAAGGACATTTTGGCCCAGAGAGTGGCTAACGAGTCAGAAACGCACAGAATTCGATAGAGACCTCACCGATTTCCGAGTCTTTTCGAGCGTCCAGAGCCTTGGCAAGTTCTTCATTAGCGGAAACCTTGCGAGGAGCGCGAAAAATGATTTCGAGTTCGGGGGGAACATCGTCAAGCCCGTCTAAATGTTCAGAGGGTGGCACAGGGGACTTATTACCAGGAGAATTTTAATTCTCGACGATGGTACCGTGTTCGGATTCGACGGACTTAGCGGGAGATGGGTTCTCACCGGTGGCAGATGGCCCTGCCCCACCGTCGAGGTCGAGGAATTGCTCGATAATCGCGTCATCGAGAGAAGGTGATTGTTGAGTACGAGAAGGACCGGATTGATATCGATCCTTAATGGTGTCCAGAGCCCTACGAGAAGCATCAACCAATGGAGGTTGAGAAGGGGCTGGAGCTTGAGAGGAGATCCTCATCCTTTTCGTATGACGCATAAGGAGTTCGGGGTCGACGTTGGGAAGAATGGCCGCAGTAGAGGCCTGAGTTTGACGAGAGGAGATAGAAGGGGACAACTAATCTCGTCAGCCGGTGAGAGATAGGAGGAAGTACATCGAATTCGAAGAGAATTGCTTACAGTACGCTTAGACATGCTTACAAACAGGAAAAGATTTGATGGATTCTCTAAGAGATGAGTAAGATATGGATGGATGTTGATAGATAAGTAAAAAGAGCGACGAACAAGAGGAAAAGAAGGAATGAGGAGGAAAGAAGAGAAAGAGGAGGGAAAAGAACTTGGTCAGTAATTTCTCGATCACAGTGGAGGTCCGTGCGGGTGACGCGTTTCATGGCAACCGTCACGCTAGCGTGGGTGTGACGTAAGGGCGCAATCAAAGGTGTCTCAGAGCAATCCATGTGAATCACCTGGTTACAGGATTCAGGATCCTCGGCGAGGATCCTTGAGACAGGGGGGGAAACTTGTTACGGAGTAACACGACTCGAGGGACATCCATCGAACTCGACGGATTAGGAAGGAAAACGGCGAGAGTTGGAGGCAGTGCTGCAGTAGGTAGGGACGGGTTTTCCCTTTTCGAGATTTCCCCACTGGGTTTGCTCAAAAGCGGTTTTTCACCTGTCCGAGTATGTACATAGACGCTTGCAGTAGGACTGAGAGAGGACACGAATACCTGTAGACAAGTATATAGTACAATCAGCAAAGTACCACCTTTGCTGATTCTTCAATATCATTCTTTGGCTACATCGATTGCAGAGGAGACACGACCCATTAGCACCAGAGATACATAGATTTCCACGAGAGTTCCATCGACTTCGACCCAACCTGCGACTTAGTCATCGTGTTTCCAGTACCGTTACAATGGGGTTCAAAAAGTACTGGAGCGTGCACTTGTCACCTTGTGTAACCCAGTATGACCTTGATGGCGATTGCAGAAGGGATCATCGGTACAAAGAGCCTAGTCTGCATCACCTGTACAGCCGTTCTGATAACTATAACCATCCAACCCCCCAAGTAGACCAAGGTGAAAGTAACAATGTATTTGTCCTCCCAATAGCCTTCCCCAACATCCCCCCTTCCCTCTCAGCATCTCAAACTCTTTACAAGGTTTCTTTGGGGGACCGCCGCAACTACAACCTGACATGGGAGACGGGCATGCTAATTCCTTTGCCACGCCATAATTCTGCAGAACCATGTGTGGCTCTTGCCAGTCGCCGTCTGCCGGAGATCTTTTCAACCAATGGACTGTTTGAGCTCGTGATCGAACCCAATGAAACAGTCTCAGTTTGTGATCCTCAAACACCTGAGGGAATTGAGCTGCTGCTCCTGCGTGAGGCTCTGTCTCATAGTTTTTACGGGGACTACCTGTCTGAGACCTGGTAGGTGTATGATCACATTGTGTCACGGTCCTGTCCTTGACAGACCTCAATGGATCAGAGACAGGTGGACTGCAACTGTTTAGTTAGCTTGGACAACGACGGTTAGTATGTTGTCCGTAGACTTGTGATGTGGTCGGACGACTAAAGTGACTTGCGAAGGATCGGGGCAGGTCGAGATGACGATATGGGTGTGTGTGATGGTGTGGACAGGGGTAATGATGATGAGGAATGTGTCGGATGTAAGTAGTATGTCAAGAAGAGGTCTTTTGTGAGTGGCAAATAATATTTTGATCCTTGAGAAGAAGAAACTACAAGCTAGAAATGTCCTCCTTATATCCGTTTCCAAGGGACTTCTGATGCGCAAATCATTCGTATGATTTTGGGTGACTTCGTATGAATTCATGTGAATTTGTGGTCATTTCGTATGAAATTGTGGTCATTTCATATGAATTCAGGTGAAATCGTGTGAAATCGTATGAATTCGGGCGAGTTCATATGAAATCGTATGAATTTGGGTGAGTTCATATGAAATCATACGAAAAACATGAAAATCCCTGAATCACGGGTCACGACTTTACCGAGTCGTGACACATTGCATTGTGCAGATGACAGATGGCGTCTTGTTGTAGCTACAGTTGCCTACTATGGATGGAGAGGAACAATGCTAGGGACTCAAGGTGTCCGAGGCCGTGTTTGGTGGTTGGTGGATTGGTGTTTGGCAACATGAGGAGATACTTGAGTAAAGTTCTGACACCTGCTTGGCAGAGGCTACCAGAGGTCTCATGCAAAATGTCAGCCCTCCTTATTTGCAGCCTCTGCCATGACTGGGACACACAAGTAGGAGCTGTGGTGCCCAAAGCCCGTCTTGGAGATTGATAGCAGTCGCAGTGACTAACTGCAGAATGCCACAGGAATTACAGTATAGTACTCGTACTCGTACTGTAGTCCGTGCCTCTTTGGCGTCTTCCACTTACCTACTGAGCAGACAGTGACTACTCTAGGAACAATACATCGAGGACGTAACTCCTCACATTGTGGAGCAAGACTTTCAATTCCACACGTCACTTCGGTGATCGGTGACGTCAGGGTTGAGGAAAAGCAAGAGGAAGGCCGGTGGGGCAACCGTAGAATGGAGGTACCACTGCAAGGTGGGAAAATCAAAGTGTGTGAAGTTCAACTTGTTTAGAACAGCACCAGTCCAGACTTATCCCGAGTTATCTTATGGACAACGATTGGAATAGATCATCTCTATTCACGTCAAAAAATCCCCCTGAGTGGGTTTTGACCCTCACCAACGATTCCCAGGCTAGTCAACCGGTATTCTCACAGGAGGAAACGGACAAAATAAGCAGGATACTTGCTTCAATGAATTACAAGCCATCAATGACAGTCAGGCTCAAAGTGAACGATCAAACTCAACAAAGTGGATCACAGGATTTGGGTTTCCAAGAAGTGTGTATCGTCAGAAGAGCGGTTCACTCACTTTATTTGAGAGATGGGAGACCTGGTGAGTGGGAGGTCCAGTAGACTCGTATACATGATTGATCAGTAGATGAAATCCAATTGCTACCTCTGAGTGCTGTCCTCACCATTAGATTCAAACTTGGAGCTTCGGTACCTGCTGATTACATCCCTCACAAAGTGACAGTGACTATCCGCTGCTCTGTGGGAAGCACCATTGAGGACACTCACTATCAAGGTGCCATGATCCCATGGTCTCGTTCCAAGCTTTCTGGAGCTCGAACAGTGCTTGCATGCGCTCATCTGGACAAGTTATCGGATGCCGGCTTTCTCAGTGCAGTAATCACCCCTGACCAAGACAAAGGTGATACAGATGGGCTGATCAGAGCTATCAGAGTGTTGCGGGAGCTCTGCCACAGTATGGGTTCAAACGAGTAAAGCATGTCGGTTGGTCATGCACTTGCAGGTTGTGACTATTTGTCCATCTCTCTGCTCTATACTTTCATGGAATGGAGACCACCAGATACACTGCCTTAAGGTAGATTATGTGAATACCACAGTTTCCCATGCTGACTCTTTCCAAAAGTAGCAGGTGGAGTCACTCCCATTCCCACACCCTGAACTGACATTGATGACCAAGTGACGGAAGGCGAATTGAGTCGTTTGGAGAGGAAGACCAGTGGCGTGGGACGAAATTTCAAGATGAGGAATTACATAAGAACATACCAATCTCTTGCATTTTCCTCACCTGTATTCACCTCATATCACCTACATTGACAACATATCAAGTGTATCATCTTCAGATCTCATTAATATGAGTTCTGGATTGGCTCCTACTATAGCACAGTCCCCACCGGAGGATTCAGAGTGGTCACTATTCATGACCAAGTGGGGAGTTCAAGTTTTGAGTGATCACAATAAAGCAAGTCGATCCGAAGATACGTTAGTAGAGCAGGGAATGGCCCCCTGTCTTCTGGTAAACCTCTACATGTCTCAGGAGGTGGAACCCGTAGAAACAAGCTCACATACAACCACAACAGAGTCTGAAGCCCCCCTGCAGCCGTATGCTGTCCATGAATTAAGAGACCCCTCATTCCGTAGGTGTCACTGACGGACAATTCTTAGTTGATGAACAGCGGCGATCTCCTTCATGCCAATGAACCTTGGTGTAAATATAGCTATTCCAGTAGGCATATCTTTGCCAAGCGGCTACTGTCCGGGCCGTGTTCAGCTAACGGTCTTAACTGTCACAGAAGAGGGCTCGGTGGTCAGCCAGCTGTACGATGGTTGGATCATGCCCTATCCGCGGACTCACTTTGAGGGCCCACGTACTATACTTCTAAGCCGATCCCTCAAGGAAATCCTAAGAAATAAACATACTTGGCAAATCACAGTGACACCTGTAGGAGGAGAACCAACCAGCGACAATACTGAGGATGGAGAAACCATAAATTGGTCAGCCATGCAGCTACTGTTACAGTACCTGCAAACATCAAAGGATCTGGGAATATCTGATGTTATGACCCTTGCGGACTCTTTGTATTGAATAGTATTGTCTGTCCAGGTATGTAGACTACATCCTAAACCAGTTCCTTCAGGTAAGATGCAATAGACGTAGATTGAGCGAGAGTCTTGAAATGGAGAACAGTAAACTCAAGAAGGTGCTACAACCTACTTCAGGCAAAATAAGAATCTGCTTGTTCTCACTGGAAACCTGTCACGACCAGTAATTATAGCAAGATCAGCTCTCACTAGCAGAATTGATATTGAGCCTTTTAGGACGGTTTATGATCGCGGGCTTGCTACCCGGTCATGACAGAACCCCTATAGGAGACTCATCTTGCTGCCGGAATCTTGAGTAGTCGTGTCACCTTTCTTCTCCTTGTCTTCAGATACCATCCGTCCTCCTAACATCCTTGCAGTTCAATCTATGTACCAAATGCTACTTCCTCTGTCTCTGTTTTCCTTTTCTGTTATGGGGTAACAACAACTCAAAGCAGATCCATCGAGCTCGATGGATTAGGATGGAGAAGAACGAGAACAGGAGGCAGTGCTACAGTAGGGACGGGTTTTCCCCTTTTGAGATTTTCCCTAACGTGTTTGGGTTTTCACCTGTCAGTACGTACGTAGACGCTTCAGCAGGAAGAGATGGGATCACAGGTACCTGTTGACAGTATATGGTATAAGCAGCAAAGTACCAACTTAACTGATTCTTCAATATCATTCTCTGGCCCCATTGATTGCAGAGGAGACACGATTCATCACATACATAACTTCAGAGACACCTAGATTTCCACGAAGTTCCACCGAAGTCGATCCGACCTGCAACCGAGTCGCCCTGGTTCCAGTACTATTACATTTTCTCCACAACCTTGTATTCAGTCCATCTTCGATGTGTTGAATCAATGGGACTCCCTTTCCAATTGTTAGTATACAAGGACAGTAGAAGCAGTTACTTTCTGTAGACCTCTTGTCTCAAGTATCTTGTCCATGACACTTCAAAGTGGCACAAGTGGTGGGCAGCTCATGATGTTTCTGGGCGTCACAGTCTCTTGCATGTTCACACCGTCTATCTATACATATCGATTGTTGTTAGTAGCAAGAGATGTATTCAGTAGCTACTTACAACCATCGAGTTTGGGGGAGCTACCACCAAGCCTTTTAACATACCACAGCAAAGTTAGCTAAGTCCATTGACAATCATCTTATTGTTTATCACCCTAACATATTACTACGGCGTAGTTAGTGGTAGTTTACCAACGACCACCCTGTCTCTGTGAGAGGTCGACACCCTAGTACAACATACTTAGCTGAAATTTGTCGTCCGTCGGTCAGTTTGGAAGAGAAGAACTGATGTTTGTGAGAATGTTAGGGACACGGCCGGAGACGTGCACCTCCTGAGCTCCACGGACCTGATTGTTCCCAGCCAGAGATGTACCACTCCAGAGCTGAACACTCCCTTTAGCCATTCCCATTCAGAGAAACATCAATAACAGATCCTCCACACCGTACAAGACAGTGTTGGTCACTCCAAAGGGCAGATGCTCTGCTAAGACAAGTGTACAAGGTAACCATCAAAGTGCTGTTTATCATCACATGCTGTATCTGGCAAGAAGGTCAGCCAATATCTTGGACCAGGGGGGATTCCAATGGTGATGTATCATAGGTAATTGTTGCAGTGTTGTAGATTTCAAGTTGTGGGGCCAGACCACCATGGCTCCAAGAGTCCAGAAGATGGAACCACAGGATATCTGTACTGTGATTTATGTATGTGGAGAGCTTGGGGATCATAAGAGCAAAAACGCTCTGGCCGTGTCCAAGAGGGGGGTTTTGAACCATACAGCTCCGGAGGTGCACGTCTCCGGCCGTGTCCTCAACAAGAATAATGGTTCCAGCTCTCTGTCTCTTTCTCTGTCTCTCTGATCAATTGTCAGCTCTGATTCTAGCTCTCTAATCAAACTTATTGTTGCCTTTCATCATCATATGGAGAGTTTGCCCCCTGTTTGAGACACATCAGTGCGGCTTCATTGTCATCGGCCTTATATTTGTGACAGTACCCGCCAGATATCTGTTAGGTAATGGACGGAAGCCGTGACGCTCTGAAGCGTCATGGGGGTATCCGTTGACAGACCAACGACATGACGCATGGAAGAATCCATCTTGATTCAATTGTGCATCTCTCAAACCGGATCCTCATGCATGATTATGTAGCTGAAGACTGACTGTACAATGTCCACTGAGTCAGACAGGCTCAGGATGCATATTGACCCTTTGATTTCAGCACCGGCTGTCACGAGACATACTAACCAGCATATGCACGATATAACAGTGCCCTTCAGAGACAGTGGCCTAAACCACTGTGCTAAAAGGCCTATTAACCGGCGGTTACTTCAAGCCGCCGGTCGCTGGTTAAATACCCAAGCCAAATCCAACTCTAACCAAACTGACTTGTCACTTTGTGACACCGGCTAAGGACCAGTGATGTGCACTTTTCACCACATGCAGGGTGAAATTCAAGTCCAGAATTGTTCTAGTACCTGCTAACCACCTCAAACATCCCCCTAGGCAGTGGTGTGACCGTCAGTATGAGTGGTTGCTGGTAAGGAATGATTTTTCAATGGGTCATGGTCAAGAATCCATGACCCTTTGGAGTGTCATGACCTTGACCTGTGACACTCTGAAGTAACACGGATCTGTTAGGTGCTGTACGGAAAACATGCCACTTCGAAGCTGCAGGGTCCTGAGACCCCCTTATGTGCCAGACTGAAGATCCGTGCCACTTCAAAGCTGCACAGGATGAAGCCATGACTCTTTGAAGAGTCACATCTTCTGGGTCATGCAGCTCAGAAGATTTGAAGTTTTTCAAACATCACTGGCCAAGACTGACTGTAGATCACGCATATGATACTTGAAAGTGATTATAAGGAGACTACCACAAGAAATCTGGCAAATACATGCATGGGAGGAAGAGATCTGGTGCAGAAATCTTCATCTTGTGTGGTGAAAAGCGCAAGCATCTGATAAGCTACTCCCTCCTCTTTTTGACAGAGAACAGATGAGGACCATCTTATTACAGCTGTGAAGTTGTTTTAGACCTGCAAGTGTTTCCCATAAAATAGTGATCCTTCTTCTGTGGGTCACATCTTCAGTCTGGCACGGTCAGACCCATGACACTTCGAAGTGGCACATCTTCCGTACGGCACCTAACAGATCTTCTCCCTGTCATGCTGACCCCCATGACGCTTCAAAGCGTCATGCTTTCCATCCGTCACGTGACACTCTTGGATGCCTCCTGCTATGAGGTGCTAGGACTTTCTGCCCCATCTTTCCTCTGTTCCTATCATTGGTGACAGAATGAGGGTTATCTATCCCCTGTCCCTGTTCTTGGCAAGTTTGTGTAAACAAGGTCATCTAGTCTGGGTGCATCTTTGTGTTGAAGGTATCAAATAAGCTATGCTCGTTGAAACCTTTCTCCTCGTTTGTTCGCTCATGTCTTTCTTTATGCATTACTAATCGTTTGATTTCAACTCTTTCTACCCTCCATCCTTACTGTCTCAAGAAAGTTCTAGGTTTTGGGACTTCTTTAGCATGTACAGCAGAAGGAATCATGTTCACGGGCTGCTTTTTTGCTCTCCTTGGCAAGCGGGATGGGAGTGAGAAGTGAGATGAAGTAGGAAATGCTCGCGCACGGAGCTTGCGGCCCAACGGCCGAGTACGGACCACATCGTTCAGACTAGCACTCTCGGGGCCCCGAAATCGTGGGAGGATTTAGACCATCATGAATGGAAGGAATGCATCTCCAAAGTGCGGGTTTTGAAACGGGTGGATTGCAGGAAGATAAGTGCCCAAGCTTGTCCCTTCAAATTTGTCACACGACTTCAACCTCACGTCCAAGAGATGGCTCTCGATCCTATCCATGAGATACACGCAGGATCAAGCAGTCATGAACCGAAGGCTACTCAATGGTTCTCCATCAATCTCATAAGCGGTCCGCTCCCCTTGTTTACTACTGACACCAATGCCCAACTCCAAATGAAGAGGATAGGCTTCACCCTCATCAACCGTCTGATGGGCGGAAGTCAAATTTTCCATCGTGGATCATCACATTCAACCAGTCGTAAGCCTGTCCCGTATTTCCTCTCAATCCATCCAGGCAACACCCACCTGAATGAAGAAGCTCAAAGTGAGACTGTGATTTCCCCCCAAGTATCTATCCTACATTTTTCGTTCTTCCGCCAGATCATTTCCAAGCAAGGACTCTACACAGTCCGTCTGGAAATATATCATGATGACAGCAGTACGAGTATTGAAACGGGAACAATGCTCCAATTGGGGGACAATGCTTCAAGCTTCAACACAGCTGTTTCCAGTCTTTCTTTGCTGACCATGTTGCAAACCCGGAATGTCAGTCGAATTGTTATCAGACCGACCGAAGAACTGCAGGAATCGGATTGGCACGAAGATCATGCAATCAAACTGCGCTTACTGTATGATGTGCTCACACAGCTAAGCAATAATGGCTGATGAGCACACCTAGATTGTTGAGTGAAAATCTTGCTTTTGCAAACTGGAGTTGCACAGATTGCCAGAAGGCACAACAATATCGGGGCTGAGGTTCCTCCCATCTAGGATTTCCCACCATGAGATTAGACGAGAGTGCCCACTACAGACAGAGAGACCTGTCTGTCTTCCACCATGCATTGTTGACATACTGCTACACTTCAGGAGGTTAATCTTCTTACTGCTAAGTCATGCAGACGGCAATGTATGTATGCAGATTTATTGATGACATGGGAAAGACTATCAAAGACTAGAGAAGATTGACTCATCTCTTTATTCAAAACCCCATCCACTTTGTTTCATCCGGGTTGAAATGAGGGCATACGAGCCGGACCCTTTTGCAACGAGCGGAAAAGAGAAGATCACTCCACCCAGACAACCTAGTTTCGAAATTAGCCCCTCTGACATGATCCGGGCGATAGCACGAAACAGGTTGTCACACGCTGCTCTCGGCCATAGATCTTGTTGACTTGCCGTCAAACCTCGGCCGAGTACCCATGCGTGTATACCCTCCCACAGGCCTGTCTTTCCCCTTCCCCCACAACCCGGACATGGATGGGTAAGTTTGGTTCCCCACGGTACCCTCCCCCCCCCCCCCCTCAGACCTCAACACTGAGCTACAAATCCCCTTTATGGGCCTTCCAGAAATCACCAATGGGGAAATTTTCTTGACGGGCTCACGGGCATCAAACCGAGTCCGCTGAGCATTTAAATACTTGACTCTTGGGTTGATCTCACCACTTTTATCCACTTTCATATCACACCATATCACTTTGTCCGTCTGCTCCCAGTATGGAAGACACTGAAGATTGGGAAGCATCTGTTTACTTGATTCATGAACCCACGACTCCTGTATCCTCGACTCTTGTATCCTCGCCTCCTGTATCCTCGACTCTTGTCCGTGCAGTGACACAAATGATAGGCTGTTCAAGTATTATCCTCCTACCCGGTGATACTCGCCCTCTCGTTCTACGACCGGGATTATCTCCAATCCCTGCTATCCTTCAAGGAAGCGTGACCGACAATGGCGCATCCGATGAGGGGTCAAATGGTCCGTGGGCGGAACAGATTATCTATCTTAGAGCCCTATCCACATATCTAGACGGATTGGGTAATACAACTGCGCACACAGTGGACAATGACAAAGAAGGGGATTTACTACTGGATATCACCATTGGCATATCACCCGGTCATCACCAGTATCCCGAGTTTCTGAAGAAAAGCCACTACCATCCGATTCTCCATGGGGTTATGATCCCCTGTTCAAAGCTCGGAGATCCTAATTCGCTGTCCTGTATTGTTGTATGCCCAACACTGACCATGGCCATATTACAAGACGCTGAAATGATGCGGTTTGAGATGGATCCGACTCGCAAGCTTGAACCTGACGACTTGAAAACGGTTCAGGGGGTGGTAAACATGTCAGTGCCCTCCTTTTGTTCAGTAGTGCCAATGTCAAAGCTCTGAGATGAGGAGGTCTTCACCCCACGAGGCCATGTAAAGGACATCACATGTCTTGTTTTCAGAGATATAGTGATGAATGATGACATGATGAGATGCTGAAGTGTTGCTGCGCTTGCTTGTCAGAAGAGTGACACGACCTCTAGATAACGACACGCCTCTTGTTCATGTGGGGTGCTTGAGATGCGGTGGTGTTGTCCACCTAATTCATTTCAGGGAGAGATGCCTGTACAGAGAGACGAGATCGTGTTACGTGACGGACCAAAGCCGTGACGCTTCGAAGCGTCATGGCTCTTAGCAAGATGGATGGAAGATTCGTGCAGCTTCAAGGTCTCACGACTTCCGTCGGTCACGTAACAACGTCTCCCAGATCTGACCTACTCACTGAAAGAAGGGATACTACCGGCCAACAAGCTACAAGATGTCTATCTTTCGATAGCAAGCTCATTTCGAAGCTGGACATTGGCCTGGACGTTGAAAGGATCGGCCGAACCAGCTGCCGATTGTGATTTGTTCCTCCTCCTACCCTTTAGAAAATGAACAAACAATGCTTCTGCCGATACATCAGCAATCATCACGCTTCCTCAAATATCATCACCCCATCTTACTCGACTTTTAGATGCCCTAATATTTCTCTACTTACTTACTAGTCTTCCTTATCCTTTGTTTCAGGTCTCTCCTTCCATGCAGCTCTCCTCCCGAAGTATTTCCTGTCTACCTCCTTCTTCTCTTCTCCATCACCGAGACCCGGGGATGACTCAGGGTTCACCGAGGTAGGCTAACTTCAACCTTTCATCCGTCTCCGTATCCACCCGCACCTTATCAATCTTATTGGGGGATGAGATTCATAGTTGCAAGAGTACGTAAACGAGACCGTAGTGACGCGATCCCTAATTTGATTGACTATCAAGTGACAACATGACAGTCGAGTCAATTAACACAATGTCTGAGAAGCTTTTACATCGTAAGCGATATGGTAATGGTACGTGCTGATATCAGACTCTGCCAATAGACTTGTGAAGATCGTGACCGACATCAGAAAGAACTCAGATTCCAAGTTTAGCTTGAAGGCGAGGTATATGGGACCTTGTAGCGCAATCGAAATACGTAAACCTGGCTCGACTGCATGGGCGGTCATACGTATTACTAATCGAGATGATCCCAACAGTACCTTCCAGGAGGAATCAGAGGAACATAACTTGATCAGAAATGTAAATGTTGACATTTCTGAGGAAGATCTTGACCCCTCCGAGAGGGATGTCGACGCTTCCAAGCAAGTAGAACGGTCCTTGAACGCCTCTTGGGCTCTGTCCGGGGTAGAGATAAATCTATGGGAAGGTACAATCCAAACAGATCTCCTTCAAACAACCAGCCCTGTTCGTACTATCACTGGATGGATGGCTCCGGTGCCAAATGCTTATTGGCAGGATGACAAACCATGGTGGATCATATCCTCAACTGACTTCAATGAATTCCCTACAGAAAAATTGCAAAGGTACAATGGTGATAACAATTGACCCAAATGTCGATTCTCGAGAAGAGGAAGAAGAACAGCTGAGAGCGCTCATCCCGACTATGACTGTATCAATGCCAAAGCTGTGAGGAATGGCATTCTTTGACATGGTATGATCCTATGTATATGTTGGGACAGTAGGTAAGATGGAAGCCATGACAAGAGAGTTTGAACTATGTTTGACAGTGTACAGTTTAATCTTGTGACTATCAACTGTGTACAGTGTCCGTCTACGGTGCCAAACCACATACCGCTTGACAGAGCATTGTGATTGCTGCCTGTTGACTTTGGAAATATAGGAGAAGAAAGAATTCATGCCCCTTCCTTCCTCCCCCTTTCATGCTGGTAGTCATGAGAAGAAATTCTGACAATCTGGTCCGTCCGGATTCTGCCAACTATTGATTAGTTGAGATTATATTATGAATCTTGTTGAAAGACGCTCGGGTGATGTCACCATTGGGCAATAATAGGCAGGGGAAGTCCCTACGTTTTGCCCGCCTTCGTCAGTAGTCAAAATTTATACTTTTAAATGCCAAGCAGTGTTATTGATAAGAAAAAAATTACCCTTGTAATACATACTTGTTTCCTATAGTATAGGGAGACGTCTGCCCTGCCTTAAAAGCGCATTACATCATCATCCGCCCCGTTGGACCAATCAACGCACGGATTTTCTTCTTGACGATTGGTCTCTCCTACTTGTACTCCCGATACCCGACAAGTATCGCACCTACAGTACATATCCACGCCGTCCTCACTTTCTCCCCTCGGATAACCTTCCGCATTTGAAGCCTTTAGCCTTCTTCTACTCTCCACCTCTTTTCATCACCTTCTCCTTGAAACACGGACTATATCCCCATACCCATTACCCGATCCTTTGATCTTCCCTCTGCCAACTTACCCCTTTTGGACCTCATCAAGTCTTTGTCTCTTGAGAATCTATTACTCAATCTTCTTACTAAACCGGTACTTTTTCTTCCACCCATATTCTACCTTTCCTCCATCTTCCCCATCTAAGATTACTTTTCGTTTCGGATATATTACATACCAGTAAGATCCTCGCGACGTCCTCTGCCTACCGCCGCGTATCCATACCATCGACTCTTGACTTCTGTTTCTCAACTACTAGCTCAATCTCCACCTCCAGCCCCTTGTCTGATTAGTGAGCAGATAGCATAGTTGATCATCTCCAGACCAGCACTATACTGATATTCAGCTCATCCAAATAGGGCAGTTGTGTCGGTATCTGCTCCTTGCTTCTGTTACGTCTCTTCCGAAATGAGTGATGATACGACCATTATACCCCCCTCTTCTTGTTCTGATTCTTCTCAAGTATCTCTGCAACGAGTCCCGATCGATGAAACCCCGGACAGTCGTTGTTTACCAGGCAGACATCGCGAAAATGTTGAAGCTTTTCAGATTGGGTCAGACAAGATCCCCCTCAAGGAGATCGAAGTGGCTCTCCGAGGACTACAAGGTCTGTGGACTGCGTCCATCAGTTTCCAGCGATCCCACCTCATCCGCAGCATACACAAACCCACTCTCATTGGGGGTGTGTCAGGCTGGGGTGACCGTCAGAAGCTCATCGTTTCCATGGAGCCACACACACTCACAGTTATCGCCCATAGCAATGCAGGAGGTGGGATCCTCATTAGCTCCTGCCGATCAATGCGAGATGACTTCGCCTCTGGGCCTGAATCAGCCAACCAGAAACTACACTCAAGGGTAGCATTCATTTCCAGGACGTGCAGATTCACACTAAGGCGTGAGGAGTCAGCTTTGGGAAATTACGAGCTGGCAATTTCCAATTTTGATGATGATAAGAGCACTGTTGTGACCCTTGAATGTGATAAGTCAGGTGCTGTCTCTATCAGATCTTGTCAAGTGAGATCAACCAATGGAGAGCTCACCTGTGATCCGGAACTAGGCAAACAGGAACTGAAACTGAAAAGTGAAGTCAATTCCGGGCAAGACGAATTCACTCTCAATCCAGACGGGACAACTTTGAACAATTGTAAACAACTCTTCATCTCTGATGTCAGTGGTAACCCGCGCACTATTGTGGGTCTGGAACGTAATACCTCGAATACGGTCCGTGTCATCTTTTTTGAAAGGATACCCGTTGGAGAGGATTCTAGCATTGACTCCGAGCTGGGCGTCCAGGAATTGAAGTGGAGGAGCGTAGCAGTGGGAGTAAGCACCGTCAATGATGGAAATGAAAGAACTTGTGTCCTTGTCGAAAGTCTTCATGGCTTAGCATTCCCAGTTGGACCCAAACAACCTAGTCAATCCCGGAGGATAGTCGTTCGCACTCAAGAACTCATCTCCTTTATCAGGCAGAGCCCTGAATCAAAGTTTGTACTCGGTATAGCCCGTCCGTCGTTGAAGAGTGATTATGATTTGATGGCCGAGTTTCAAGCTGTACAGCAACTTCGGGCTATAGAAGCAAGTAAGAACGGTGACGGAATTTGGTATGGTGGCCCGTCCAACTCAGCAATAGAAGGGAGACAGGAGACTAGAACTGAGGCTTCCAGTCCGACTTCAATTGAGGAAACCAGGAGTGTTGGTGACCGCACTCCGTCCACCGAGATTCCATCAAAAGGAGGTCCAAGTGTCACAGATCACAAACTTCGATCCAAATTGTGATTTGGCAAGGGAGGCTATTCAGTATTATAACACCATCACTGATTGATTGAGCAGTCAATAGGGTTATGCTTCATGTCTATGTAGTAGGTACTGTATGAGACTATAGCTAAGGAGGAGTACAACCCTCTAGTCGAAGACCATGTCAAAACCCATGTATGAATATTATCATGACATAGGCTTAGTGCAAGAGACCTCTTGTCCTGAGGAGATAGTGTGTCAAGTGAAGGACGGAAGACCGTGACACTTCGGAACCTCACGGGTCAGATCGTGAGAGATCAAAGTTCCGTGCAGCTTTGGAGTGACATGATCTTCCGCCATGACACTCTAAAGAGTCATATTCTAATGACCGTGACCATGGGAAGGTTTCTCCTCCATCCATCATTATCACCTCAAGTGACACCAGAGAAATCAAGGTAAGGACCTCATCCTCTCCCTCCATACATGGCTTCAACTCGCCGACTAAATGATAGTAGCCGGCCCGTCTCGCCTTCTAATCGACTCCCTCGCCTTCCATCCCTTTCCGTCCAAACGACACCATCCGGCACCTCCCTTTGTTTCTACCCCGAGTCATCAGACATGTATGGACTCATAGTCACACCTGATGTCTTCTTGGTGTTCCATCTCTTTTTGTATATCAAGTATGTCTGTCTTGACCATGTCCTCAATAATCTTGACAAGCATTTCTCGAAAGACTTTCACAACCCCCCCCCCTCTCACCAAATTCATCTTGTCTAATCTACTCCCTCTCTTCCTTCCCGTATTCCACTTAGCCCTGTGATCTGGCTGAATGGTATCTGATCTATCCACAGGCTTCCAAACCTCCTGATTACTCAGTGTGTACTATCATCAACTCAATCCACCTAGTTACTCAAACGGAAACTCGGATCGAGGAAAAGACATCATGTCCCCTACTCTGCCCCCTCGTTTTCCTCCTGCGGTCGAACCGATGCGATACATGTGGAACGCAACATTTTCCCATTCGTTCAATGATCAAGGTGAATTGAAGATCTCCAATGTCGAACTTATGAATTGCAGTCAAGTCTCATTATACAGTACTGACCCAAATGATTCAAGAGAACAGTGTGGGATCATCTTGACACAAGATAGCAAGTACGGTCATATCCTAACTTCTACCTCCTCTTTCCCTTCTAGTTCAACTCTCACTCATCTACCTACTGGGTCATCCCAAGCTCCGAGCAAGATGAACACTCTCACCGTCCCATTTCCTTCAGCTAGAAGCACCTCCATTCCTACACTTACCAATGGAAGTGTCTTGAAAGGTAGAGGCAAGGAAATCTCCCTGGTCCTCACGGATTTGGAGTATGAAGAGTACTCGGAAGATGTTAGATCACATATATTTGTCTCAGCCATACCCGGAACGGCATGGACGGACAAGGGTGGTGGAATACCCCATGAGCAAAAGATAACGGTGATTACTCAGGGTTTGGAGAGGTTCTTGAGGGAATTTGCCAATGGGAGTTTACAAAGTGTCAGTATTGTCAGACCGGCAGTTTTGAGTAGTACACACGAACGTGAGAAGATTGGGTCGTACGGACAAACTACTAGTGCTTTGAGTAGGAGAAAAGGAAGGGATACCTATTACTCGAGACTTTGAACTAAACCTAATGGGTGGGATTTCACTGGTGTCATGATGTTATTGGGTATTCTGGTGTTTATACAAGTATTGTTGTTATGAGTGACATTGAATACGGGGGTTTATGTACTTTGTCATTTAAGAAACACGGAATTTGGTCATGCAAGTGTTGTTCAGCGTGCATTCCACTCCTGATGGGGACGAGGTAGATCCATGACACTCATTTCTTCTATGACATCACATGATGGAACGATTCTCTGCATCTCCATTATCACCTTGTCTGCTGTGTCCTCATACAAGTACAGTACCAGCACTCATACTATTCCCGTCCGAAAGTTGCATTATCGGAAAGTCGCACTAACGGAAGCATCGGTCGATTCTCGGGGGGATACCGTGCGAAGAGGTCAAGAAATGTTCGAAAATTGCCACATTCAACACGAGTGCCACACTGCCACAATTCGACACATTTCGCCACTCACTGACTCTTCTCCAACATCCATCTCCATCGTACAACTGTACCAACATTCATCATCTACCAATATGACAGAGTGAGTGCCCTGGGTTATGATAAATAGTGCTGACGTCCAGATGGTGGGTATCGAAGAAGAATTACTGGTGCAAATATTGCAATATATGGATAAGGGACGATGCACCTGTCAGTCTTTCCCTTTGTCCCTTTTCTTCTATCGTCCTTCTTTCTTCCCTTGATAGCCCACTCGTCAATCACACATTCGGATATGAGCGTTGTGATGCGAAGGTGATCAAACGACTTTCACGTCTTGACACACCATGCATTCATTCATGTGATGAGAAATAATCAATGACGACCAATTTATACTAATCCTTAGTCGAGGAAACAACACGAAACGGGATTAAAACATATCGGTAATCGAGAAAGATACATAAGAGATATATATAAAGATGGTAATCTTGCTAAGCAGGCTAAAGAAGAAGAAGCTATTGAGATAGCTAAGATAGAAAAGGTAAGTACATCATTCTCTAACTCCTGCTCTTCAAAACGTTGTACGTTTTACTGATATGTAGAACGCAGCAGAAGCTCATTCCAAAGACACACATATCTCAACCTATAAATCTCGTCCATCACTTCTATCAACACTACCATCGTCATCTTCTTCTTCCTCCTCACAACATCGTATACAAATCCCAAAAGATAAATTCGCGAATTATTCAACTGCTAAACAACTCGGGTTTGATGATCCCGATACACATAAAACGTCTTATGAGATTGAACAAGAGATAAAAGGACGTGGTACGAATGTTGGGGCTTGGGAAGTGGTGGATGATTTACCAAAAGGTTTGGATTCTTCATCACTTGGTTTAGTCGGTGAAAGGAAAGTTGATGAGGATGATCCGGATGAATTCAAGATACAGGAAGGTAAAAGAGGAAGGGAGATTTGGGAAGAAGAGGATTACGATTTATCTTCATTGAGAGGTATGAAGAAAAAAGTCAAATCTCAAAATCAACTCGCGGAGGAACAAGTCAAGGAAGAGGAAGAGGGGGTGGGAGAGGGAGAGGGATGGAAGGGGAAAGTAGAGTTGGAAGTGAAAATGGAACAGGGGAAAGGTTTGATATATAATGGTGAGGAAGGAGGTTGGACCAGAGTTGATTCGGGGGAAGAAGAGGAAACGTCAGTAAAGAAAGAGGATGATGGTGAGAAGAAAGAAGAAGATTTAGTTGAGTCGGAAAATGTGATAACGATTCCTAAGGAAAACACCAGTTTGTTCAAAAAACGTAGACCTCCACCGTCAAGGAAGAAATGATTTTTTGCTCTATGTAACACCGTAACAATACTGTCACCTACCTTTATTGCTTCATACGACACTTTAGTTCAACCCGATTACTGATTCATACTTTTCTCTTGTACTCTGATGACTCTGACAATGAATGATCAACTTACTTCCCAATGTGTCTCACTCACACTGCGACCCTCGGTTCTACAGCTCCCATCATTGGAACAATCCTCATCGTTTCGGTCGATCCTTAGATAACCTTTCATTCTGGCTACTTACTCGTCGCATGATGAGTATTGCATCTTCATACCATTCCTGCAAACGAAAAAACATTGCCGGCTCATGTCAAGACGTCACGGTGCAGAACATGTACTGGGAACTAACATACGAGTAGAAACCGGAACGGTCACCCAGCCGAATTGGTCTCGCGCCGTTCTGGTTTCAATGTGAGGTACAAGTACAGTAGAGAAACACGTCAAAGTGTCAAAAACAATCGTAACAGGGGAGGGGGGCCAACGAAAGAATCATGTAGATGACATGTCGGAAAATAAATAAATAAAAACGTATGATAAGTTATGCTTAAAACTTTCGACTTTTGACAACCTGTGAAATCCCACTTTTTTCACCTTTGTAATCCCCTCCTAAACTTGCTTGACCACCTTTGAAAACAGCTCTTTGAGAACCCACGCGTCTCTTAGCTTTCTCATAAGCTTGTCGTTTCTTCACCCTTGGGTTCCTACCGGTTTTAGATCGACGCGGTGTCAAACCTCTGTTTTTCTCAATCGCCCTAGAGACGGATCGAGGACCGGATGTGATTTCGTCTTGTAATGATGCACTGGGATCAGTAAAAGTTCCATGATACACAGGTAGGGAACGACTAGATTTCTCATTGATATCATAACGGCGATAAAACGATATGGAATGAGATGATGAAGAATAGATGTTATGGGAAAAACTCACAATTTTTCCATTCTCTTTTCTTCATGAGCAATTTCCTTTTCTACTTTTTTCTCCTCTTTTCGTCTCTTTACCAATTCATAATACCCATCTGATTCCCCTTCTCCATCATCCTCCTCTCTCGGATGTTTCTTACTTCTACCTCTCTCTTTCTCACCTGATATCACCTGCCTTGTCTCTTCCCCACCAAACCTATCTCCCTCTTCATCCCTCGAGTTCATCTCGACGAGTCCACTAGCTCCAGACTCAAGCCTCTCCCCAGTCCCCCTCTTGAGAACCGAATCCCTTGCAGCCTTCCGATCTCTATAAGGAACATCATCATCCCCTCCTAACCTTCTTTCCCTAGCTGCTGTCCGTCTTGCTGACGTGGAAGCGATTTTAGAAGTATGGAATGCCAAAGACCTCTTACGTCTTTCTTTGTCTGATGCATCCGCATCGAGTAAAGAGGTAGGATCTCCCAAGGCGTCGTCGAATATGTTGGACCGTTTCGACCGTAAGGAAGGGATAAATTCTGGTTCTTCCAATATTGCCACATCAGATTTTGGGGATTTCGAAGCTTTAGATTTCTTTTGTTTCTCAAATAGGTTGTTGGTCGAGTTATCGCTCTCAAACATGTGTTTGGATTTTGGAACCTTGATAGATTTGACAAGTCTAGTAGTGAAGGATTTGTCGGATTTGAGATTTTTGATCTTGTTGTTCGACGCTGATATGGGTGATTTATCCGCATCAGCCAGAAGATCTTCTAATTCCCCATCTTCCAAATCTCCCTTTAACCAAGATAATTCCCCCGTGGGGATCCTCTTTGTTCTTCTACTTGAAAGTTTCCTCCTGTCCCTCTTGGTAGCCCCAGCCAAACTTTCTCCTTCCTCATCCTGATCTTCATCTTCATTACTCTCGTCATCCAGAGAACTGAATGAATCCAATCCGTCCGAAGAATCTAATTCATCCGAGTCGCTCAGCTCGTCCAGATCATCAAGCTCATCCAAATCACCCCAGTCAGGAGCATCCATAGCTGCATCCAACTCCATCTTATCTAACATCACCACCCCAGCTTTGAGCTTTACCAATCGGGCTATGACGCGTGGGAGGAGGGATGATGTGGAGGAGGAAGGTGGGATAGAGATGAGGTGGAGGTAGAATGTGAGTGTGGATGTGTAAGTCAGGAGGGTTTCTGTGGGTCAACACAATCCTACGATCTCAAAAATCTGGCAGTGGGTAAGGCTCTAAGCAATCACAAGCAAGGATCGGATAGATCATGATATTTCACGACAGAAGGTGGATTGAAATGTCGACTTCAGATCACTGGTCAGACACCCTTCCGATGAAAGTCAGAGAAAGACCCGAGCATCAGACAAGTGGACAGAGTGAATTAACCAGGGAGTGAAGAAAAGGTGACCCACGATAATGTAACCATCCTAAAGGTTTATGCAAATTCCCCTCTCCATCTTTCTCCTCTTCCATCTTTCCCACACCTTCTGCGGTCCGTTCCAATCTATCAAGCATCAAAGGGTAATCTCTAGCCAAGGCAAGTTTGAGAGGATCATGTAATTCCATATGTTTCAAAATGACGACAGGGTCTGAAGTTTCGGGTACTGGAGGTGGGGCTGGTTTTTCCTCTTCTATGGGGTCGTCATTACTGAGTGTCAATCTTTATTTTCTGTGATACCATTTCAGAAATTGACCCTTTCACCTTTATGCAGTGAAGGAAGTGAAAGTAAGAGCTATCATACACGGACAAGAAGTACATCAAAGAAGGAAGGGGAGAGGAGAAGATTTGTAAAGAGCAGGTTGATGACCCACCCATTCATATCTACTCTTCCCATATCATCCAAATCGTCCAACCCCCAATCTTCTTCCCCCAAACTTTCCCTGGCTTTTCTCTGTAACCTCTTTACTTCTTTCTCTTCCAACTCCCTCTCTTCTTCCCTTTTCTCATCTAAAACCCCTTGAGATTCTTTTTCTTTCCTTGTAGATGGGCGGGAATAATACGATCTTCCCCATCCTTCTTCGCTTTCACTTTGATCTGAATCGTCCGTGTCACGGGAAGGTTCTCCATTGGTGACTATATGATCAGCTATATGCTGTTAAGTAATCTCAAAACAACCTCCCATTTCTCCATGACTCTCTTGGTGCATAACGACACCAGCACAGAAGGAAACGGACACGGCGCGAAACGGGCAGAGAGGATTCGACGACACCGCGAAAGTACAACCCGTAAAAGCAAGATAAAGGCAAGAGTAAGAGATAGGAGGGTAGACATGTCAGAACAGAGATGGGTGTAACAGCAAATAATTGGAGAGAAGAGCGACTAGTAAAGTTCAGGCATAGGGAGATGAGCCCAGGGAGCAAAAAAGAAACCCACCTTCATCTTGCCCATCCGATTCATCCGACACTTGCACCTTCCCATATCTACCTTTTGTAGAAACATCAATTCTCTTCTTATCTTTCCTCTTCTTCTTCTCCCTTCTTTCATCTTCTACTTCCTCTTCCTCTTCATCCTCCACTTCATCGTCCTCATGTATCTGACGGTGGTCTAATCGAGGGTTATCGGGTAAAGCCAATACCTCTTCTTCGTCATTTGAAGAAGAATCGGACTGATGATCAAACATAATTCGATCGCGTTTGAACATATCTGAATATCAGGATTTCTACTCTCTTCTTAATCCAGGGTAGAGACTCATAAACTCGTGCAGAAGAGATTATGTTGTGATTGAAAAAACCTACGTTCATCCACCCCACCTTGCTCCAGAGTATCTTCATAACTCTCCATCCTCTTTATACTCTTTCCTGGTGCTTGAGAGGCTTTGTCACGCCCTTTAGCACCTTTTTGCCCTTTATGTTTGACCATTGTGGTGAGTACTGTATGAGAGGGACGATGATAGAGGAGAAAAAGGTGGGATGTGCAGATTGCGTTCAAAGTTTTCGCATGCCTATTCTCGGTAAGGTACATGTCCACACCGACGCGCCTATTCGTCTCCGACAAGGCGACCGGCAACTGGTTCGGTTATGTATAGGCCTCTACTTGAAAATTGAATTGAAAAGGTGTTGTGTGAGTAATTGAATACATCACATTGTAACGTAGATAGGACAAGCAGAGAGATGGTACAACACATGCATATCACTCATCCACCCAGTCTATCAACAAGCCGTTTACTTCGATCAGCAACATTCATCATACCACAAAAAGGGCAGCAAGACCGATTCATGAAGCGGGGTTCGAGACGAGCGCGAAGGAAAGGTTGAGAAAAAAGAGTGGAGATAGATACGAGAGAACAAGGAATCAGGATTGAAGGATATCTAACTCACACAAAAGCAGGTGTCGAAACTTCTGGTTCACCAGTTTTACTCCACATTTCCCTAGGCCAATAATCTTGTAAGAAGACATAAGTATGTCCAGCTAACATTCCGACCTGGTACTGGTCAGATATTAATCACGCTATGACAAAAGTATGACTTACAAGATCACCGACGGCAGCTTGGAAACCACCTTGTAATAACCAACTGAAACCTACTAGACAGATTGGGAGGTATGGAGCTGTTATACTATTCATCAGCATTATCCTATATGTCTCTGGGAGTATCATCCTGTATCGTACCACAAGTGATTCCCTTAGTACACGAGGATGGGTTTAACCTCATATTTCACCTCACACGACTATTGTGTACTGACGCATCCCCATCAAGGCAGGAATGGTGGAGGGTGAAAGTGAGATGAGACTGAACTGTGGTGCCGAGCGATAGGTCGAGGGAGATGAAACAAAAGAGAACTCACGTAACCACCCCGAATAAAGACATTTTTATAGATGGATTCCTTCTTGACCAAATGTATACAAGAGCGAACGCCAAGGAAGAAGAAAGGAATGGGAGTGTTAAAAGAGGAGAGATGACCTAATTATTTAGCTCGTATCCTTTTCCAACTCTCCGACTCATTATCCTCCCTATCCCTTCAAATATGAATATACCATTTTATGGGAGTGAACTATGTTATTTGCAATCTGTGACAATCCAACATATCATTCGTATGAAAGTACGAGAAGAAGAGCTGCGAGATCTGGGATTCACTCACCAACAGAAAAGTAGCACAGAGACATAATAACCAAACGTAATCTGCTTTCCTAGAAGAAAAAGAATTTTCCTCTAATAACCGAGAATATCTCATCCTATTCATCAGCGAATTCCAAAAGTAAGATGTTCCATCCAATCCCAGTAGAGACGATGAATGATCTAATCCCACAACGTTGAAGAATAGCCAATATCAGAAAGGAATGATGAGTCAATAATTCCCGGAAATTAGAAGATTGTTTTACACTCACAGGAAGAAAAGATGAAATGCTAGATCTAATGATAGTGGACCGAAATAGAAGAAAGTGGTTGCGAAACGCCATATCTATTATCAGCGTGTTCGTGTTCACTGAGGTTGAGAAATGTACAAAGTGTATTCAGAGGAGAACAAGGGGTCTTCAGTTGACGTACCAGTCAAGATAGGGGAAGTTACTAGGTGATCATGGGCATAAATGGCTGGGTGAATGGGTTGATGGGTGAATGGATGAATGGGTAGAAAGGTGGATAGGGAGGAACTTGGAACTGACTCACTTGCATCTTCATTATAGCCTGTTTCCAAGAGAAATACAATTGTATAGGTGCTATAGCTTGACATTCCTAAATCATCAACTCTCATTTCTCATTTTTGGCTTTTCCACCCAAATACTTCAAAAAGGATGAAAGAATGAACCGACGAGTGATATTTGGGATACAAAATACAAGATGTCAAAGAATGAACCCATGAATGATATTTGGGATACACGATAGGAATGGACTTAGATGAAGACACAAGAAAAAAGACAAAAACTCACAACTAAAACACTAGTAGCAACCGCCAAAACAACCCAAGTCCTAGTGACGGGTGGAATATCAGTGATCCATTGTTCTACCGGTTGTGCCATGTTTTTCTCTACCCTCTCTGATCAGTCCAAGTCTACCGACTGATCTTTTTAATTCGTCACCGAGGTAGTATGTTTTGCGTGGTATATCACGCGACGATGGATCCAAGGTTGTGTATCTTGACGTCGGATGAATTCTTAAGGGAAGGAAAGTCGTGGATGTTGTACTACGCCCGAGACTAACTACGTTTTGTGCTGTCCGATGTGTTGAGATGTATTGTATCTCTCTAGCCGATGGATGTTGCGTAGACGATCCCAGACCCAGCACGACTCGCAAGGGCTATTCGAACTGTATAAATGACGTTGAGCAGTCGCGGTTGAAGGAGAACATCAAGCACTCATGATGTCAAAGGAGAAAGAAGTGCGACGACTGCAACTTGAGCATCGTTTCCGTCGGAAAGATGCATCCTTCTCTCTACCTATACCACTATATATGCTACGCGCTACGGCATATAAGACAACCCAGCATCAAGTGAAATCCGAAGATATCCCATGAGACCAGATATGCACTTTACTCAATGAGAATATTGCTTCAAACAATTCCTATACCTTGCCCTTGTCTCGACTTCGTAACGTCCGACTCGACTTTTCTACCTCTACCACAACCTTCTTCACCCTCCCTCTCCCTCTCTTCCCTCGTCCCCCTCTTACTGATCTCCCAGACTCTTCTCCTCCCTGCATAGGTTTCTCACCCAGTCCCGAATCTCTGTCCACATCAAAAGGAGCACCTCTCTCAACAGTTTCCAACTGCACAGGAGACTGAAGAACATCCAGAGAAATATCTGAAGAAACAGGATGTTTGCCTAATACCGACCTTGATCCCACAGCCTCATCTTCATCCGCATTCCCTTCACTAGATCCAGCACCGGACCTCGACTTTACTTCTTGATCAGACCTCATCGGATCGCTTCGTGTGATATCAATCTCGGAGGTCACCCCAGGCCTGTCCACGTCGACCAACAAGGATTGGCCAGACGAGTTGTCGACATTTCGAAATGACGAAGAGGATACTTTGGTAGGTCCAGAAGATACACGCCATGATGTGGGAAGAGTGGGGGAATTTTCCGAAGGAGGAGCATGAGTTGGAGAAGGGATAACCGGATAGATTCGAGAGGAATCAGGGGGATGGTCCGACGGACTTCCACTCCTCATCCTCTCAACCCAAGCGGTAGAACTTTGAACATTCGCAAAACCTATAATCTCCTTGGCACCTTTCGGTCGATTTTGATTGGAGGTGAAATGATTGGACGAGTTGGCCATTGGGTTGTGTTGATTTTCCATCAACTGAGAAATAAGCATAATGTCTGACGGCAGGGAATGATAATGGGGTTTATGACTCGTGGACTCGTGGACTCGTCGAGGATAAGACTGGGTAGGAGATTGTGCAGGTGAATTTCCCATTGTCCAAATACAACAGAGGAGAATGGGTCGATGGGGAGGTGTTAAGTGACAAAGAAAGCTCAGCCGGAAGAACTCACCCCATCTCCTTGTCCATATTCCTCTTGAAGTCGCCGCTTAACACGAAGCCCGTTGATCAACTTCTTCCAACGTTTCAAAGCTCGATCTTCCGCTTTGACCCTACTTCTTTCCATAGCAGCAGCTTCGGATTCCCAATATGCCTGATGTGTCAGGGTACACTCGGCATATTAATCTGGGATGGTGAATGAACACAGGATTGATCTTTGGATAGATGGACAGATACCGAGATGGTATGTACGAGACAATGGCCAGGTACGAAAAGTCATATCCGGACCGGTAAATGGACAAAGAACTTTTTTCTCCACCTCAACGAGTAGCCGAAAACCGAATGTCTATTCGAAACTAGTAGAGAGCTCAGACTCATCATCCAGACTGACAAAGAACAAATCCGGTCCAATTGCAGGTCCATATACCCAAGACAAGTAACTCACCTCCAAGACAATACTCTCCATGTCCTCCGCAACCACAATTCCCGTGATGACCGGTATAGCACGTTGGTTTTTGAATTCAAACCCGGTCTATCCGTAAGTCTATCATATACATCAGTTTGTAATGGAGTTCTACTCACACAAGCTTCGGCATAACTGATACCTAGTTGTTTGGTAACTTTGGCAATACCTTGATCTGATAATCAGCTTTTCTCCGGATGTTCAGTGAAACAAGTCCCATAAGAGCGGCTGGTGAGGGGAGACAAGAAATCTGTCAAGGGAGAATAAAATGGACGTCTCGTGAACAGATGGCGAGACGCAAAGGGGGGGGGGGGGGGCTCGGTCATTGAAAGACTGTGGTATAATGAGATAGTGCTAGATAGGGAGATAAAACTCAGCAACTCACATGGGAGATGAACAGCTCCTAAGGGAAGCATAGTAGGTACGTATAAATCTAGGTTACCAAATGTGTTGGTAGGTATGATTCCCTGGTCGTCAATCATTTCATCATTGAGACCATCTTCGTCCAGTTTAACTACCTAACAACTAAACTCATTTCTTGCTCTTTTGTCTGATCCATGGCAGTACGGTCGGATCGCAATCGAGTCGCAAGTCCATTTGTCCGCGAACCCGCGCACAAGAAGGGAAGCCGACGGAGCAGGCGAACGACCACATAGAGTGATCAACCGACACAAGATGATTGTCAAACAACACAAGGAGATTGTCCGACTACACGAAGAAGGGAAGATACCAGACCGAACGACTATACGTAAGAAGGACGAGAAGTATACATGAAGAGAGCATGTCCATCAAACATGAACAGAAATGAAGGGACTATGAAAGACAAACAAGGGAACAGTAACAACACTCACATCCCTTATAGGTTCAGGTCTATACAACTCAGTTTGCCATTCGGCATATAAACCTTGTTGTACCTCTTCACCACCTTCCAATCTTACCAATTCCTGTGCTCTTCTCTTTTGTATAGTGACAGCACGTTGTTTTACCCATTTCAAAGGTTCTTGTTTATCTCTAATCTTTCTACCCATTCTCATCCAATTCTCAGACGTTTTACATTGTTGTACTGAAGAACGACGAAAGACAGGTTCACCTTTGAACCTACCTATTTCACGTCGAGGATTTAAGACTTGATCTCTTTTTAAATGACGTTCGAGTACGTATCTGGGGTCAGGGTTTGATACCATGGTTTCATGACTGGTTGCATCTTGAACATGAGATGCCGGTATTGGGTATGTTGGGAGGGATGAATACAACTTGTGTTCTTTTTCGTATATGGCCGATGACGATCCGTTATTTCCTCGTCTTCACTGCGGAGGGAAGGGAGGGGAGGTCTCAGTGACAGGGTTAATCAGATTCTCCAAGGACAACCCATAACGGGACAAAACGACGTGGGAGCTTTTATAGGGATAAAAGGTGAGAGAGCATGTGTAGGGAGGGAAAGACCGGTGACTCACATGGGATGATCTTTAAATCCATTCATATGTAACGGCATGCCTTCTGAAAAATGACTAGTTTCCAACTCAGCATCTTCTAAATCGTCTCGTTTCTACCATTAGCTTGCATGATGATCACAATCGTATAGCTTACCAATCGATAAGGTCTTTCTAAAAACCTGACCACTCCATTCCACCAATCCTCTTCATCCTTCTTTGGAGGAATACGAAGTTTTGAAGTTTTCGCACCGAAATTCTTCGCATATCTTAATGTTACATCTCTAGCGTGGCCATCTGTTTCTTAGCAACGAAAAACACCATGAGTATTCCTCTCCAAACCCAACTGGAGAGACATATACCGTCAACCACGTACCCAAACAAACGCTTGCATACAGCTCAACTCTCAGAATCCAGACGCTTTTGGACGTTGATGTCACAACCAGCGAAATAGAAATCAACTCGATCTCAGGAGATAAATGGTGGATGGTGGTATATTTGTACGCAATTAAAGAGGGAAAACAACGGAAATCGAACATACAACTCACCCTCTTCAAACGCCACGACATAAGTCATCCTCACTAACCCACTATCATTATTAGGTTCGTAATGCGCTTTCTTCCTTATAATCCCGGAAACAGGATCCACAGGGATCCATCTTTGATCCGACCGACTGAACACTTCTGCCCAAAATACAGGAGGTTGCGATTTCAGATCTGATTATCAGCACACCGCCGCAGATATCACTTGGATCCGCACCCACAACGATCCAGCGGAAGGGTCGGAGGTGGGGAGATCTGGTCTCACCTTGCTTCGTCTTGACTTTCTTCTTTGGTGTGATGGTCGGTTTCTGTTTCCTCAACCTGTACAAATCTGCCGGATCTTGTAAACGTCTTTTCCCAGCTGCCCTAATTGGTTTCCCCGATTCCTCCATTTTACTCCCCAAGACTTCTTTTTCTGCCAATTCTGTTTCTCCAGCAGTTCCTTCGTTCCCAATGGATGGTTCAGTTCCAGGAGTTGTAAGCTTCGTCCCATCTATAGATGGTATATAAACCTCTTCGAACTCATCCTCACTGTCCTCATCATCTCCATTACCTTGTCGACTTGCTACAGTCTTTCCTCCACTCCCCGCTCCGGTAGGTTTCTTCTTAACTAAAGACTTCTCCGCTCTCCATGGTACAGCCTGTATCGAATATACCAACCTTGTCCCTAAACCACAAGCTCTTGCGAGAGCTACGAACAATTGAGCTGAAACATCTCTCGAACCTTCTTGTTGTAAAGCTTTCTTCATCAAACTATTGACGCTTCTCAATCTCTCGCCCCCTGCTCCTTCTCCTATTTGTTCTATCCAGACATCTTCCATTTCCTTTTGTTTACCTTTTTTACTAGAAGCAGGTGATGTTTGTTCTCTACCTTTTCCTTTCTCCCTGGACGAAGGAGTTTGATGGTTGTTATTCGTGGATGTTAAGGAGATTGATTGGAGATTGAAAGTGGGAGTGAGGAAATCGGTCTTGGTCAAGGGAGGAAGATTATCAATGATCTCTTGTACTTCATCCCATGGTCTAGTCCTCAAACCTATGGTATAATCGGGAATGTCGAAAAACGATTGAGACCACCAAGTGACTAAAGATTGTAAAGCCTCGAAGAAAAGTCTGGAACGTTGTGCTCTATCGGGGAAACGTGAAGGAGGGATATTGAATGCCGCTTGTAGTGGATGAGGGAGAAGAGAGAGTAATCTGGCCTGAAGTCTATCAACACAAACGTATCCTTTTGGGAACATGTCTTGAGATGCAGACCGACCTTTAGAAGGGAGTTTGAACACCACCTATTTCGTATTCTAGCACTCGCCAGAAGACAGACAACATGTAATTTATGAATTTCCATTCGTATAGCACGATCTTTACTGGTTATCGGTTTCCTACGAGTCAGCGTGTATTTTACACCAGAACATGCGACCTCACTTTCTCATGGCCAACAATAACCTTTTGGCTTTCTCTTCAGGTGTCTCACCACCTATCTCCACACGGATCACATTGCCCTCTTCTTCTTCTTCACCCGATTGACTGTCATCTCCATAACCAGCATAATCGTCGTCTACACTGGGAGCTGTGGTATTTCCGGGAGTATCATGTATCCCTCTGCTTGAAGTGCCAATACGAGGTGAGGAAGGTCCAGCGGTAGGTATGACAATCTCTTCAAAATCTTCCTCCTCTTCGTCATCTTGGTCGTTTTGGTCGTGCGTCGGAATATCAGTTGATTTGAGATGCAAATCTTCTTTCCATCAGTGTCCATTACATTGTTAGATCCATTACAAACCTTTAGTCTGTCCCTTGTCTCTCACGATGACAGGTGGAGGAGGACGAGGGGTCCGATGTGGCTTGTCATTGATGACCTTTCCATTCTTCTTGGGAGGTTTGACCGGTGTGGACTCCTTGACCAACCTCTCCTCAACAGATTTCCTGGGGATAATCTTACTCTTCTTCGGTCTCGCAGCACTCATGATGGTCCTGACAGAGCCATATAGCGATAGGATGAAAAGCGTAAGTAGTAGTAAAAGTGAGAAAGTGAGTGACCATCGGGAAAGTGAGAAGGGGGGGTGATCGGACTGACGGAGATGACGTAATCTCCGTGTGGCCCCACGTGGCATTTGAACCCCTTGCACCCAACTCTGACATATAACCTCTTCCTCCAATACATCCCCTTTCCTTATATAACCATCCAGTAGCTCATGCTTCTTCCTATACTCCACAGAATAAGAGTATCACATTCTATCGCTCCATCCGTACCACGATTCACAGCCACGCTCCCCCGAGTGACGTCGCGACGAGGAATGTCACCCCAGCCTCAAGATTTCGGTCACTACAAATTACTTGAAACTCATCATGTCAACTACGCTCCTCTAGTCGTATCAAAATGGAGATCACAACGAACTGGTTTGACGGTTGTGGTGGGACAACACAAAGCTCCCATTACAAACGGACACTTTGTCATCGCTTCAGAAATCTTCGACGACTCTGGTAGACCGCACACGTTAGAACATCTCGTCTTCTTAGGAAGTAAAGATTATCCTTATAAAGGTGTTCTTGATCAGCTGGCGAATAGAGCAGGAAGTAATGGTACCAACGCTTGGACTGCCAATGATCGTAAGTTTGTGCTGAAGTAGGTAATGATGACTGATGGATAGATACGGCTTATACTATCGCCACCGCCGGAACACAAGGATTTCTAAAGATGCTCCCCAGTGAGTTAACTGATGAAGTTGTGCGGGGTTCAGATTGACGAGAAAGTATATGTCGACCACATCTTCCATCCTACCATGACGGACGCAGGTTTCGTTACCGAAATACACCACATCAATGAGGCGGGTGAAGATGCGGGAGTGGTGTATAGTGAGATGCAAGCTAGGGAGAATACATCGGGTGATCTCATGGCGTTGGAGTGAGTCCATTAGCTCCGTCCGAAATCCTGCTGAGCTAATCTTTGTAGGTCTCAACGACTTTTATACCCTCAATCATCTGCCTATAGGAGTGAAACAGGAGGGCTGATGTCCCAATTACGTATATTGACACCTCAACAGAGTGAGTTTGTGTCTCGACTCGGTTGGTTGTCACTCGCTGATATCCAGTACGAGACTACCATGCCAGTTACTACGTTCCCCATAATGTATGTTTCAACTACACTATGGGACTCAAACTGACAGTCACAGTCTTGTCTCTTGATAGACGGCGCTGTCCCTCTCGCTGAACTCTTCCATGTACTCAACGAGGAAGTAGATCCACTCATTCTCAAAAACCTAGGTCAGCAAAAGGTTTCAAACACTATTCCCTGTACATCAAATACAGCCACCTCTTCAAGGAAATGGCACCTACCAACAGACTGGAAACGACCTTTCATCGAATCTACCACCTCTCAACCACTTTCCATCCCATCTCCAAAAACCCAAGTGGTGGAATTCATGGAAGAAGATGAATCAATGGGTGAAATCGTTCTTCTCTGGCTCGGTCCATCACCAATGGATTATCTCTCCGGTCTCGCCCTCAAGATTCTCGGCTCATATCTGACCCTCACCGCCACAGCTCCTTTACAGAAAGAGTTTATCGAAATCTCTAAGCCCTATGCCAGCTATATAGGAGTCTCATCAGAGGATAGGGTAAACAAGAATGAGATCTCAATGTACATCTCTGACGTACCTACCAAACATCTGGAAGAACTACCGAAACTAATTCTGGAGAAATTGAGGAAGATCGCCGAAGAGGAAGGTGTGGACGAGGAGAGGATGAAGTTAGTGTTGAGACAAGATAAAAGAAAGTTGTTGGATCATATGGAGACCAGTGTATCGGGTGTGTTGTCGGATGTAGTGATTGGGGGTGAGCAGATCCTCTCTTCATCGTCAATCAGTCTATCTCTCTCTTCACCTGCCTGTCACATCCTATGATTCGACTCGTACTGAATCTCACCCCCGTGCGTCGTGACCTGCCGCTTTCTTCCTAGTGGTCACCTCGTCTCTCGTCGCCAACACACATGTTTGGTTGCCCTCGCGAATTCTGCCCAGCGGTCATACGTGAAACTCACGGCCAGACTTCCTGTATGGCGACCTAGAGGGGAAAGACCTTCCCTCCGCATTCGACGATCTGAAAGATTATGCGATCCTGGAAAAATGGTCTGGCTCAGATTGGCAAAGCTTTCTCAAAAAGCAAGTCAACCTTCTTCCGGCCCATCAGTATCAACCCTTCTTTTCCTTTCTCAATGCTGTCTCTCACCTCGCGAATGTCCGGTATACCCCCGCGCATCGTCAGTCGCATGACTGGCTAGCCTCAAGTCTAGGATAAATACTGGAAAGTCACGCACGAACACCTAGGCTGACAAAGTAGATACTTCATCTCTCAGAATTGCCTGACAATCATCGGCAAACCCTCCGCGGCGTTAGCTCAAAAGATCGAATCCGACGAGAAGGAACGTATTGCCAAGCGAAAAGAAGAATTCGGGAAAGAAAAGTTGGAAGAATTGGGAAGAATGTTGAAGAAAGCTAAAGAAGAGAGTGATACGCCTCCACCGGAAGAAATGATCACTTCATTTCCTCTGACCGATGTGAGTCAATTGAGCAACTCATTCATCTTTCTTCCATTCTTTGACACTACTCGAGCTGAACACTGACTGTGAATGTCGGTACCTTGACAGTGCCCTAGGCGATCAATCGGCATCTGGTGTCTTTGTTTTGGCCCTCTGACTGTGCATGCCGTGATATCTGGACTGATTATGGACATCACGCTGACGTCCAGCCAAAATCCCTCACTTGGATACCTGTGGAAACGGCAATCAACAATGCCCTAGGTGAATCCAAATCTGGTGACCGGGGTGAACTTCAAAAACGGATCGAATCGGATGGGAATGTTCTGCCATATGAAGTCCACTTCGCTAATGTTGATGTCAGTTTGTCCCAATGAGGTCTGCTGGGGCTGAAAATACAGTCGAATTTCGTACATGTTTCCGTATTGTTCGATACTATTCATCTCAAGGCAGAATTGAGACCGTAAGTTGTCCGTTCTTGCCGTCAATGATCTCTTCCAGTCTTTGGAGCGTACATCTTCACTATGCACATTGCTCGATACTCTGGGACCGAGACACTGTCTATGCCTTTGGATTTGCGCTGGGTCGTAGTCAAAAACTGATACCTAGATACATGTCAATATTCCAGAACGCTCTTTTCCGTTTGGGTGTGAAAAAGCCCGACGGATCGGAACTATCATATGAACAGGTGGTTGATCAATTGAACGAGTAAGTGTAGTCTTTGCAATATCTTCCTTCTTCTCCACTTTCTTCACCCTTGGCCACAGTCGACTCTCCGGGCACGCCGTCGTACACGTTTCAACTGTTGAATATATGTCACGTCGTTGACACTCCAGTCTGACAGTCTCTCACTCGGCCTCATTCTCATTCCGTAACTCATTCTCCGAGGTATTCCTGATCTCGCTCAAGGTGGAGAAACCTCGATACGAAGAAGCGGTAGAGTGGATAAGAGATCTCATCACCGGGGGTATATTCACGAAAGAGAGGTCAGTTTCCTCTTCCATACATCCATATTCACTTCCCCTTCCATCCCCCCATTTCATTTTTGGTCTATACCACGCTGATGGCCAGGATCTCAATCATCTTAGCTAAAATGGCGCAAGAATTACCTTACAACAAACGTCAAGGAGATTCAGTCTCCCTTGCCACTTTGAATAGTATCCTGTATGATCCGTTGAAATCCACTTCTGAGGCGTGCGGGCTGTTGAAAGCTCTTGAGTTCGTACCGGAGACAATGGAGCTGCTGGAGGGTTCACCAGAGGTTGTGTTGAGTCATCTGGAGGAGATAAGGGCATATCTGTTGGATCCGGCTATCATCCGTGTATCGGTGAGGGGTGATGTGAAGAGTTTGCAACATCCTAGGAAGGTATTGCAGGAGAAGTTTTTCCGTATCGAGGTGGGTCCATCTTGTCTTTTTATCTTCCTCTCTCTCTCGCCATCTCCATCGAGTTGGATTGTGGACAGTAATTCCTTATTACTCACTTGTACCATGCCCATTTCTCTGCGTTGTCCCGTGCCCTAGCCCATGTTGTGTGTGATTGAACCCTACTTTATAGGAAGAAATTGAAAGCTACTGGAGTAGGTAGTACTTATATTTTGGTCATCTGCAGGTAGATAGCATTGTACTGACGAATAGGACCCAAAACCTTTGCGGCCTATATCAACATCAGCTGACACACTTTCTGTATTGGGTAAAAATCCCAAGGCAAAAGTAAATTTCCCTGCTAATCGTAATACAACCCTCCCCTTTTCCTACCCTTCTCCCTCTGTCTCCTTACCCCGCTAACTGACTCGCTGCTGCCAACACATCCTCGCATATCTTAAGCTGACCCCAGTGTATCATAATTCCCATGAGTTCGATAGAAGGAAGTTATTCAAACCATTCAGCCCTCGGACCCAAAGGTTTTTCTCATCCGGATTTACCAGCATTATTACTCTCCGCGGCAGTATTGAACGCCACTGAAAGTTATCTATGGAGATCTATCAGAGGAAATGGATTAGCTTATGGGGCTCATGTGGATGTTGATGCTGAATCGGGTTTAGTTGGGTTTTCAGTGTATCGGGTGGGTAGATTCAAGCGTGTGACCCTTCTATCTCCATTGGATTATCGTCTCTCCATCCCACCAAAGTAACCCCTCTTCTATCTCCGTTGGAACATTCTCTCTCCATATGCCCAAAGTAACTCTCCTTCGTTCTCAAAATTCTTTCGAACCACAATAGACCCACTCACTGACAACCAGAGCCCAAACGCATTGGAAGCGTATCGTGCAGCTGGGAAACTCCTTCAAGGTTTAGCGGACGGAAGTGTGGAATTGGAACAAAGTATATTAGATGGAGCTAGAGCGACCATGACGTTTAGCTATGCTCGTGAATCTGAGACTGTGTCTGCTGCGGTGAGTCGAGACCATGATACGTACTTGTTTCCAAATTCAATTCTCTCTGTTCCCCTCTGAAAATACATTGATTCAAATCATCTGCTATGATCATAGCCTTGCGTCACGAACCTGAGCTGATTCCCAGGCTGCTAGTGCGTACTTGAACGAAGCTCTCAAAGGATTAGGGAAAGATCATCATCAGCATGTATTGACTGTTCTCCCTGTGAGTTATTCTTCATTTCACTCCTCAGCGTCGGCCCCCCCCCCCCCCCCCACCCACCCCCTTTAATCACACCTCTACGACCTCGGCCCGTAATTTAGATGAACTGAGCTGGCTACTCGAGTCTGCCACCATCGAGAGCTCTATAAGCACAACATCGCCTTGAGCTGACCACACCATAGTCCATCACCCTATCCCAAATCCGTCAAACGATCAAAACCCACTTTCTCCCCATCTTCTCCTCTCAAACCAGCGTGTGCGCCATCACGGTCAACAGCGGTAAAGCGGAGGAAGTGGAGGGGATTGCGAAAGAGATGGGGTTCGAAGTGGAGAGGAAGGAGTTGCCAGTTTTGGGTGATGAAGGGAGTGAGGATGGGAGTGAGTTTGAGGGTGAAGAGAGTGAGGGTAGTTCTTCATGACATATATGACAATCTCATGATCATAAACCGTCCAGTACAATGCATCAGTATCTACATAGCAGCCCCCATCATACCTACCGAATTCCTTCCAACTTACTTACCGGTCGCATAGCAAGGGAATAGTGGGGAGTTGGTGACGTGGTATAAACCCGTTTATCCAACACGTGGCTCACACGTGGATTGATAAGCAACCGCAATTTCCCTCTGAAACGTCTTTCCGATCTCTCACTTCCTATACTTAGCATATAGTAACATCAGATACAACCAAGTCTCTCGTCCCCTGCAAGTCATGAGCAGGCTGGGAGTTATAACAGGGTTGGGCAATGTCAAAAGTTTCAAGAGTACCAACACTACCGCTACAGCTACAGCTTTCTGTGGGTCTGTCCCGAGTGAGTCCCTCCACTGTGATCTACTTTGGACCGTACTGACAAGCTTCAGTGACGCCTAAAACCCTCTCACTCAGGTTGAATGGTATAAGATACAATACAAACCTTTGTACTTCTGCTGAATATATCTGGAGAGATTCAAACAAAGGCAGCTTCACATCGAGCATCAGGCCACAATCCGGAGGAAGTATCAGATATCACACCACTTCCACCACCGCACAACCCGGGGGAAAGTTCGTCAGAGAAGAAAATGAAGATTTCTCAGTTGCTTGGAAAAGAAATCTGGATGAAGCAAGGGAATGGAGAAAAAAACAAAGTATCATCAGTTAGTCAACCTCTACTTTCCTCTCACCACTACAACTCAATTTTACTCTTACTCTTACTCTTAACAAAATTTCAACTAACCATCTAGAATCTTCTTTACCTCTTTTCCTTCCTTCACCTTTTTCTCAATCTCAACAAAGTAAAAAATCACCAACTCAAACTACTCTCTCTACACTCTTAGCTTCCGGTGCGGCATTAGGTCATTCACCAAAATACCAAAACCGTTCTTTCACTCCATACATTTACGGAACTCGTTCTAATTTATCCATTATCGATCTTGATCAGACACTTCCTATTCTACGTCGAACAGCTGCTATGGTGAGGGATGTGGTAAGATCCGATGGGATCGTCTTGTTTGTAGGTACTAAAAAAGGACATGAGGGGATTATAAGGAAATCAGTTGAAAGATTAGGTGATAATGGTTTTGGTACTAATGAATGGGTATCGGGTGTTTTGACAAATGCTGAGACTGTGTGAGTTTTTTTTGGTTTTGTTCTCTTCTGAACATACCTCTATATTTCATCATCGGTCGCTACCATATTATCATTTATATCCCATCATCGGTCACTATCATATTATCACCAAGTACATGACCACGAGAATATTGGTGTGGAGAGTTTCGAACGAGTGACTGTTGAAGTGACAGAATGAGTTGCATTCAAATATCAGAGCAAAAGGGTTCCAGCTAGTCGGTTTGTAGTATCGATTGGGAGTCAGCTTGAGGTGGAATGTTCGGAGAATGGGGTTATATGATCAACTCAGTGAACTAACACACAGATTCGGTATCAAACCTATAGAAAATAAATCTTATCTTCCAGATTTGGTATTTTTCTTAAACCCTTCTGAAAACTTGGGTGGTATAAAAGAATGTACCATAAGGAATGTCCCAACTATTGGTATCGTAGATACCGATACGGATCCTAGGATCGTCACATATCCTATTCCTGCGAATATGGAAGTGAGTGAATTCTACTCTCCCTTTCCTCTTTATCTTTGTTCCCCATTTATTCTTCCACTCAGATTCTACCATTCGCCCTCTTCTCTCCTTGACTCTATTCGTGCGTTGTTTGTCTTTTACGCTATGTTCATCCTCACCCAATATTCACTTCTCACTTCTCCTAGTGGGAGCTTGTTTCATATAGACACTTGAACGAGTCGTCTTGTTTGTCCACAAGAAGGTAACGACTGATGAATAGTCACTCCGTACCGCTGAACTCATAGCGGGAACCTTGAGTCTTGCAGGACAAGAAGGTCGTCGATTACGTTTGATCCAAATTGAGAGAAAAGGTAGAAAGGGGAGATGAGAGGATATGTATTCGAGTCATTCCTGGTTTGAACCATGTGATCATATTCAATCTGTTCAGTTAATCAGTTGATTCTCAGGCGCAAAAGATCAATACTTTATTCACTCGCTGCATCAATTATAATGACTGATTATTATCTCTACCACTTTGATATTATACTTTGTATGTTTACGACTCTCATCAGATTATTAAGTGGTATTTCAATTACCCATCCTGACATCTATTTATATTATTTCCCTCGCCTACCATATTTTCCTCGACACTGCAGCATTATGATCCCTGTACCACCCTCATATTGTATTCCTCTATTAATCTCTTACTGTATTATAGCTTTCATATTATAAATCCCTTTCTTTCACATACCCCATCCCACTCAAAACTCAACCCAAACCTAGACCATCTTCATACCATCCCAATACCCCCTCTCCCTCTGAACCTCACTCTGGATATAATCCTTCCTCAAATCCATCCTCCCCCCCCCCCTTCCCCCCCCCACTCCCCCATCTACCTTCCCTCGTCCAATTTCATCTTCCCCGATCACACACTCTCAAACGCTCTCACACACTCTCAAACACTCTCACAACGCCCAAGTCCAAACCCCCTACTTCACCCCCGCTAAATCACTCATCATCCTCTTGAACCTCTTCCCCACTCCATCCAACTCATCCATTCCCAAAGCGGCCCCAAGCCTACAAGACATCCCCACTCTCACCCCACGCTCATGTCCAATGATAGAAACGTTCAAAGCGGGTCCGAAAGCCGTCGAACTTGATCCCCAAATGAGATCGGTCGCATAAGGTGGTAAAGTGTAAAAACCGAGGTTTGAATTTGATATACTGGTTGAGAAAGGAATTTTACGAGTTTCAGAAATGAAAAAAGTTTCCCAACCTGTTTCTGTGTCGTAGTCTATAACCTCAGTGGGGCTACCTGTACTCGTATTCGTATTCGTATTCGTATTCGTATTTGATTGTTGTATTTGACCTTTGGATTTGACCAATATTGGTTTATTTTGATTTCTTTTCCTCATTCCGGATTCATTGGATTGGTCTTTTGTATCACTCAACTTTACAACTCTTCCATCTTCAACATCATCCTCAAATGAATCATTTTGAGAATCCTGAGAAGAAACATTTTGAGGAGTCAAATGAAGAGGTCCAACAAATTTCTTAGGAACATATTCTAATAAACCTATGCCCCAACGTCCTTCTCTTATCTTTTTGTCATCTTTCAATTGTATACCTACTTGACGTGTTGACTCCCAGAAGAAATCTTCACGGTTCATCGTTCCCACTGATGACGTTGGAGTCATATCTGAAGAAGTGAGATTCAGACCTTTTGTGATTGAGAATTCCCCATTTGAGATATGTTTGACAGGAACATTCGTCTCCACCAATCCGTTAGACAGGGTCGATGGGGTCAAGGGAGTAGATGCGGTCGATGCAGACGATTTCGATGTGAAGACTCTAAACTCATCCCTCGAAGAAAGAGGTAACTCGAAATCCACCGACAAGTGAGATACGTAATTCCCGACGATAGCCGAATGTCCAACGGTAGGAGAACGTTCATCTTTCGGATGAGTGGTATGTAACAACATTTTCCCCTTGACTTCCCCGTCATCATCTTGAACCCCCATGACGTCCCTCAATGCCCATCCTAGTCCGATAGTGAACACAGAATGTAAAGTCACTCCATTTTCCCTCGTCTTCACCTTCAAACCATTCACCACATTTTCAGACAGCCCGACCGTGGTTTGAGTCCAATCTACATCCAAAGGATTTTCCTTCGTCTCCGTCTTCTTTGGCCAAGGTCGAGGCTTTTCAAAGTACCTCTGGACGAATTCAGGTAAGAGAGGAAGTAAAAGAGATTGAAATGCGATGGGCAAGATATACCATATAGGTGGTTTAATATAATGTGTTTCTTCCAGGAGAGAAGTACGGAATGGTTCTTGTTTTATGTCTGATGAAGATAGTAAGGCAGATAGTAAATGGAGTATACCACGACCATCTATCAGTTCGTGGAATACGCTCAAGGTGAGGTAAGATATATGGTCGGTTATTTGATCCTGGTTTTCTTGATCTGATTGAGATATAGTAGAGGTTGTTGATGGTCTAGTGAACAAGGTGACTTGCCACATAGGTCCATGAAGAGGTTGTCTTTCCATTCTCCTAATTTCTCTTTCTATTAAATAGTTCATCAACGTCTCTTGTTCCTCTCCTTCTCCATCTTCTCCTTTGGTATCTCTCCCCTCTGTTCGTTGTTCATCGGACAAACCATCGTTAGGGACCACCTCCCGACGTAAGATATCCCCAACAGACCATCTTTCACCAGGTTCGAAACATCCTTTTCGTAAACGAGAATGTAAGATGGGTAATTTATCTTGTAATTGATCTATCCTCCTTTTCAAGTATTCTTCCGAGGGGAAATCTTGTACTTGATCAACCTTTTCCTTGGAGTGTTCTTCGGAATGGAAGACAGTGGGATATGCAACGATTACCGAGATTATATTGGGGTATCCTGCATGTCGACGACAGAGTGAGAATTGTTCATGTAGCGATACTGGGAGTTAGGCCTAGATCATACGCAAATGTTGAAGAGTATGACATTACTATGTTGATTATTGTGAGGGAAAGAAAGATGGGGGTAAGTCACTTACGAGGTCGAACATCAGACGGAAGGACCTGTTTACTAGATGATGTAACCATTTGTGTAAAGATCAGGTGACAATGTCAACATCAAGTGGTTACGGAGTCGTTCAGTAAGGTAGGTATCATTTCGTGCTTCAGGGTCGGGAGTAACATACCAAGACCGAGGCCGGCGGCCGACGGACAAGCAGGGTCTAGAGTATGGAGTGGTCACCTTTCTTCTCCTCTCACCATCATAGTACCATCCCACAGCGTCGTCAATGGGCTCGCCATGCATTTGAGTAGTTGTATATACATAAGATATAGTGATCACATCATCACCCACAATGTCTACCCGCCATACAGGGTCACCCACCTGGCCACCTGGCCACCATATATATGCAAGGACGCAAAAGTCCAAGCTATACCACAGCGGCGATCGCCGTTCCCTTCCCCCTTCCTACTCCCTCCTCCACCCCCATCCAAGCTATGTATAACCCACCCATCATCAACCTCCTCCCTCATCCCTCTCCCATCTGTCCCGACTGACAACTCACACTCATATCTCGACCGAACGCTCTCATGCAGATCCAACTGTGACGAACAAGTAGTCAAAACTCACGCTTCCCCATGACCGTCTCCCTCCTTTGATCCCCCCTTCACTTCTTCCCCCTGCCATCTGCCCATCTCGCATCGCATCGGTCATCATCTCACTTGACTATTTCCCCCACATCTATCATATCGCGAACGATATTCATAGGCAAGTTTGTATGCTTCACTTGACAACAATCACCCACCCCTCGACCCCGACATGACGTCAATACCCCGTGCGAGACAGAATCATATCTTCGCAAGCGGGTCGGCTAATAACAAAGCTGCTCAGGTGGGTCATCTTTTCGAGACTCTCCACTATGCTGACTCTCAGCTAAGCAATGCGTATCAAGAACTAGGCAAAGAATTGGCATCTGATAAACTCAAAGTGGTCGGCGGATATACGTTGGGAAGGATCATCGGTGAAGGTAAGTTTCGTTTTATCTCTTATCACTACCACATCGTGTATTCCCATCACATTCATACTTGAATCTCCTCATCCCCATTTCTCAGCCCTCGTTTACTCTTTGCCTCTCCGGTTTTTCTTCCTATCACTTTCGCGATACCACAACTACCATCCAGCCTACAGCCTCCCCACTAAAACGCAGGAACCTTCGGCTCCGTTCACCTCGCAACCCACCGTCTCACTGGCACCCGATGCGCAATCAAGAAAATCCCAAAAACCTCCACCTCTCAACTCACACGGGAAATACATCACCATCGACGTTTACATCATCCCAACATTGTTCATCTACACGAGATCATAGCTACCGAATCTCACATTTGGCTAGTCACGGAATTATGTAGCGGGGGAGAGTTGTTCGACTATCTGGTGGAAAGGGGACGGATGTTGGAAGGTGAAGGAAGGAGATTATTTGGAGAGTTGACGGTGGCTGTAGGATTGATGCATAAACAAGGAGTGGTGCATAGAGATCTGAAGTTGGAGAATGTGTTGTTGGATGGTGAATTGAAGATCAAATTGGGCGATTTGGGATTTGCTAGGGAATGTCAGAAGGGTAGGTTGATGGATACTTTTTGTGGGACCACGGGTGAGTTTCCCTATTTTGACCAATTTTCAGTGGAAAGACACACAATCTGATGGTTAGGCTACGCGAGTCCCGAAATGCTCGCTGGGAGGAAATATCTAGGAGAAGAGACCGACGTATGGTCATTGGGCATAATTCTCTATTCTCTCCTCTGTGGAGGTTTACCGTTTGACAGTGATGATGAGAGGGAGATGAAACATTTGATCTTGAAGGGGGTGTATGACGAACCGGATTGGTTGAGTCCCGGTGGGTGATTCAACAATCCTCTCTTTATCGCACTTGTCGTTTACGCAGCCTCCCCCCTCCCTCCCCCTTTTCTTCTCCCTCCATTTCCAACAACACCATTCGAATTCCATGTGGTACCCACTTTCATCTGTCCGAAGCGATACAATGTGTATATGTCACATTAGCTCACTCCTCAGAAGCACGCTCCCTCATCCGAGACATGCTTCAACAAGATCCCTCGAAACGTCTCACCATCGAAGGGATCCTATCCCACCCATGGTTCACCATGACCCTCATCGATGATATCCCCCATGCCCGAGGAGACACCCATTCCATCGCACCTTCCCCCGCTGCCAGTCCCAACCCTCAAAGCAGTAATTTCCCCGAATCATCACATTCCAAATTATCATTCTCCGATTCATCTGGATTCCTCGGTCCTCCTCCTACCAACCAAACATCGCAATCCCCACATTCCACCGAACTCACACAACCCCATGAACATTCAACCTCCCACGACACACAAGCAGTCCACGCAACCCACGAATCACTCACTCGTCCTGGTCCCTCACCCCTATCCGCACCACCCGCTCCACAATCCGATACAGACCCATCTGAAACATCCCACGATCTCTTCAGCAGTGAAGGACGTCCCGACACAGGAGTCACCACACCTACTTCCACCGAAGAGGAACAACCAGAAGAAGATCGAGTAATCAAAAGAATGCACAGTGGAGAAGACAGCTACACTGAAAAAGTCTTGGAATCACAACATCATACGCTAGAAATGCAACATTCGAATACTAGTCAAACCACCATTCGTTATCCCAATTCTGAATCACAAATCACTCGTCCTAAACCTAGAGTATCGTTAGGGAAAAACACTCTAGGTGATGGACCTCAAGAGATCGATGAAGATTTGGAAAATGATCAACTCGCACCATTAGGAAAACCTTCTTCTTTTGAAGATCATCATTCACATCCATTAACACAATTCTCTCGTACACCTTCACGTACAAAAAGAAGATCGGTATCATCCATCTTATCTATCCAAAGAAGATTATCACATCATTCTAATTCAGGTCAGTTCCAGACTTATCCACCTGAAAATTATCTAGGTCAATTGAACTCCAACACCCCAGAAAGATTTACTACACCTTCAGAGAAATATCTGTTGAAACAAATGTCAGATTTAGGAGTGGACATCGGTCAATTGAAACATTCTGTCAATACAGACGCCTGTGATTCTTCAGCTGCCATGTGGTGGATATTGAGACAAAAGCAATTGGTAGATAGAGGTGAAACGGACAAGGTGATAGAGGATAGGATGGCTTCTTCTGCGAGAAAGAAAGACAGAGCTTCCGCTTATGCCAAAGAGGAGAGGAGGAAGCGAAAAGAGTATGAGTTACGTGGAGGAGAAGATGATGAAGATTTGAGAGGGGCTCGGAAACCGTATCCAGGAGATGAAGGAGATCGAAGAGAGAAGGATCGATCGGAAAGACTAGACGGACGGAATTCAAAACAAGACTCGGATCGATTGGAAAGACGAGAGGGAAGAAGTCCAGAGAGTAGAGGAAACAAGGAGAGTCCTCCCAAAGAAGGAAAGGACCAGGGTCGAGATTCTTCAATCGAAGATCCAAGTCATCTTTCCATCTCACATACCCCCACTTCCATCCCACTATCTTTCTCTGGATCAGGATCAGGATCAGGAGCCGTCACTCCTCAGTCACACTTAGCTCCTCTCTTAGGACCTATGAAAACCATCGTCACTTCTCCCGAACCCGTCATTCCCTCTGATTCGATGCAAGAAATCAAACCTGAATCCTTCCAACCACTGAAACCACCAAAAACCCCACCTAAACCTGATCTTCTGATTTCGCCCGACACTTCGCCGTCTAATCGGTTGAAATCCCGTTCACCGTCAATATCAATGTTACAACGTGCCACGTCTGTCCTGGTAGGGGGTAGTTGGAAATTGGAAGATAAGATAGATTCTTCTGATAATCCATCTCCAAATAGGAACAAACCCACTAAACAAGCGAAAGAGAAAGAGAAAGAGAAGGAGGACAGAAGATCTACATCACCTACAAAGTTAATAAAGCCAAATCCAAAAACTAAATTAACCAAGTCGGAAAACCAGCAGATCGTTCAAGATAGAACAAAAATGACAAGATCGGATAGTAGTAATACCTTACTTAACGCTTTAGCTTCAAGTTCTACCATAGGATCTAGATCACCTGAAAGTTCTATACCTTCATTAGTTGAGAATCCTTCGAGGGGAAGATCACCAATACCTGTGAATCTCCCACTTGTCGATCTTGCGTCTTCTCATGGTACCATTGAAAAATCTCAAAATTCAACTCCTTTATCTGTAAAAGTCGGATTGATAGATCTCACAGAGTTGGTAACTCCTCCTACTCCATTACCCAAATCACCTTTACCACCTCCCCCTCCTACGAAAGATAGTATAAATTCACCTGCTTCTCTTCCCATCCGATCAGAAGGTACTCAAACCATTGTCAATGCTGCTCGCGGAGAGACTAGTCCGAACAAAAGTGACAACAGTCCTCCGAATGTTATTCCGACAAGTCATGCTAAGGGGACCACACCTGGTAGTAAGACCCCGAGTCCAAATCCAGGTGTTATGCCGAAAGTCAAAAATTCAAAACGCGATAGTCTTTGGTCAACTTTTCGTTATCTATTTCAAGAAGATCGTCGACGTCGAAAGAATTCTTCTCCTGGTCCATCCCATTTATCAGAAATAAAAGTCGGTCCTGCATTAGTGTTATCTAGAGGAATAGCAGCCAGAGCTCCTCATCCTTCTCGATTACCAGCTTCACGTAGACCTTCGATAGAAGGTAGACCAGTCTCCCTTTCTCGTCGAGCTTCCATAGACGGGAGACCTGTTTCTATCAGACGTTCTTCCATCGATGGAAAATCCGTCTCTATCTCTCGACGTGCTTCTATAGATGGGAAACATGTCACAGTCTCCCGCCGCGCATCGATCGATGGAAAAGGTAGAAGACCTGTGATTTCTCGACGATCCAGTAGTGTAAACTCTCGACGATCTTCAATCTCTCATCCTCCTAGTCCTATGCCAATTTCCATACCTACATTATTAGATCATCTTCCACCACTCGGACCTAGATCTTCTTCCTCTTTGATAGATCATCATCATCATCATCCATTATCTCAAAATTCTTCTCAACCAGATCATCCATCTAGAACAACCACACATCCCAATCATCCCATCGAACTATCTCTTCGTCGACATACATCAGGTAGTCAAACTCCAACTTCAGACTTTGAATCCAGACCATCTTCCTTATACGGTCGTGATCGTCGACCTGGAGTATTACGTTCACCAAGTTTACATTCTGAAAAAAGTATATTCCGTCAATCTCAATCATCTTTCTATCAAAATCAACCTTCATCACCTTTACACAATTATCAACGACGCCCAACATCTGGTTCTTCATCAAGACGTATCAAACATGTTCGTGCTATACCTGAATCCCAAATATTCAGAAGTGGGAATGGTCGTGGTCAAATACTCCGTTCGGGGAGTATGGTAAGTGTTGTCAGTATATCAAGTTCTCATATGTTAAGATCTGCGAGTGTTATGAGCGTCACAAGTTCTATAAAATCCACAACATCTTCTAGAAATTCTTCAAGAGAAAGAGAAAGGGACAAGAATGAAAGTGATTATGAAACTGGTGATAACGGTTCAATCAGATCTAAACGGTCTTTGGCCAAACAATTACATAAATCTACTTTGTTGGATCAAAAGATATCAAGACAAGGAAAAAAGATGACAATGGCACAACGTTCAATGTTGGGATATGATATGAATGGGAAAGAAAAGAAACCTACCAGAGATGTTTTCAAAGATGATGACTGGGTGGATGAATCTGATGAAGATTATTTAGGTGGGATAGGTCAAGAAATGAATTTGAATAAAGGTCAAGGGTGGAAGAATGGATATGAAAGTAAAAAAGCTGGTTGGGGTAATGCGGTGTATCCAAATACCAAATTGGACGTGTTCAGAGGAAGGATAACAGAGGTTCATCCGGGTTTTAAAACAAGAATCTCAGATTTGGTAAACGATGAGAAAGCAACAATGTCAGATGTTCATCCGGGTGTCCGAACGGGTAATTCAGGATTGATCAAAGGTGATAAACGGCGAAGGAGAGGAATGGGAATGGGAAGTAGTGGGGAAAGTGGGGAAGAGAGGAATGACAGTGATTCAAAAGTCGGTGCCAGAAGGAATGGACTTGGTGAGAATCATAATCTTGGAGCTGGATCAGGAAGGAAGAATGGAATGATTATTGAATCTTCTTTTGCAATAGAGGGGATCAGAGGTGCGAGTGCGGGTGCAAGTGGGACAAGTACGACGGGAGGGAAAGAAGAAAGAGTTGGTGGAAGAAGGAGGAAAGGTAAAGGTAAAGAAGAGATTGGAGATAGAAGAAGAGGTTTAGGGTTGGGTAATGGTGCTTCACCATTTATCATTGAAGAGGAAGAAGAGGAGGAAGAGGAATGATCAGTCTGGGGGAGTGGGTGTGGGGTTATGAATTGTGAATTGTTGTAGCAAATTAGGAATTGATATCCTGTTCAATTGATGAAAATATATTTTTGTCTTGTCTTGGTCACAAGTTGTTTTCTCCTTCATACTTGTAATTCTCCACATGCCAGATTTCATTTCGACCACCACTGTCCTATACACCAGTACTATAGAGTAACTAACTAAAGAATTCGTTCTTCCCCACTTGGTGAGGTCAATCCTCGAGACTGTGGAAAGATCGAGTGATATGGCTGAGAAACGTTGGTACGGTGAAAACGTTGTGATTTCCAATTGGCCTCAGATGAATGAAAGATTAATGATTCGAGTGATATTGAACCGAATGAGGAGAGTCTTTGCCATTTGTGGTATCAGTATCATTTGTGATATCAGTATGAAGAAGGTATTTGGTTTACAGGTCAAGTTGGAAAATCATAAATCTGGTCGAAGCGTTCATATTCAATCGCTAACCGATTTGCAACGCCCATCTCCGAACGCCTAACTCCCAATGACTAACGCCCAACGCCCAAAGCCTGAAGACTCATGATCCATAATCAAAGAGCATGAGCTTACTCAATACATATACGTCATAGGGAAAATGTTGAACATAGATGAGAGATTTGCCCCCATGGTTATCTCAAGCGCCTTTTACCTTTGATTGACCTCGATTTTTGGTTTCCGATTGTATTCGACTTCCTACTCGACGATTCTTTCCCAGATCGATCAGGGTTCATAGACATTATAGTTCCTAAAGAAGGCATTATACCTATTCGTCAGCGGTCTGAGTTGTTCGTCCCTCCCCTCCCGGACGCAGGAAACATATTTGATATTGGTCGACGGAACGAATGAATGAGCGTGGCTATTGTGACATATCGGCAAGGTCCCATGATCCAGTTTGAGGGGATTATATCCGAGACCCGGACCAAAGTAGCGGAGAGTCAAAGTAGAGGAGAAAGAATCAAGATATATACGGAATGAGGATCAAAGTTGGTCAAGCAAGATTTCAACTGGACTCACCCTTTTCCTTTACAAAATATTCCACCACGTCATGTGCTCCTTTCTTCATAGCGAGATCGACAAATTTCGGATCGATCGTTATAGATATCCTTCTCCTTTTCTTACATCTACCATTTACCTCTTCTTCCCTTCCCTGTACACTTTCTCCTCCCCCGGCAGTGCTTCCCCGTCCCTCTCTTCCATCGTCCCCGGGAATCTCCATCGCTCTCATTGGTTCGCTCCCCTTCACGACCCCATCCTTCGATATTGTCGCTTTCTTGCTAAGGTATGACACACCTTTCGACGTCTGACGCTCCACCCAATTCCGATCCACCAACAACCTAACAAGCTCCAAATCCTTCATATGTATTGCCAACTCCAAAGCCATCCACCCTTTCACACTTGGGTCAGCACCGTGATACAATAAAAACTGGATCAACGACACGTCTCTAGCTAAAACAGCACGACATAGAGGATAACCTTTGTGGGAATTCGGTGAAGGAGAATAAGTTGAGAATAGGTGGATCAGAAGTGGGTGGAGAGTCGAGTTTGCTGAAAAGGTTTCATCAACAGAAAGTGGATCTTGTGTATGTTGATTGGATGAGAACACGGTAGTTTGTGATGCTCGAGGAGGTTTGAATGAAGATGTTGGTAGAAGAAAAGGTGGTCGAAATAATCTTCTTGGTAATTCGACACATGACAATGGTCCAATCTTAACACCGTCTTGTGTCTTTTCGACCTCTTCCACTGAGAAGTCCTTGTGTGGTAATCCACCAATTACGAGGCTTTGTCCTTCTTCCTCTACACCAACTTCCGGATCGGTTCGTAAGAGACCACCGGTCGCATCAACCTCTGATCGAGAGGTATGTCGTCCAGAAGATGATTCCCCGCGAATATCGTCCACTTCGGAACGTCGTAGATTGTTGCCTTGCTTCCTCCTCATCGAAAAATCCTCATCCTCATCCCCCACACCCCTTCTCATATCCCATAACCGTCGGATCTCTCTACACACCCCTACATCACATACCGGATGTCGCACACTTCTCACCAATACATCCTCCGGTCCGTAATGCGCATAAAGGGAAAGAAGGTAAGTGGCGATGGTTGTAGGGGAAGAATTGTGGAGGGTAGAGTAGATACGTTTTGAGACTTGAGGTAGGAAAGGGTTGAGAGAGAGTAGATGGATAGATTGTACGAGCTGAGCGTTAGGTCTCGTACATTGAGAACAAGTGTCATAGGTCATGAACATATGCAATAGCTCATGAACAGATGTCATCTATATAATGGATGGATCGAGTTCGGGGAGAACTGTTGAAGCGAGAGAGAGGAAACGTACCTCAGTTGGAAGATCTAGTAAGTTCGCTACCATCTCATCATCTTCCTACTGCATCTTCGTATCGTGTATAGTGAGAAGCAAATGGCGCAGAGAAGAAAACCGAATCAATGATAACGGGCGAACGTAGAAGGTCATGCAAGTTGAAATCGTGGACAGGTGGACGAAGGGAGCAAATAGGCGATTAGTAAAACTTTCCTAATGAGATTACTAATCTTAAACCTCACATCACACATTACTAACGGGATCAAAATTTCCCCTTCCAAACCTTCTCCCTTTCACCCCTCCTACTTAGCTGTAAGTACCGCTGTCCTCTACCATCCCACCCATGACAATGTTCCTTCCCCGACACTCACACCGGCTACCTATACCTATACCAATCACCATCTACTCACGTACATTCTTCTCACTCTTCCGGCGTTCCCCTCTCCCCTCCCCTCCTTCTCCTCCACCTTCAACCCTCTTCCACCTACTCTCTCAATCCCCCTCATCCGCACTTAGGGAAAAAGCAGATAGAGTCAAAGCTCATTCTCTCTGTCCTGTATCTTACGAACGTTATGGTGAGCGAATCAGACCTAAGTTTGATTGTCCGAATTGCGGTTGGCCTACACACGCTTCTGAGCAGAGATGGAATGAGGGAAGATCCGAACATGAGAGGTATTGTGGGAGATTGAGGGAGGTCAACGAGGATGAACATGATTTGAGGAGTGGGAGAAAGATGAAAGAATTTGAGAGTATGCCTGGTGAGTCATCAACCCTTCTCTACAACATTCCTCTCACAGTACATTCACACAGTCCTCTCCATCGAACAGCTTCCTACGGCGTACAAGACGGGTCGACCCTAAAGCACTTCACAAACACCCATACCTCTTTCACACAGTTGATAATATATCAAAGGGACAACGGACCACTCTGATATACAGAATGGCAACCATATGAAGCAGCGATAAACTTCTCATCATGGGATACTTTCTTCTTCAGCAGAAATTTCCCTTCTATCGATAATGATCGAGCGATAAGACATGTTTCCAAGATTCTCACTTACCCAATCACGGTCGGCGCCATTTTGCATCAGAATGGACCTTTCACTTCTGGTAATGGGAGGATCACTCGGGAAGGTCAGAGGAGTATGGCTGGTGAGTAATTTTATCTCCATCTTGTCTCATTCATTCTTCAAGCCCCACGCTCATCCGCAGCTTTCCACTCCATCCTTCACCTTCCCCGAGGCGCAATCACCGAAACCTCCCCCTCTTCCTCGTCAACCCCTCAACCTCCATTCCGTATCTTCCTTCTCGGCGCTCGAGCCGAATCTACCCTTCCCCCAGATCTCTGGTCTCAACTCACATTCTTATTCCCCCGCTCATCACTCCATATCTACTTTATCGGTCCTGAAGTCGGACTTCCTTTACTCTCCCAAAATTCTCCTCGGCGGAAAACAAACTACGACTTCGATCCTGATGGTGGATATGGTGTGCCCAGTTATACACTGAATGTGAATCCTCAACTCAAACTCACAAGCTTGAGGACAAATTACGAAGAGGTTCATAATCAATTCGGACCTTTCGATCCTTATTCCGATGTCTTTTTCGCCTTTTCACCAGGATTAGGTTTCCCACACCAACCTTCTCCGGTACCTATCAAACAGGACCCATCTGACTCGACCTCTTTCATTCCGACCTCCCACTCTCAAGCCGAGGACGACTCAAGCCAATCTTCCACTCTCGAGCAACCCGTGGTGGAAGAAAACAATACATCTTCCGAGACCGCAGGCATATACTCCACCCCAGAATCAGAACCCGTTCCACCCTCCCCTCAATCCACAGAAATAGACCAACCTCTTCAACCCCTCGTACAAGCTCAAACAACATGGAAAAGACCTCTTCAACAAATACTAGGAACCAAATGCGCCCTCTTCTTCACCGCCTTTTCACCCTTAGATCTCCAAAGAGACGTCTCCGCACTATTAGGTACCACACCGCCTTCCGCTCTCTCCGGACCGAGAGAATACCCGGATCACGTGGCTTTACCCACCAGGCCGATAGACAGGATCGACAAGGTTACCGATGAATTCGAGATGGTGTTGACTCCGGGTATCAATCCGTTTGGTAGTATTAAATGGGAGATTGCAGAGTGGGATGTGAGAGTCGGGGTCAAGACGAACTGGGGTGTTTGGGGAATAAGGGGGAAGAGATATGAGGTTGTGGAGGGGGAGGAGTAGGTGCTTGTAGGTGCAGTTGTTTTGAACGGATGCATCCGGACACTTCTCTAAGTAATCTGTTTCGGAGAACACGCCCCACTTGGTAGTTTCACGTTCTGATCGGGGCGGGCTGAATGAGCCATGATTGCAGACAGGCGCACTGGGGATATGGTATGCTTCATGAAAGACACCAATACACATTGTTCATCAATTGATGTCGGTGTCAATAGAGTATATCGGGGGTCGAAATATCTACTCACAATGCTCGATCTGTCACAGCGGTGAAGTTGGTACTATCCGTATATCGTTACCATCGGAGAGAGATATGTTGGTGGGAGAAGGAATCGCAATGAAAGATTACTCACAATATTTTATCTCCCAAAGCAAGTACCACACAGGCTCGACCACATGACCCAACTTCATCCCATTCGCCGGTACTTGCTCAGTTCACTCGATGTGGAATGTCGACCGAGTACCTAGTTTCGTGAAACCCGCGTGTCAGCCAAAACCATTTTCCAGTTTCCCTCAAGCTGACACCGCGATATGATGATCTCGAAGCATCAAACTACCTCCTCAAGGTCGAAAGATACGTTCAAAGATCACCCCCGGAAACAATCCAAGTTTCCATCAAGCACAACACGCAAGACGTCCATCTTCAGATCTCCCAAATGTCAAAAAGCGTAATACGCAAAATTGAACAAATGAGTATCGCGAACCCGTCACCCTCAATTTCCATCTTTCCAAGTCATAAAATCCTCTTCAAGATTGATTCACGAACATCAAGGGTGACGAGGGTATAACAAACCATTCACCAAAAAGATTAATGGTTGTTGTATTCCACTAAGACAAGAAACATAATCTTGTCATCCATGAAACCTGATGGTAGCACAGAAAAAGGATATCGATACTGGTATCATTGGTAAATAACCAAGACCAAGTCCGATTTGAAAGGGTGTGGATGTAAACCTTTCATAGTGATCAACAATGTAACGCCGTTCACATTATTGATACTGTTATATAGGTATGAGCCGTATGACGGGGTACCGATATATCGACCGACTTTTGAGAATATAAAACTCATCATTGTCAACCTGCACGGGAAAGTATGTGATGGAAGAATAGGGAATGATCCTATCGACGAAAACATACAAAGTGAGAAGACTCACTATGATCTTTGAAATCCCGAGGAGTCATTTGGTCCATGAGACGACACGTAAATTATTCATTTGGATTTACTTCGGAAGTGAAGTGAAGTGTGACTTTGGATAGTGGTATTGCTAGATGCACTTAAGTTGAGGACCATGTCCGTCTGCACGATCAGCTCGATACGAAGTTCGGTGATTAATGGACAAGGAGAAGACTTACTCACACTCTTCAAGTCAAACTTGAATCTCAAAAGGATGGAACACTGAGCGGGAACGACAAATGTGATTGAATAAGAGTCAAGTGAGAAGTGAGAAGTGAGAAAGAAGAAAGATTGAGAGATGTTGATTGCAGCAGCACCGTATTGTTGACATTTTCAGTTTCAAGGAGGTTGGTGGAAGATCACTCAACGCAGGTCAGTTGGTGATCCGTGCGTACGTAGAAACCAGCTTGTTGATCAGTAATGCCACGTCACTGCGATACGGATTGCCAAATGTGATTGTAGTCTTTGATGCGACTCTCTACTAACGCCTTAATATCATACTCATTGCGGGCGTCAGCTCGCAAAATATAGGGGGTGCAATTCTAAGTAAGTGCCTGGCAGAAACAGGGACTTTACGTGAGGCTGGGAAATTTACATGTATGGTGAAATCTGACCTCTTCACTGTACCTTGACATTCCACTCCGAGCCAGCATGTCCTCCCGCTGGCAATGCAGCATGGCAAACTCAAGATGTAAAGCTCCCTCTGACATGACACTCAATTCATCTCACTTTTGAAAGGGCTCCAAGGGAAAGAAGAGTGATGAGTACTACAAGACTTGTTCTTTCTGCCGCGGTGTCACGGTCCTGTCCTTGACAGATCTCTAAAGATCAAAGACAGGTGGACTGCAACTGTTTAGTTAGCTTGAACAACGACGGTCAGTATATTGTTCGTGAACTTGTGATGTGGTCGGACGACTAAAGTGACTTGCGAAGGATCCGAGCAAGTCGAGATGACAACAAGGGTGTGTGATATGACGTGGGCAGGGGTTTTGTCGATGGAAGGCGTGTTAAAGATGAGTATATGTCAAGAAGAGAGATCTTTGTGAAGTGGCAAATAATATTTTGATCCTTGAGAAAAAGAAAACTACAAAGTAGATACGTGCTCCTTTTATACCTTTCTGAGGGATTCAGAATGAGCTTTTCAATGAGTCGACTCATTGACTCATTCTTGTCTCGTCTCTCCTTTTCCCCTATAACCTCATTATCTCATTGTGTCTCAATGAGTTTTCAATGAGTATCAATGAGTCTCAATGAGTATCAATGAGTCTCAATGAGTATCAATGAGTCTCAATGAGTCTCAATGAGTATCAATGAGTCTCAATGAGTCTCAATGAGTCTCAATGAGTATCAATGAGTCTCAATGAGTTTTCAGGGTAACTCATTGAGTCTCATTGAATTCAGGGTAACTCAATGAGTTTTGATGAGTCATGGTGGCGCGACTCGTCCGAGTCGTGACACACGGCAATACAACCATACCCCTCTCAACACCAACATCACAGCACCAGTCAGTCTGCTGCTCTCGCTGTCAAGTCATTCTCCCATCCCCCCATTTCCGAGGCAATCGTGGAAGACGTGTTCATTCTTGTCAAGCATGTTGTGAGGAAGAGGAAATACATCTGGAGAGCCCTCATCCTGCTCCATCTCACTCTGATGGGCACTCTCAGCTCACCCCTGGGTCTCAGAGAGCTCAACCTCGCCGCCGTCTTCACAACTCTTGTGTACCCTCACCTTCTCCTGCTCGACCACAACCACTCATGCTTGGCAACACACACCCTGCACTTCAAAATTGCCGTGCTCCTCGCCCCCCTGATGGCACTCCTCCACTTCTAGGAAGACCGGCTGCCCCTCGACCCCCTTGACCCTTCCTACATGTAGGAGAAAAATGCTGTAACACCTGCCAAAAATGGTCTGCAGACATCAATTTCCAACATTCAAACCGCACAGCCCCATACCTTTCCTGTGCCAACTGCCGAGAAATTCAGCGACAGAGGTATCAAGAGCGGGTCAAACCAAATGATATACAATCAGCTGAACCGGACAACACTCACATAGTGTCTCAAAGACAACTCTTGATCCACTCATTTCTTGTGATCCAACTGAACTATACGGCCCCTGTATCTCTAATGAATCCATCACCCTCATCAATAATTTTCACCAACAGGTTCAGCGTCTTGGAAAGGAGTACTGTGAAAAATGTAAGGAGAGGTGGTACGAGCTGCATGTGTCACGGCCGTCGAGCAACCACTCTCTAACAGACCGACGCTCGACGAACCTCGGCTAACTTGATGCTTAAAAGTCAATGTCTCACCCAATCAGGAGGGCGCAAACATCGAAATGAGTGTAACTATGGCGTACTTTGACGTAGTTACTCTAACTAGGGTTTTGTTTTACTGATGGCAATGTATCTCAATTTGATTGTAGCTATCTCTATCAATCTTTTACTACTGACAACAATCAAGGATTGCTGAAGAACTTCTGTGATCAGAGGTCTACCTGTTGCGCCCCAACATTGACATCTCATCCTTGAATGATTGCCAACAATGGGTCCTCAACAAAATTCTCAATCATGCTGGGTGTCATCTTGATGGTCAAAACCCCTCCCCTTTCCAACTTAATACCAATGGGACCACAGGTACAGGAAAATCATTCTTGACTGATGCCATCTCTCAATCCCTCTACAAATTGTACTCAAATAGAGTAGTCATGAGGCTAGCTCCAATGGGGGTAGCTGCATTCAACATTGGTGGACAAACAGACCACTCAGCCCTTGGTCTGTCAGCAGATGACAAGTCACGCCCTACAACCGTCTCACCCACCCGGCTGGCAAACTTGCAAGAGGAATGGCAGAATGTTAGATATGTCATTATTGACGAGAAAAGTATGATTGGACGGAAAAGCTTGGGACACATACAGACTCAGATCTGTCACATCTTCCCCGGATCCTCCCATCTTCCCTTTGGTGGACTTTCGGTTCTTCTATTTGGTGATTTTGGACAACTACCACCAGTTGGCGACACCCCCCTCTTTGTTACTTCTTGGCGAGAGGGTAACTCTCAGTCATCCCTGCTCCAGAACAAGGGGCTCGAGATCTATCACAGCATTGACGAGAGTATTGAACTGTCACAAGTGATGACGCAAGCAGGAGAGGATGTGGAAGCAAGCACTTTCCGTCAAACACTATCTAATCTGAGGAGCGGAAACTTGACTTCACAAGACTACCAATTTCTTGCCACAAGATTTTGGGATCAGCTCACCATTGCGGAGCAGCAGACGTTTCAATCAGCCACTCACCTGTGTTCAGAAAAGTCTGTTCTGACAGAGATCAATATCCGAGAGCTGCTGGCAGCACAGAAGCCAGTTCTGCAAGTGCCTGCACGTCATGTAGGGTTAGGGGCCAAAAAACGCCTCTGAGGAACAGGCAGAGGGATTGGCTAGAATTGTCTATTTGATGGTCGGGGCAAGGGTTATGCTTACAAGGAATATTTGGACCGCACAAGGGCTCACAAATGGTACATGTGGGGTTTTACACTCCATTGGTTTATTGGAGGGTGAGGAGCCAGGAGTAGGACTGCCATGTGTGTTCATGGTTGCAATCCCTTCATGTTCCGGGCCAACAGACTGGCAAGACATTGAAGGGAATCCATTGGTGCCAATCACCCCCGTCACAGGAAGGCCCAGGCGGATCTCATTGTTTTCGAACACAGTTTCCCCTACGAGTTGCTTATGCTATTACCATACACAAATCTCAAGGTATGACCTTGAGGCATGCTTGTATAGACCTGGGTTCTCCAGAGTTTGCTTCCGGTCTCACATTTATTGGAGTGTCCCGAGTAAAGAGTCTCATAGGCTTGACATTCCGACCAGGATTTACGATGGAGAGGCTATTTGGACAAGGGGCTAGCAGGGATAGAGGGGGAACTCAACAATTTGCACAGGAGGATGAGCTGAGAAGGACGGCGCTTCCGTTCTATGCATGAGTCCTCTTGTACTGTCTTGCATAACATGAATATGGTATTCATCATCTTTACAATTGATCTGCTCATTTGAGTACATGTTCAAGGGCATTGGAACAGGTGGAATGGGTCAGAGAGAGCCTCTTCCCTCCAGAAATTGGGGTCACTTTGTGGGGTAAGAGGCAAAAAAAAGTTGCAGAACGAGAAGGGAGCTGGTGAAAGAGACCAATGGATGGAATGTGTAATTCCCCACCTGATGTCCACTGTCCCATGGAAGCTAGAAGTGAATATGTCCTTATTGAATCCCCAAAAGCCAAATGAAACACTTCTCCAGCTTGTTCAGTCACCGCCACAAAAGTTGCAATACGCAGGGGAATGGGTTGGAGTAGGTAGGATGTGACTCCTTGAGGCGGTCTAGCACATTCTGAAGTTCAGGTCTTGGTGCATTCACCCGTTCGTGAAGTTATCTGGAGGTCAGCCATAGTTGCTGCTTGTGTAGAAGGATAAACTTACTCAGTGACTGGGTTTAGTGTGCCAGGGTCAAGTTGCTTGACCAAGGATTTGGCCTGAGGTCCAAGAAGTTTGGCTATGGTGGAACAGAGTAGGATGAGTTGATATACAGCTTCTTCATCTCCCTCCTGCTTGGTATCACGAGTGGTGAAGATTTCCTTGCTGTAACGCTTCCATTCAAGTAGATGTAGGACTTGTTGGTAGATAAGATCGTCGGTATGTTCATCATTATTGGAAGCGTGACATGCACTACACCCGGAATACCCCTTGGGTCTGGCCTGGAGAGTCAGCTCTAGCTGGGTCAGAGTCTATCTTCAATCCGACTCACTGCGTTTGAGGAGTCCCATGCCTCCAGTATCTCCCTTCCAACCTCTGTGGAAAAAGCGTTTGGAATATGTATGACAAGATTCTTCACTTGAATGTGTGAGGTATTGGCAGGGACCGGAATGACAAGGGGAGTTGGTGGAGGAGCAAGTCGATAAATGGAGAGTGATGATCGGTGACTCTCAGCCCATTCTCTGACTGCATTTTGTCCTTCATTCTGTCCGAGATGGTATAGCGCATGCATCCAGACATGGGGGGGTGCTTGGAGATAAAGCGGAACTATATGTCAGTTCACCTGAAAGCGAGGGTGAAAAGCAAGGGTGGAAAGCAAGGGTGAAAAGAGAGAGGTGAAAAGAGAGGGAAAGAGAAGGTGGAAAGCAAGGGTGGAAAGCAAGGGTGGAAAGCAAGGGTGAGATCTCTCTGTGATCTGTGACAGACTTACCAAGGTCTTTGAATTTCCTGACCCATCGCTTCCTCATGTTCTGACCTTCTTTGTGATACTCCTCCTCAGCTCAAGACCGCCGCCGCTTAGTCTGTTTTCCTTGACCTCCGCTTTTGACTGTCCCTCCGCCTTTCCCTCCAAGTCTTCCTTCAACTTTCCCTTCAAATCTTGATACGACTTCCAGGACTTTTGATATGGATTTGACTTCGATTGGAGACTTAGTGGTCTTGACTCCAGAAGTGTTTGCTGTTTGACATACGACATTCAACTTCAATACGTCTTTCGACTTCGATACATCTTTTGATACATCTTTGGATACAGCTTCGAGTTGAGACTCAGAAGTCTTGACTCTAGGAGAAGCAGGGATAGTGTCTCAAGTAAGTTTTAGACCTTTCCTCCACATTGTGACAATGAAGAGAGATGAAGAGAGAGACCAAAAATTCATAGCCGGATTGGGCTAATCAAGCAGAACCCTGACAGCCGCTCACATCGCCTCCGCAAGTCGATACCCTAGTCATACATCTGACCAGAGCTGCCACATCATGTAACCCAAGTAGGAAAAGAATGTTTAAAATGTCACTGCCCTGTATGACTCCAAGGTCAAATGCCATCCATACATGAATCTCTTTCAAGAAAACCAGTGATCATGACCTGTCAACTAAGTAATTCAGGGGAAACGAGATTCATCGATGGATGTGTAGCATATTCGAGCTTCTGGGTGTCACAATTGACACCCCTTCTCTTCTTGGATGACCTGCAGTCAACAAACCTCCGCTAACTGCTTTGTACAATGGGGCCTACATCTCAGAGAGACAGGGCACCCTTCAGGCAACTATGGCTAACTACACTATGATAGTGTATGCCTGTCAAAGGGACAAAAGGTGATCATCAAACTACTTGTTGGGCGGAAAAGTCCCGGCCAAATCCCAAATTAACAGCCAAAATTGCCCCATGTCCAATGACATTAGTGTTATGACACTGCACAGAGGCAGGTCTGTCATGAACCGTGTCGTAACATTCTGTCACGGCCGTCGAGCAACTTCTTCCTAATAGACCGACGGTCGACGAACCTCGGCTAACTTCACGCTTCTGAGTCGATGTCTCACCCAACCAGGAGGGCGCAGACGTCGAAAGGAGTGTAACTACGGCGTACTTCGGCGTAGTTACTCTAACTAAGGCTTTGTTCTATTGATGGCGATGTATCCCGATGTATAGCTATCTCTATTTGTCTTTTACTACTGACAACAATCAAGGATCGCTGAAGAACTTCAGCGATCTTCTCAGCTAATATTATCTACTCCTCCTAGACGTTCATCCAACCCTCTCGCGCTTTGACGTACTTCAACGCACTTCGTCCAACTTCCCCGAGCCCTCGGCCATCCTCTTCCTCCTTCGACTAACTCCGCCTAACATCGCCGCACTTCTGCTCCCATTGTCCCTACTTAGCCTAACTCCGCCTAACATCGCCGCACTTCTGCTCCCATTGTTCCTACTTAGCCTAACTCCGCCTAACATCGCCGCACTTCTGCTCCCATTGTCCCTACTTAGCCTAACTCCGTCTAACTTCGCCGTACTTGGTGTCAGAAGTCCTGAGTTACGTGTAGAGTAAAGAGGTTAAGGCGTGATGGGGTTTTGATGGCCAAAGGAGGGTCATTGTTGGTGGAGTAATCGAGGTGTCACGACGTAGTTCGTGACACATTCCTGACAACCACCACCACCAACCCTCCTTTCACCATCACCGAATCACCATCCGCCATCAACCACCATAACCTGAACCACTGAGACCAACTACGACGAGGTTATGGGAACCTAGGGGTTATTTGTCACAACAACCCCGCCGAACAGAGAACTACAGCGACGTTGAGCGAGGAGCACTGAGCGTGAGGCTGTGCAGGGGTTGAAGGACATTCTCTGAGAAGAGAGGAGAAGTATAGATAGGTGACAGATCGCTGAATTTCTTCAGTGATCCTTGATTGTTGTCAGTAGCGAGAGATATATCCAGTAGCTACAACCATCGAGTTAGGGAGAGCTACCACCGAGCAGTCTGACCACCACGGCAAAGTTAGCCACAGTTCATCAACGATCACCTTATCATTTACCACTCGACCTATTACCACGGCGAAGTTAGCCGTAGTTCCCCTGATGAGTACCCTGTCTCAGTGAGACATACACGCCCCAGTACGACGTAGTCAGCCGAGGTTTGTCGATCGTCGGTCAGTAGAGAAGAAGAAACAACCATTGTGACAAGGTCATACTTGAGGATGTAGCATTAGCAGCAGTAGTATCAGAACACTGTCACAAAGCGTGTGACAAGTCGAGCGAAAGTTGAGGAAGGGTATTTAACCAGCGATCGGCGGTAGTGTCACGACCCTGCAACCTCAGTCGTGACATCAGGTTATAACCAGATCGCAATCATAGGGCTGATTGTGATATTGTGCCTTTTAGCGCAGTGGCTTAAGATGTCACATGCATGGCCAGTGTACGGCCTGGGGCTGGTTAGCCAGGTCGTAAGAGGTCGGGTTAACCGCCAATTAATAGGCCTTTTTGTTGCAGTGGTTCACATCACTGTTCCTGTCAAGGATACTGCCCACCCTGAGACAGAGGACAAAGGACAAGGGGACAAGGATTAGGAGTGACAAGGAATATACTTATGATAACAGGACTGAGTCCAACAAGGAATGGGACTGTGACCCAAAGAATGTCCCTGGCTTGTCTAACAAGACTAGGAAGGACATGGACTGTAACTGTAACTGGACTGGACTGGACTCAAAGAAAGGGTGGCAATGGAAATGACTTTTGATCAAGAACTAAAGAAGACTACAAAGTACTAAGTGGGGTTTATATAGACAAATCAGGCTTTCTACCAGGTTGAACCGTCCTGCGTAGGAAAACACCGTAATCCTCGGCATATTTATCATTTTCTAACTAGCAAAGACAGACTGCACACAATTCTCACCGCGCTGCGTGTAATACTCTGTGGACCGCACGAGAAAGTACGCATCACGTTGTGAACCATACACTCACCTTGATTCCAACTGTACTGCAGTCTTGGGTCTCATGCCATACCAGGCATCATAACTGAGAATGACATAACTAAAGCTTCAGGTCTCTTGCCTCAAAGGCATCAGAGCAGAACTAAAACATGACGAAACTGATACTTGTGATTCATGACAGTTCCGTTGGGCACTGTTATATCGAGCCAATGCTGGTTAGTTGGTCCTCGTGACAAACACTAAGAGCATGATGTGGCATTAGGGTGACAAAGAAGAATTAGCACTATTGTAACAGTATTGGAAACACAATGACTAGGTCGCAGGTTGGGTCGAACTCGATGGAAGTCTCGTAGAAGTCTGGGTGTCTTGGTTGCTAATGACTTGTGTCTCCTCTGCAATCGATGTAGCCAAAGAATGATATTGAAGAATCAGCAAAGTACCAACTTTGCTGATTGTACTATAGACTATCTACCAGGGTCCGTGTCCTCCTCTCAACCTACTGCAAGCGTCTACGTACATACTTGGACAGGTAAAAAACCGCCTTTGAGCAAACCCAGTGGAGAAATCTAGAAAGGGGGAAAACTCATCCCTACCTAATGCAGCACTGCCTCCAGCTGCCGCTTTCCTCCATCCTAATCCGTCGAACTCGATGGAGTTCTCTCAATTTGTTGTTGCCCCATAACATTTGAGCCCCCTCGCCCGAGCCCATGGGGTGTAACCGGAATCTACGTACCACAGGGATAACTGGCTTGTGGCAGCCAAGCGTTCATAGCGACGTTGCTTTTTGATCCTTCGATGTCGGCTCTTCCTATCATACCGAAGCAGAATTCGGTAAGCGTTGGATTGTTCACCCACTAGACCTTATTGGTGGTAACAGCGGGCTGGCTCCTGCCAGTGGTACCTGCTAGTCGACGTACCGTACAAGTTGCACGTGGTACGCGGCAAGACAACCTGGTTCGGGGGAGGCTGAGGCTCATGGCCCTGCTAATCCCGAGTGCAGTCTCAGGACGCACGTAACGCGCGGAAAGGTGTCGGTCGCCCTCGGGGTGGCTTAAGGGACGTGCTAAACCCACGAGAAATCGTGTCGGCCGCTGGAGCGCGTGCTTCGCAAAGGTGACCGAGGCCGCTTGAGGTCTGGAGGAAATGCCAGGCCGAGGTCGGTACATGTTGAATAGGGAACGTGAGCTGGGTTTAGACCGTCGTGAGACAGGTTAGTTTTACCCTACTGTTGGAGGGACGTCGTAACAGTAATTGAGGGTAGTACGAGAGGAACTGCTCATTCAGATAATTGGTATTTGCGCCTGTCCGACCGGGCAATGGCGCGAAGCTACCATCTGCTAGATTATGGCTGAACGCCTCTAAGTCAGAATCTGTACTGGAAACGACGTTGTTGGTCCCGCACGTGTCAGTTGCGTTAGAATAGGCTTCGGCTGTGCACCATACATGGGTAGGGCCCCCTCGTGGAAACGCGTCGGGGGTCTCCCTGAGCGAAATGGGATATGGGCGGGGGTGAATCCTTTGCAGACGACTTGAATGGAACGGGGTGCTGTAAGCGGCAGAGTAGCCTTGTCGCTACGATCCGCTGAGGCTAAGCCTTTGTTCCGCGATTTGTCCTCTCAGTGACGGGGAACTGGGGCGACCCAGGCGTCGGTGAGGGGATTGGGCTTGTGGGCCTTTGGGGGATGGGGAACTGGGGCACACTCTGTGGACTTGGGGTGGTGGTGGTCTCACACAGCACAGGCTTGGGGAACTGGGGCAGATGCATCTTTTGGACTTGTGCATCTTTTGCCTTGTCTTGCACGGGGGCCTCGGCCACAGGAGCTCTGGGCATGTGCTCTGGATGAGGCGATCCCCCATCCACGGCCATAGGACTCTGAAAATACCGCATCCCGTCCGATCTGCGAAGTCAAGCCGAGTACCGCTCAGTTAGTACCACGGTGGGGGACCACGTGGGAATCCTGGGTGCTGTGGTTTTTGCTCGAGCCCTTGGTGCAGGGGGGAGGGAACTGGGGCGAGGAGGTAGGTGGTGCAGACTTGGGTGTGG